CAAATGGTACCTAAGGACAAAAGCTAGGTACCTCCTAACCTGATGATGCGGATGCACATCCGGCTCCGAATGAGATTCGCACGATAGGTATCCTTCAACAATCAGCTAGAAGAAATCTGTATAGGTTCTGTATAGGCTCTGTATAGGTTCGCAGGCTTACTATTTCCCTGGTTCGCGCCACCGGCTCTACCCGTGTCGGCGTGTCCTGCCATGTCATTCCAGACGCCTTGCCATGCTTCGTTAAAGAACGTTGATTATGGGGAAAGAAGAAATTACTTGTCTATCCCTTTAACAATGGTCTCGAAGCTTGAAACCCCATTCGGGCGATTGACCCTCGGCGTTCGCATCGGTTCCGACTCTTACCCACATTGGCTGATTGGCACATTGGCAGATTTAGTTGGTGGACAGGGTCACAATCCTTGGGGGTCCCGGCCAATAAGAAATCATATACTCTATTTCAGCTTTTATTTAGGAGCACCATAGGGAAGTTGGGCCCTCAACGACTATGAAAACAGTGCGACGCTCTCTAGTAACATAGTAACACGAGGGAAATCCGTCTATTATCCTTCATACCACCAGACCACATACCACGAAAGCACCAAGTTGCTAAAATTGGAATACGTAACAAGTATCACCGTGTCATCCAGATCATGCACACACAAACCTCCGAGTTCTTGTCTTGGATGATGAATATGAGCGCATGTTGTATGTGGTCTAGGATACGATACCTTAGGTAAGCCTTGTCGACGAGATCAGCTTGCGAGGTGAGCCCCGAAAGGGAGAAAAATCAAGGAATACGCTTCTTGTACTGCTCGTTTAAAATTCCCGGAATCAGGCAAGGCCTAGTCTAATCTCTTCCATCACATCATCATCTGTTCTCTTGTGCCGTGTTTAGGGGGAGGGGGCAAAATCCTAGCTTAGGACGCAGAGCCAGTGATTTATTTACCCCTCGAGACAAGAAGAAGAAAAAAGCAAAAATTGGCAGTCATCCAGAGTATCTCCTCTTGGTGTAACTGATAAAGCGCGTGTGTACCTTACTGCGGTACAACGGGTTTCCGAAGTAGGCAATATAGGGGAGATACATCCTTTAGTCCTTAGACCTTAGACGTTGGATTCTGGATTCAGCATTGCGGGGTTTTCCTCGACCGAAGGAAACCAGCACGATGGCGGGCAGCGCTGGTTCCCGCGCTCTAATGCACTGCGTCTCCTTCTGTATGTCTTTTATATATGTACGTAGATAGATACGTAAATATTATATGTATAATGCTGTATGCGTAGGTAGGTATGTTGAGTTTGATATCGCACACGGTACAGCAACTAAACTCCAACAACGGGGTGCAACCTAGTGTGCTGAGATCCAAGGAATGCCCCTGCAGAGACGGCATACGCAAGCATTTATTGGGGACCAAAATGATCGAACCTAGAAGATACCTCCGCTGATAATCAGTTGATAATTGCAGGCTCAATGGATGTACCTAGAAGATGGATTCTATCTAGTTATTGTTTTCTTTAAACTCGCAGATTTACAAACCCCGATGGTTGATGGATAAACACATAGTATAGTCTATGTGTTGCCGATGAGGCTCTTTCAGCAAGCCAATCCTACCATAGGTCAGGAATAATACATGTTATATATACGTCCCTCACTTTCGTGGGAGCATCTAGAAAAGAGGTGGTGGCTTGCATTGACACCATTTCTGATGCCACGCAGTCTGCAGTGATGCCAGCAGAGCGTCTGCATTGCCAGGTAGACTTGCAGCCGTCCGATCGATACTGGGGAAGAGCCAAGCAGATTATACACGACATGTTCTTGATTCCCCTTCCGTACGATCTGAATATGAGTTAGGTACTTATTGTCCATGGATTGACGCTTTGGTGTTAGGGGTTTTACCCCTTTAATACCCGACAATCTTCAAGAGCCCAACCATACTACGTAGCGCGCAATCCCCAAGATGAACTTGCACTGAATTCGCTAGGGCTGGCCAACCAATCAAGGGTTGATTATGGTTCGCCGCCACGATTCGATGTATCTTGATTCTTATCTACCCCAGGGAGATGGGACGAGCCAGATCAACTCTATTCCCGTACCTGATGCTACTACGTAGGTGGCATTTTAAACACCAAGTAACTGTAGCCTCAAAATTCTTATTCCACTAGTGCGTACTTAACATTGGAAGTGCCGTAACTAACATCCAAGAGATGAATGAATAAAGTAAATTACCTAAGTTGAACATGGCCATCTATGCCAGCATGCCAAGGCAATAAAGCTAACCCCGAGCTGAGACTTCTTTAAGAGTATATTGTAAAGAAAGGTACGGAACGATGGTATATGCATATACACCATAGGGAACGAGGATAGCTCTGCATTTATTAGGATTTATTGAGAGCTGTAAACGTACATAAAGCAACGAGACCCTTTTTAGACAAAATTACGATGTAAGTAACGATAAGCAGGTAATATTCATAATCCCGAAAATATTCCCTTTCCTAATTTTCCCAAGCTCTGCCTTAGTCCGGTTCCGCAGGGGGGGTTAACGAGATTCAGAGCCTTGATCAACACTTGGCCATGTCGGAGCGAACAAAGAAATGCACGCGAACTAGCCCACCACGCTACTACGCATCTTGACGGGATCCAATCGCGGACATACGCCGAGCGATCAGTGTCCTTGTCAAATGCAACCAAGCACAAGGATGGACAGGGATTGCGGACGGGCTACCACCCCTGCCGGTCATCAGAACCCCAATTCCATCCCATAATCTCATCACCGGTCAACTAGGGGAGCTGAGCTTTTTCAGGTCTCTCTTATTGTTCAGCTACATGTCCCGTAAGCTTAATCTTCTTCCTATTTACTTGATTAAGAAGTAGAATAAGATACATATTGATCAAGATTAGGTCCCTTTTGCATTTGATAGTAACACTACTCCGTGTGCATAGCTTACCTACTTCCGCAGGCTCAAATTGTGAAAATAAAAACGGGCACCCAAGAAGATGAAAAAAAATCATTAGTTAGATATATTTATCTACTGAATACGTGTCTACGCATTACGGTGCTACTATAGAACAAAGGGTATGCCGCGGGATGTACTTTTAAATAGAGAATCAATAAATGAATCGTAATATAGGTAGCAATGGCGGCCCAGGCATTTTAAGAGCATCCCGGGATCTTGGGTGCATGGAGCTCGTAGGGGGGGCGGATGACGGGTGCTAAGTTGAAATCGAACAGGGTTCTGGCCTCTTTCGCTACTTTCAACTTAACTTATACGCACGGCCTAGTTCGCCTAGCCGTGTTTCCCCCTTGAACTTGTCAAGTTGACATATTGCATTCGTTAGAGGTACCTAACTTTATAAATTAGCAAAGGGATATCCTAGAGGAGGTGTGCTTTCAGAGACAGAGACACTGTACAATTTTGCTTTGCATGTTTTTCTTATTCTCGTAGCTTGCTCCAACTATCTACCTACCCAAGGTAAGCATGTCTTCTTTCTACCCCCCCGGTTTAGTGTGATAAGTGTGATACTTGATTTACCTCCCTCTAAGGGGTCTATGACATTTTGTATCGACAGATCCTAGTTGAGATCCTAGAAATTTCGGCAATGACATTTTGCATATGCATTCGTCCCGTACTCCGCGCTTATTGTACCTATTCTCAAGTAGACGTATTACTCCTTCGACCCACGTGCTAGTGTTCCTACTACCCAGTGCCGCCCCCCAGATCTAGCAAGCCACCGACCATCACAGACCAAACCCAAAGTTTCATCGTGTGGATTATTCAACGTGCAGAACGGCTCGCTATGCCTAAACTAGTAGGCCATAATATGAAGAAACTAACATACTATGTATAATGTGACTATGCAAGAAGATATCCAAGTAGTATTGACGCACTACGGAGACTTGATCTACGCAGCTTTTTGGTAGAGAGAAGAGCCATTCCCGAGGAGAGCTTAAGAATTTACGGAGTACATACTTACCTATCTACCCACCCATCTACTTACTACCTATATGTAGGTACATACATACATGGGTAATCTAACGCCACGCTCCTATTCAGGCCAACCTTTTTTTCTTCCCTACCTGACCCTTTTGCAGCTTTTTACTTTCGAGCTGCATATATGCACCTCCGGCAGCGCTTCAGCCCATCGAAACTAGTCTGGGGGTGATTAGTTCGGACTAGCCCTTGTCCTTGGACCTTACCTACAACCTTCTTAACTCACTACAACAAGATCCCCTCTCGCTAGTAATAAATAAACAATCGAGCAATACGATCAAAAACTCTAAGTAATCTTAATGGGTGTTAAACAGAGACTTGGATATTTTCCATCTAGCCAGCCGCAAAAGAAAAACAAAAGTCAATAAAAGGCCACTCCCCAACGGTCTAGCCGGCCAAGGACGCACCACGTCCCCCAGCAAGGATTTGATCAATCATCCAATAGAGTATATAATTCCATGGGCGCCTCCCGGCAGCCATTCTTATGATCGACGTCTCCACTCATAGCTTACAATAAGTCTGTACTTACACTACCTATCAAGGGAGTCTTTCTATTACTACTGCAGTTCGTCCAAGAACTTAGACGTTAACCTCTCCAATACCTCCAGAGACGGCCTCAACCAACTTGGTATGGGGATTCTGTTCCCCAAGCCATATAGCACAACTACTCTCTCTCACCCCATATAATTTCAATCGCGCTGACTCGGGTTGTGGTGCGTTGGCGAGCGACTTGCGACTCAGCAACACGGTGCGACTAGAATACGAGATCCCCTCAAGTATTAAACGACCTTTGGTTTCTCTAAGGACGAAGATTAACTAACTTCAATGCCACTTACAAGAAACCTATTGCGATAAGGTTTATTAGTTCCTACTTAGGTTTATAAAATTTGGTCGCTGGGTAAACGAAGAAAGCTCTATCCATCTGTTTACTCCTTACTCTAGGAAGAGGGGGATCATAAATAGGAGAGCGCTTTCTTCTATTCCTCTATTCTCGCCCTTTCCTCAGAAAAATAATAATGGAAACCGCCGCAACGAGCTTCACGTCACGTAGACCAGCAGCTCATACGCTTCCTCAGTTCCATCTACCACTTCCGACACCAATAGATAATCAAGTACCAAGTATGAGTCGAACTACTTCTATTTCCAATATGAATTTGCTAGAAACGCTACCTCTATCTCTACCCTTTCTTGATCTTCCCCATTTTTCTTCTTACCCCATACAAGATGTCGTCGAGATGGCAGCGCCAATCCCCCGGTTTTCATTATCGAATGTGTCCGAATACAGCCCTCTAACTTGCGTTACAGGAGTGACAGGCATCGACAGCCTAAGCCCAATCTCTCCAGGCGCCAACAACCACAGTACTCAACATTCCCAGGGTGGATTACCACTCAGTAGTCAACAGAGACTTTGGGCTGCAACAGGTACTCAGTCTTATACGCACAGTCCAATGAGCCACGGAGGGCAGCCTCCGCTCATGCAGCAGAACTACAATCGCCCGATCTATTCTCCTAATTCCAATTATCGAGGCTCGCAATCCCCTGGGACAGTGGATATTCTAGGAAGCTCTACCTACGACAGCGGCTCTTCTCCTTACCAACTTTCGGTTTCAGGAAGTAGTTTGGGTCATTCTAACATACTATCACCAGCTTCGAACCAAACTTCTTTGCCAATGATGAATAGTCATTCCCAAGGGTCGCAACCTACAGCGCCATCGACATCCGCAGGGACCCCAGACGCCTACTCACGGCCGCCGACAGCTTCTGGTTATTATTCTGGACCTCCTTCATCGACGACCCCGCATACTTCTTATTCATCCTTTACTACCTCGCACACTTCTCCGCCACAATCGTCTTCGATAACGACTGGGAGCCTATCAAAAAGTACCTCGACGCTCAGCCCGCATCAACAGCATTCTCCAATGCAAGGACTGCCCTACAGGTCCCTTCCCTCTTACACCCTTCCTCAAACAATGGGAGGCGGGTCGACAGTGGGAGGGCCGATCATGTCCAACATGGCGAATCCCGGAGGGCAGATGACTATTATGAACGGCATTGGCACAATAGCGCATGGATATCATCCAACTGGACACTTGGTTAACCAGCATATTTACACAAACAGTCACCCTATTGCACAAGATCGCCCCTTCAAATGCGATATCTGTCCACAGTCGTTCAACAGGAACCACGACCTTAAAAGACACAAGCGAATTCATCTCGCAATCAAGCCGTTTCCCTGTACCTTCTGCGAGAAGAGCTTTTCTAGAAAGGATGCACTAAAGGTAGGCTATCATCGTGTTTAAGAGCTGAAACTATTTATATAAGCTGCTAACATTTACATCCGACAGCGCCATAGAATGGTAAAGGGATGTGGAAATGGGAAGACCCCGCCGACCGACGGAATCAGTAACTCATCGCAAGAAGATATAAAACGCGATTCAGATATTCAAACAGGCTCTGATTACGGTATTAAGCAAGAGCCGATGTAGGGAACTAGATTCCCATTGGTACCTAACCGCGGCGTTCTATCAAAAAAACTTTGTCTTCCGAGCGATGTCACCTGGCAAATGCTACACTAGAGTTGGAGAATCACAGTAATATACACCCTTCGATGGTGGTTATATTTTACCTACACATGTTGTCGAAAGGGTGAAAAAAATAAAACATACCTAACGAATGGAAGGGGCAACAAGCGGAAAAGAGCAGGGCTCGGAGTCAAGGGTTACAGATTTTACAAATAGGCACGAAGAATGCTCTACGAGACACCAAAGCCACGACATGGGTTTACGGCCACTATTATACGAGCGAGTTGGTAATGGATTTGCGATCCTCCTCTAGGAACCGACGAGACATGTGTATCGACCTTGCCTTGCTATTTGCAAAGCTGTCGTCGTTCTAGTCGTCAGGTCAATATCCGTAGCGGAGGGAGGAATTGCAATAGACTTTGGATGGTTTCTTGTTTGAAGGGGTTTTTTTCTTTGTCCTTTTCCTTGATGTTCTGCTTCGTCTACTTGGAATTCGCATATTACCTACAGCTTTCATTGCTCCGATGGGCAAGCGTTCAGTTACGTATCACTACGAAACGCTACGGACCGAATCGATTGGAGGTCCCGCACCTTTCACGGCATCATTTAGCATCACCGGGGCAAATTCCCGTTACAAATATATTTCGAGTTTGGACATCGGCCGCGTGGGAGATTCATTAGGAACGACATTCTATCGCCAGCGGAAATAGCGCGTATTGAGTCATCATGGACCTTCGGATGTACATTGAATAAGGAAGCCTTGTATAATATTGGAGGCAAATTAGACCAGGGTCAGCCGAACGAGTTCTTTTTACAGGGTTGCTTGTTTGAGCGAAAAGAAAGCGTTCTCGGTTCTTCGACCCTTTCAATAGCATGTTGATACCCCGTACACCCAGTGTATGTAACTCAAATGATTTCGCACAGCTACGTCGTATGTAGTAATAACAGTCCGCATGATATTGGTAATTACAAAATGCTCCAGTCCCCCATCTGAAGCCAGTCACGGAATGGCATTCAACGTAACACGGATTGTGAAAAGCAGCGCTATATCTGTGGGACTCTACCTAATTTAGCATTGGCTACATGGGAGGGCTGTGTGGGAGAGATATTATCTCCAAGTAGGTTGCGTGGGATATCACGAGAATTTCGTATGCTTAGCCTACGAAGAAAAGGTTCGCGGAATGATTACACATCTCTTAATATATCTACCTGTTACCCGTCCCCTATTCTATTCGTAAAGCATACTACATCTGTTCATGAAAACTGATTAGAGGATGGCAATGTCGGTAGCTTAGCCCCTTCGAAGTCGACGAGAACTAATAAAAGCCACACCTTATACAAGCTGCTAGATTCAAGCTAAATTCTAGTGCTCCCCGGTTAACCTATAGGGTCAGTTATTCTCTCTTTCTCGGACGTTAGATTTCACCGGTCAGTCAGCATTGGAAAACACGAACGGAGCACGGAATGTGCATGTATGGACTTAGTTGCTTATACGGGAGGTAATGCTGATCCTTAGCCTGGGCAAGTTCACCACATGGTCCTCGTGCTCATTCCCACACGAGACTTGGGCCCTAAAAACCCGAGACGTTTTATTATGTCTGACTATAGCTAGGCCGCGGGTACAAAAAGCCATAGCCAAGAAAGACCAAGACCGTACGAGAGGAATGGTCTAAAAGAGCATAGGTATTCGAGACACCCCCCCAGGTCTAAGCCATTAGAAACCCTTGAATCTCGATCTCCCGTCGGCCAAGGAATGCGTTGCATCTTAGATAGTGGCGGCCGTCCTACACATTCCGTGTCATATGTACGTGCAGATAAATATGCACTAGCAGGCCGTGTTTCTCAAGGGTTCGTTTATCGTGGCTTTGAGCCGACCTAACGGACTCGCTTGCAGGGCCAACTAACCAGTCAGCCATTCCCGCTCTGGCTCCATGGCGGGACGACAATCCCGCGCGTTTAAGAGGTGGGAATTGGGCAGCCTGCTTCGCTAGCAGAGACAAAAATACGCAAGTCAGCAACTTCTAATTTTTGGTCTGGCTTTCCTGTACGCACGTAAGTATTTTGGGGCTCTACCTAATAACCATCTACGTTAGGTAGATAAATACATATGTGTATTCGGCCCCGACTACGCAGCACCACTAGCCGTATCCACTCCCAGACCGAAGTGCCTAGATTATGTTAACCGTGTGGTTCCCACATGGCGAGGCTGAAGACACTGACGCTGTCTCGAGCCAGTAGGAGCTGATCCCCTGTCTTATACCGCATGTACTGCGCTCCTTAGGTATTTTCTAAACGTTCTTGGGCCTACGTAGGTAGGTAGGTAGGTAGGTCTATTTACTACGGCTATTCTTACTCTCACACCTATACGTGTTCACACTATGCAAACTCCTAACGAAGGTAAGGCTCTACGGCATTTCCCTATTTTATCATCCACCCTCAGTACCTAAACCATTGGGTACAATGACATCCACATACCCCTTATGACGATTTCCATTCCAACTATTAAACGGATCCACTTGTTCGTCACTCATTCAATTTACCTGGAATTGCATGGACATGTCTCCCAGTCTGTCTTGGCTAACACCTTTTTTTTCCCAGGTTGGTGGAACACAAAAAGTCCGAATGCGAGGCCCTGAAAAAAAAAAGCAACCCCAGAGGGCCTAGGTAAGTTGATTCTAGGCACGATTGGATGGGTAATTCCGTGCCCTAGATCCCAACAGTAGACCCTAACCGCAGAAGAAACATGAAAAAAACATGAACTACCTAGGTATACAGTTAGCTTCACTTCCTTCCAGGGTCTAGGTCATAAAACAACATGAAGATCAGAGCAGTATTTTATAACTTGTCATTTGCATGACATCGCATATACCTTAGGTAGGTACCATCAGCTCTCAGAAATGCAAGCTCTCGATTATGTGTTCTAAGAACCAGATCTCAACAAGGATTTTCGTTACACAGAAGTTTCAATCAGAACTGTAACAATCAATAATGCCTTAACCCCCAACTCGCCTCCCCCCCTTTGATCATATGATGTAGGTAGGTTTCGTAGTCGTAAGTTATAGTTAATAGTTTCGCAAGACAAGTTACAACCACAAGCTTAACTCGCCTCCCCCCCTATTTTTCACTATATACCTACAGTAGGTCAGTAGGTAGGTAATTACTAAGTCTGTGGTTTGTGAGACAATATTGCGCCTCGCTTACAAACATCAGCTATTAAGTATTGTTCGGTTCTCGGTGTTATCGGCGACTAGATGAGTTTGTGTAGCGCGAGCTTTTTACTTTTCTTCTTTGCCCCTTTTCCTATTTTTATCTTATTGGCAACGCCGGGGCCTGTTTCTTTGTCATAGCCACGCCCCGGAAAACGAATCAAAGGTATTATTACGTTTATTTATTTAATATTTGATTAAAACAAACTATGAAAATGGTAATGTCTTTACTAAATAGCTTAGGTATCTTAGGAGGTACCTAACCTAAGGTAACTTGACTTGAGTTGCTCCCAATATGCAAGCCTCGGCGAGCTTTAAGTCGGATTTGGATGTGACCCCCACTCACAATGCAAATCGACATACCAGCATACATACCTCCTAGGTATCTTACATACATCCATAGTTAGATACATACACATACCTAGGTAGGTATATCATGTGCTTAGATGCATACACATCTGCATACATTTGATATGTACTATGTATGAGTATCCTTAGCGCCTGAGACTATTGACCGGGACCACGCAGGGATCATAACTCGCCTCTCGACTCTGCCCGCGCGCTACAGGGAGAGACGATCTAAGACAAGCTTTTTCAGGGTCCTATGTAAGCGGGCTGAAGTCAAAGCTCTATTCCTTTTACCGTAATCCCGTTGTGAATAGTTGCCATAAATGACCGATCGCTCTGTTTCGATTAATTATTCCGATTTTGAATAAGACACGATCCAGTGGTCCTTCACCGGCACCGATATTTCCCATTCGGGGAGCCATGTCCGCGACAAACGGCGAACGGCGAATTGCGGAGTCTTCTCCATCTCAAGTGTAATCTCAAGTGTACATACCTAGTAGGTAATAGGAGATTTCGCACTACCTGCTCACCGACGAGGTCGAGTTTTATTATCATCGGATCTTCTAGTCGCGCTATCGATCCATCCCACGGGAATGTAGTACATCGGACGCTGTAGTTTGAGGGAAACTCCCTACTGAGATTCCGTCAGACACGGAGAAATATCTCACTGGGTAGAATCCGATTCGAGTAAGACGAGAATCATACCTATTACCATCCGTCATCGGTTTCCCACCAACCAGAATATCACCTTTATTCCAGCTGTCGTTAAATTAGACTCGGGTGTCCAGTTCTCGTCGGGCGACATCCCGGCTCTCGGTTCGCTCGGGTATGCTCGAACGGGTTCGCGTCGTGGCCTCTTGCAGTTGCTGTCACCAGTAGGTAAGCGTGTATGGTACTGCGCACCGAGCCGTTCGCGGAGGGCAAAGCAAGCCCAAGCGTACATATCAGATAAGATGACTCCAATGAATGCATGCATGCTCCCGAGAAGGACTCGAGAAACCAAGACAGGAACTTAGACATCCGCCCGGGCATCTAAGCAAGATGCCGATGGATCACACTTCCGTCGCGGCGAACACGGTTCCTAGAGCATTAATCCCTGACAGGTTTCTACATAGTAGGGCTCTACCATTGATGTATGTATGTACTCGCCTTGGCCCTTAGTGGGACCCCGCAGCAAGTCACCAGACAGATCCCGGCGAAATATCACCGAGAGAGAATCACGGCACGGGCGGTACAGATGGGAATGCGTGCCTTATCTGTCCTACCACACGGCCGACGGGGCGATTGGGAATACAAGGCCTGCGGCCACAAGGGCCACAGGAGCAATCAGATGATCCCTACTTTGCTAGGTAACCACCGCGTTGCAGTTTAGGTGGAAAGAAGTAGGAGGGGAGAACGGCTGCTTGCAGCTCGGCAAATTTCTGCAGTGGCTTTCACCTGGATCAACGCCCGTGCAACCCAGGCCATCATATTGACTTGCCCCCTTCGCCCATTGCTCCCTTTTCGTACTCTGTCACCAATGCACCAATGGCGCTGACGTGGTGTCCCAACACTTGGGCATCATCTGCCGTGTACGTAAAATTGTCCTGTAACAGGGTGTTTCTCAAAGAACACGACGTTTCAGAGCGCATAAGGGAGCCGTGTGCTGCCCTATCGTGCTAGTTGGGATTGACACTGCTTCCGAAGATTCATATTTGTTCCAGGAACCATCATGCTCGGTCTGAATATACAATTACAGCCGAGCCTCGGCGGCGTAAAGGTTGGTACCACAGGCGTGGGCGACTAACTTCAACTATCTCCAGAGCTAGCTGTCTTGTGTAGGTACTCGCTTCACTATTCTATGAAATCACATAAGAGAATTAGGTTGTACGACTCTAGAATGGAACTGATGATTGATAATGACATGTGTAGCAAACCGCCAAGGTCCCCCTATTCGTGACATCGTAGAGTAAAACGAACTTCCCAGATTCAACGACGAACTTATTTCATAGCTATGCTATTATATGAGCAAACAATTAGTATCTTGGCTAATCTAAAAAACCCAATCGCCACCGAGTTCATAGCTTAGATAGAGTATAGAATATCAATTCCCCTAAAACAGCATGGATGATCTTTTCGTCATGCCTTCATACGTCCTATTTATTATTAAATCGTGTATAAAAAGCCTAGACTCTTTGAATATCTATCTAACTATATTATTATAACCCTAGTATCTAGTTAGTAATACCCCTTTAACGGAGCACAGGACGTCTCTAGGTAGTAGCCGGTTTCCTCGACTTAGAATATCGGTCCTACTATGTAATTTTGATACACCCCCAAACCAGATGGTGTAGTACGATATCACCATGGGGGCCTCTCATTTGATATTACCTAGGTACCTACCTACTTAATTCAGTATAAGGTCCATTAGAAAATCTAGGGACTAATACACGATACTAGTATGTGTAAAGCGTGACAGCAATTTGCACAACAGTTCTATTTTCTTCTCTCTCCTTTAGCGCTCTCTTCCACTTAGATTTAACAGAGTCTGGAATTATATTATTACAGATCCCTAATTATAGCTCTAGTGAAATGAGTTCATCGGACCCCTAATTTGCCCACCTCTGTATAAAGATCCTCAACTTAACTTCTCCAGCCTTTAAAGCCTTAAAGTCGTCAACTTGATACCATTCAATAATAACCCTGCTTAAGAAGAACGTATTAATAATACTTCAAAGTCAATATTCAAGCGACTTTTACAAGAGCATCTATACATAATTCATTTTAAAGACTCGAAAAAGGCGAAATATGGCAATAGCGGTTAAACGCTAGCTCTATAAGAGAAAACAAAGTTCCCTTCTCTTCCTTGTACAAACCACTCAAATACGCATCCTAGTTCCTAACCTACAAATAATCAGTTAAATACCTAGGTAAGCATTAGGTCGCCTCCACACTTTTAAGATTTTATTTGTTTCCCTTTCTTATTTATCATTCATTCAGTTTGGTGTTAGCGATAGTTAATCCCCTAAGGATTGACTAGAAAGGGCCTAGCTAATGCCAGCGCAATAATTTATTTGCTGTTTTGAATTATCTGCCCTAGTTGGATAAGGAGCTCCTCTTCTATATAAGACTACCATAACAATTACAACAGTCCCTAACGCCCCTTTATGCATCCTCGAGCTGGAAGGGGGAAAGGGAAGGGCCAAAGTCTTACCTATAAGCAGCGTACTCTAATAGAGGTAGTTAATATAAAATATAAACCACGGCCAGCTACCGAGTACAACATGCTATAATGTTATAATATATAATACTAATAACAAGGATGCGTTGAAAGGGTCCATCGCACAAGGACTCCACTTGCGGTTATGATAAGAGGTAAGGACTAAGATCATTAGTAATTCCATTTCAAGAGTAAACTGTTCATAAACGGACGTATATGCGCCGTAATATTATTCCTAGCCTTTAAAACTCTTGATTTTATATCAGCTTTCTATTTGAGGAAATGGAGAAAAGCGTTGGAAAAGTCGGCTATGTTATTAGCACCCAGCAGCTTTCAAGCAAAAATGTTACTTTAATATTATACTTACCTTACCTACCTTCGAGGTATATAAAATCATAACGAAGTCCAACGTCTACATCATAGAGCATTCAATCCGAGCCTTACAGACTTCGAAAAATTACCAATCCACGCTCGGCTTCAAGGTATGTTGTTTCATTATAGTAACAATTACGCCCCGTTTTTCCCCCTTTCCACACTCGGACTGTGAAGTATGAAGCTTGAAAGCTAACACTTTATCCCTTATAACAAGAACTCGTATAAGAAAGAATGAAGATAACATATACCCCAATAAGCTTTACGTGAAAAGGATACTTAACAATCAATCTTTCTATTACGAATACTACCTATGTATAGAAATCCAGTAACTATTCAAATATACGCGTTCAGCACTTAACCTTACCTAATAGCCGATAGACCCCTTACTGCCTTAGGTACTCAGACACAGAACCTCTAGCTGTATCAGTAGCCCAGTCTTATATAACTCCATAGTTCCTCCTACTTCAACGAAGTTGTAGTCCCATACACTACTCACGTCCACATACCACCGCTTCATGAAACGCGAATACGACCGCAGCGGCACACAAGATTTGTCGCGTAATACCTAAATGGCTAACACAGGGCTATTTTTCAAGGGGCTAGTTATGGTAAGTCACTCAAGGAGGTCGGCACTGGCTCACAACTCCAACCAAATTTAAGATTAAACTATTACTCGTCAGATCAATAGGTAAGAAGTCTACCTATAGTTAATAATAAGTACAATTTGATAATTAATAAAAATAAGTGAATAATATTATATTTAATGATTCATTCCGTTTTGTTTACTAAACCTCAAGTACCAGGTATTTAATACGCGACGAAGAGGTTCACGATGCAACCTTGGAACTTGTACCGAGACGGACGTATCGATCAGATCTCAAATGGAATGTGGGGTAACAGGGGTACGAGATCTAAACCAAGACAGCCAATTAGCGTACGTAGATTGTAGTTGCCTCTACTTAATCCGGCTTGGCACCAAAACGATTAGTGTAGATGGTAACCATAATGAGGTCTTTTGAGCATATAAGCCGCTGAAAAGGAGACCAGGAGATATATGTACTAATATGGTGCTGCGTTATGCGTTTGAACAATACTCGTTAGGATGTTTCGAATCCTGACGAGTAGGTGGTTGTTAGGTTTGATATTTCTTTATTGTAATCCTCTCCTGCCTTGAAATTGTCAGTACTTTAGGTACATTACAATCCTTTAAGGCCGTAAGGTTGTGGATCCGTCACCACTGGGCACGGACCACTACTCATAAGGACCCACAGGTCCACGAGTAAGGAATGCATACAAAATTGTAAATAGCTTCCTAGATAGATTCCTTTCCTTTTACTTAATTAATTAATCAATACTACGAGACTCATCCGATACTTATCATCATAGTGATAGTGTATCACGAGTCCTTGTATTGAGGTACCAGAAAGCACAAGGTGTGCATATATGTAACAGGTGTACTTGGATGTACTACATTAGAGGTACCTAAGGTATGTACGTGATGAAACTACCTAAGGTACCTGTAGTACCCTGGCAAAAGCTTGTGGTACATACCTGATACCTCTTATTACTTTACTGCCGTACCTTCCCATCCCTCTGCGCGAAAGAAAAGCAACACAATTCCGCCTTCGCCTTTGTGATAGTTCTTGCTTTCTCTTCCTTCTTTCTTCCAGTCTTCAATTCAAGGATCGCCATTTTATTTTTGGATCATCGCACGTCGGACTTTCGACCTGTTCTTTCAAGTTGTTTGCTCCCAGCATAACACTCAAAGATCCAAGTCCAAGTTCTATTCACCCCGTCTAACCAATTCTACGAGTATCATGCACAACCCATGAGCAACACGCCCAAGTTTCGTCGCAAAAGTTGAACCATTCATACCCAAAAGAATATACCCGTCACTGGTCTGGTCGCCTGTAGCTGTGACACCCATCCCACGCGACAGGTATTTCGCAGCTCTGTGAACGATCTTGCCCAGCAACAACGCCTCGGCTTCCTCCTAACTTAGTTTTCCCAAATTTGAGCAGCCAAAATAGATTAATTTCAATGTTGTCCTCCCGCGACGATCATCATATGGCTATGAACATGAGTGGCATGGATATGTCGGACTCGTCTGTGATGCATATGGTATTTCAAAACAGCATCACTACGTCTCTCTACTCGGATTTCTGGACACCACGCACAAGCGGCGCCTACGCTGGAACCATCATATTCTTAGTCATTCTTGGTATCGCATTTCGACTACTACTTGCAGGCAAGGCACTAGCAGAGGAGCGATGGTTGGATGCTGAGATGAAGCGAAGATATGTTGTTGTGCAAGGAAAGCTCCCTGTCGCCGAGCAGGTGTCAACTGACAGCTTCAGCAAGAAGATGACGCTGACGGAAAATGGCGTCGAAGAAGATGTTGTGGTTGTCCAGAAGAAACAGCTTCACCTTCGTCCTTGGAGAATGTCTGTTGATCCCGTGCGAGCGGTGCTAGATACTTGCATTGCCGGTATCAGCTATCTTCTGTAAGCTCAAATCATATCAATCAGCCATTATGGCTAGGACTAACAAAAGCACACAGCATGTTGGCAGTCATGACAATGAACGTCGGATACTTCATGGCAGTCCTCGGTGGCACATTCCTGGGCAGCCTACTCGTCGGCCGATTCTACAGCTCGGAACACTAAAACGCATAGTTAATCGCGGAAGGAAAGGGAAGCATTACCCGTTTTCAAGTCGCCAAGACGGCGCACATTAATTTTTCAATCTATAATACGACGGCATGAGCATGAGTCCGGTGGTGTTTGCGAGTTTACAAGGGACGGTATTGCATTCGGTTCTAGGCTAGTTGATATCAGCCTATAAGGCAAAGGGAGGGGCACTTTATTATCATGACTGCGATTTGAGCATGGCGTTAAGGGGGGCAGTAAGCAAACATGCAAGCTGAGGCATCTGGTACTCAAATGAAGCAATTTAGAGACTTGGAAGCTGCATTAATTTCGCAAAAATGCTATCAATAATCAATATGATTAATACTAATTGAAGTTGAACCAGTCCAGAGCTATGGAAGCAAGGAGCTATTCTATGTCGTACATTCACTCCATGTCCAATGGGGGAAACTTTCTCAAATCTGCTCATCTAATAATTGTATAAATACCCCTGTTGCTCACCCCACGTATTTTCCACAAATCATGGGCTTCGCTTGACCTATTCCGGGACCCTTGTTGCCAGCCGGTCCAGTTCTGAGGCCAGAGATCTGGGCTCGGGTCCAGGCTCAGATTTCCGTTTCACGTGCCTCGAGTTGACTGCATGTCACTATGCGTTCCATCAGCAACCTTACCATCCTTAAAATAGTAAGATATTCTCCGGTCTAGATCTATAGACAAGCCCCATTGTCGCCATCCAGCTTTGCGCATATCTACAACCTGATTGCTTTCTACGCAATTACAAAAGCCGAGCTACCGGGTTTACCTCAGGGGTTTCGAAATAGGGGCTAAACTTTTATTAAGAGAACAATACGATGAGAATACTTTAACAATACCAGTGTGCAGTGCTTTCGAGAGATTAATCATAGCGGCCCGTAATTGATATATTATAGCCTCAATTAGCATTTGGGATGTGTCCCTAATACGCCTTCAAGGGAATAAACCAGTTGAGCCCCCAAATCCATACCTTATATTTGAAGTACCACTTCCAAATAATAGTCAGAACATCGGTTAAAATTGTACATATCAATAAATGCTATGCATATTTGAGGTATAACCAGGAACTTTATCAAAACTCACAAAAAGCCTTCATCGCGATGTCCAGACTTCCATCCTTTTATTTAATATTCAAGCAACTGTTAGTTGTTATATAGGACAAAGGTCTAATAGTTGAGCTACTATAATACCTTTAACAATCAAGGGAAATGATGTTTTACAGGTACAGAAGGATGATAAGTAAGTTCCCACGAGTTTGAAAATAAGACCGTAATTATCACAAACTAGTAGAGTAGGGCTCTTCATTCTAAGTTGCTACTATGGTCGAAACAGTTACCTACTTACCAGTACCAAACTATCCCACCATAGGCTACGAAGGCCAAATAGGAGAGCAATAATGGCGCACAAGTAAAGCCGTTTATGTTGCTGATAAAATCAGTCAAGATTTGAATCTCTCCCAAAGGGCCTTAATGATCCCCAGAGCACTTTCCGCTATCCCCATGTCTCTTCTAGGGATATGTCACAGTTCATCTTAACCAAGTCTGGGATGGTTGAATTTAGTGATATCAAGAGCTTTTAAACTAGAACGGCCGATTGGGGGTATGAAAGGTAGTCATTAAAAGTTAGGTGATATGTCCAGTCTTTTAATACATGAATAGACAGAGAAATATGACTACCACACAAAGGGGTTTCAAGGATGGCGGTTATAGATCTCCTTGGAAATAAATTTACGGGGCAAGGAACTCTTCCTATATAATCAAAGGGGCCAGAAGCTAAGATGACTTGCTCGTTTTAACAGGATAAGGATAAATATCATTACCAGTTCTTCAGTAACTAAAACCGTATTCTTATAATAGTTAACATAATAAGTCTAACATATATACAGTATGAGAAGAGGTGTTCTTCGTGATCTGTACAAACTATTTACCAAAGGAACCCTTCCGCTTGCGATCGGCCGATGCAGACAGCACAGATCTAACCAAACCAAACAAAGAATAATATCACAACTGGTAATAAATATTCCATTGTATAAGTTAAGGTACCTTAGGTATAAAATAAAGAATTAGGGGCCCAGAAGCTTATAAGGGGATATTAAGCCATTTTACATCCTAAACAACAGAAGTTAAGCGTTAGTTACATGACGAATGGCTCTAGAAAGGGACACACCAACCACTCTGTCCAGTCCATCAATAAATCAACCGCAATAAGAAAAAGATCCAGTCAAGACCCTTAAACTAAAAGAGGACCACTAGTTAAACTATGTCCCTAGCTTCTATGTATGCGGCTCACACTCCCTCTTTACATAAGGTATCCATCCATTCGTGTTAAGGAAAGTGAACCAACCAACCCACCACTCCCCAAACCATCTACATACATAAACCCGAGGAATTCACCGCAGTAACACAAATGCAGACTTGTGCAACTCCTCCATACACCAGTTTACAGCAAACCCACCTACCTACACGAGAGTCTTACTTACTCAAAGCAAAGTAATATACAGCACAGCTGAGAAATACATACATTGAGATTGAAGACTCAATCTTAACAACAACCGAAATTAACAAACAAACAGGAAGCAGCACCCGTCCGAGGGCCCCCCTATCAACTACAACAACTCCTATACAACACACACCATGGCCCGGCACATACAAATACCAGTCATGAACACAAGAGCTTAATACGAAAGACCAGTGTATTTAGACCCAATTACTTCCGAGCGTGACATGTTAGACATAAAACGTGTATGGCACGGCACATCTTGTCTAGAGTTAACTACGCTAGTAACACCTCCAGTTCGAAACGCGTATCGCAAACCGCATACTTTACCAAACCTCATTTTACGGATCAGTTACTATAAAGAATTAGTGGTTGAGTTCAGCTCTAGACCAGCACGGAAAATAGACCGAAGCTGCTGTGACTCCTTCGCATTAGACAATTACTAGACAAATCACATATTAAACTAACAAAATTCACAAAGGACCTCGAGGAATTTAACTTCGATATGGAGTAATTCTCAACTGAAATGTCAATTGCCAGACGCCAAGATCTTGGGGATCTACGGGAGGACAATGCCTGCCAGTGGGATGATTCCTATCATACAAACGCGCCTCCTCCTAAGACAACGTAGAGCGCCTCACCTTTCATCCAGCCCATCGCGGCCTAATGCCTGGAGAAAATGACTTTAGATGGATAGAAACCATCGGATTGAAACCGACACGAGCTCTGCCCAAGACTATGCTGATGCAGGGGCATTGGGAACGCCAGAAACGTAAACTCCATCCTCAATCAAGTACTCAAGAGGATAGAAACTTATAACTGCGTTAAGGAATGATTGCCACCCCTCACACGACAATTTCCGGTCGTCAGACTTTTAGATGGTAGTGTGAATCGTAGCAGCAGCAAAGTCTCGGTTTGCGAAAAGGCCCGCCTCACCGGTCGGTTAACAGCAAAGTTGGTTCCGATCGATCAGCCTCATTCATATATTCGTCAGCCATGATTCGTAAATCATTGTTGCCATTTCCTTGTCAAACATAGGGTCGGCCGATCCAGTTCGAGAATTAGTAGTGGCCACGCAGACTTAGAAGGCAAAGTATCCATTGATATTCATTCTTTCGATAACCCTTGATCCCATCGTATATTATCTTAATGTGATTGCCGTCTCCTACACTCCCATGTCCAGGCAGGTGTGATAGGAAATCGACCCTAGACGAGTGCGGCCGTAGAAGAGGCAACCGGTAGAACCAATGTAGACCGACGCAGGACGTGTTGACGAAGACCACTCTTTCAACTTTTTAGTGGCAAGTTAGTGTCGAAGGTAGTGTAGACTGTTTCGGAATAATGGCGGAAACAGATCTCCTAATGACTAGTTATGGACGGTGTAAGGGCCACCGTCATCGTTATGAAGCCTACTACCATTTGGGAAATTGAAGATCGGAAGGGGGTGAGAAACCAAGTCCCTCCAGCTTCGCAAAGCTGGACCTTGGTTTATTCCGTGGAATATGAAGCAAGAATTAATGGATACTGAAAACTCGGGTCGAAGCCCAGGATCACCAATCGCAAATTCGGTCAGCGACAAGTGATATAATACGAAAGACGGTCGAAATCGATACGGAAATAATATGGTCGCATTGTGCAGAACAAATAAGAAATAAGTCACGATGACCCAACAACGCCGGACCACCGAAGCCTTGCAATTATAGGTGTTCAGAATGCCTCGAATAAAAAAAGAACCTCGTGAATGCATTAAATTCGGGGTATCAGGTGCAAGGCAATGCTATCGCCGCCATGGCGACCGTCACGATTGATGTGAGGTGTGCTGTGGCATACCGGACTGTGCCAATCCAAATTGCCCGCGCTGCTGATGCTGCATGTAGCTTTGGTACGCCATGGCTTGTTGAGGGTCCATAGGTACGTTAGGTACGTAGTTCGGAGGCATATGGGAAGGCATTCCGGGTCGGCTCGTCTGAGGGGGTAGGTGAGAATTGGGCGGTTCCTCAGGCGATTCGACTTGGTTGGAATCGTCAACGCCGTTCTCGTTGCCTTGGGTAGGCTCAGGCGCGTTCAAACAAGCCTAAACATGATCGGTTAGCTTGGGACTCGAATTGAGTTGAGCCGAGATGAGTCGCGAGACACGAACCTGGATGAGATTCTTTCCCTCCGCCTTGGTTACTAGCGGTTGGAGCTTAGGGGTGGTAAATGTGTACACAAGCCCAGTCTCCGACACGACAAGCAACAGGACTTGAGTGCCTGTCAGAACGGACAACTCATATGCCTAATTAGGAAATAAGACGTTAGTATAAAAGTTGGCATTGGCACGATTGGAAACTCAATTTCAAAATAGGTAACGCGTTCAACGCGATGGTTGGTGCACTAAGATGCGATGGGAGCAATGGAAGCTGATGCATAAACATACCTTCTTCATTATTCCAGCCTTGCGCTTGGAAAATGTGATGTGACGACGCGATTTGTCGCTGATGAACTTGATCTCTATTTTGCGACGCTCGCGACTTCCCTTCTCGTCATCATCATCATCGTCGTCCGCGATGCTAGCGCGTTGGCGCTTGATGCCACGGTTTTCTGCAGGACCGGCATTGCCATTGCCGACGTGGGAATCGTCGAGTTCGGTGGGAGAAGTTTGATCGTGTTGGTCTGTGATGTCGGCCATTTTTATTGAGGTACGACGATTGTATCACGAACGAAAAAGGCAAAAATGGTGGAGATACTGTTTTGGTCGTGGTGCCGACGACCTATACTTGATCTGGCGTTGAGCGGAGAGGCTCTGGGTTGTAGTAGGCTGTAATTCTGTCGCAGAAACCTGGTTGGGGCGCCTGCTGTATCGAGTCTGGTGCGCGGCCACCGGGCGGATTAAAGGTGGAAGATGAGGGCCGAAGAACAAGCGTAGAAATTATTAATTACTACTTCCTGCTTAGGGAAAAAAAAGAATTAAAAAAAATGTGTCAAAAGGGAAAATAGGGTAAAAAAAAAAAAGTAAAAGATTGGCCGTGCGGCTTTGTTTGGCCTCGGGTTGGTTGTTTTTATTTTTTATTTTTTTTGGGTTGTCTCTCGGTACACCGGTCGGGTGGTAACTTGGAAAGGATTCGTCAATACCTCAGGTCGGTCAAATTTTGGTATGTTTGCCTGGTAGGGGTAGGTGGGAAAATGTTAGTCAATTGCCCAAAACAAACAAATTGAAAAAGTGTAGCTTTTAAAAATAATAATGAACACAATTGGTAGTGGGCGCGAACCTCGAAAAAAAAAAAAAAAGAAGTGATTGACAACCAACTAGATGACGGTCGGTGTTTTGCGGGCTGATGCAAATAAAGTCAAGGGGATTCTGAAAAGGGAGGCTCGGCGATTGTCAAACAGTACGTTTTTGGAGTTAAACTTCCCCTGTGAGAAAAGATCAAAACGTTGCCAGTATCAAGCTTGGTCTGATTGATTGATCAGGAAAGGTGAATGCGGGATGATTGAAAAGAGGATAGCGAGGTGGTAGCACACGGGCTTTTGCGTGGTCAAGGCCGCACTGTTTAAAAAGAAAAAAAAGACAGAAGCTGCGGGGGCATGGGCCACTAGGTGGCGGGTCGTGATTTTCCACTCTTTTTGCTCTGATCATACAGTTCATAGCACCAAACTGTACCAGCCTGCACCAGCAGTAGGAGCGTTGGTGCTTTCCCCCTCGTTCCCCTGCTCTCACCCCCAGCCCAATGCTAGAGGGGCCCTGCTAGCTCTATCTAATCGTGGAGGTGCCTCTCTAATCAGGCCAATCACTTACCTGGCTTATGACCGAACTAGCTACCTCTGTACTTTAGTGCAGAACTAGTGCTGGCGATACCACTCGACTTTCTAATAAAGTAGCAACAACCCTCGCTGCCTCGGGTGGGTTGATAATAATAATAATACTATTGTAAGGACTGGCGCGCCTGGGACGTCGAAGAGGAGCCTTGGGTACACTAGATGAACAGTTACTATAATGCGCGGTTGCTTGCTTCGCTTGTCTGCATACCCCACGGGGTGAAAGACATGTACCTAGGTAGATAGATACACTAGGTACGTAAGATAGTGTAATGGTGCTGAACCTACCTATCGGTGTGACCAGGTACTAGGTATCCTAAGTATCTCGCTGGGCTGCCTGGACAATCAGACTGGCGCGGTCGAGTAATGGATGGATGGTGGAGACGATGCTTTGTGAGTTTGGACCAGAGTATTTTACTGAAGCAAAGGAATGAGGCATATGGCCAATCAAATCATCAAGTGAGTAACATGGCTTACCGAAGGGGGGAACGCATGCAGGCTGGTAGCTCCTAAAATAACGGTGCAGAAATTTCCGCAGAACGCTCGGGTCCACCAGCTGATGTGGGCCATAATGGGGCTCTCTCTATATACCTAGGCTCTCAGGCTCTCTATGACTGTATGTACAATACGTACCTACCGAAGACGCTACGCGCGGTCTTATCATTATTAATGGTAGCGCTCCTTCTTCCCCCACCTAAGCAAGTTGCTACCTGCCACCTGCCAAACTTAGGATCGCAAAGCTAAATCAGGTACTTGCCGCATTCGGCACTGTGCTCGACATCTCATTCGATGATATGTCTTTAGTTTTTTTAGGTGAAGCTTTGAAAGCTTCAACTCGATTCCAGCTGTATGAAGCACCTATATAAGTGAGTCACTTTGAATGGCCTAACGGATGTCCATTCCTTAGGAGCTTAGGTAGTCCGATTATTTTGATGCGAATCATCAAGAAGGTATTAAGAGGATGAATCATCATCATGTAGAACTTTGTATTTTCCCGCCTAGGAGGATCTACGTTGAGTACAAGACTCTTAATGAAAATAACAACGACGATACCAATTGGGTTCGAAGAATAGTTGTAACGTAGGGGGACTTTGAATTAGTGCCGGTACTATCTAACCGGTAAAATGGTAACTAGCAAAAGCTCTCAGGATATCGAAGAGCAACGTATAAATGTTAATTTACAGGAGACGTATTTTGGAGTCAAATGCTAATCACTTAAATAAAACCTTAGGTGCTGGATACACGAATCATATGAAATTCAGTTTAGTTTAAATTATAAATTATTGAGGCGTAGCGAAGCATTATTAGTTTCCTAATTTCCGTTTGAGTACATTAGTGCCTATCCAAAAGTAGTGACATGACACTAATAAATCATCACACTAGGTGGGGATATCTCATGTCCTAAAGTATATATTTTCCCCAGGAAGATACTGATCTCATGTTAGTCAGAAGAGAGCTAACAAAGTGAATCATAGTAAGACACCCGACGGTATAAACACGCATGCTTGAAGTTAAATAAGCGTTGCGGGGTACGTAGGTATCTTAGGTACGTAATAGTCAAGACTCAAGGCAGGTTAGGATTTAACAAGTGAGTGTCATATTTGTAATGACATCAAAGACTGATATCTCGGTACGTGGCTAATGTACGTGTGTTGTATTATCTAATAGAGGTTGGAATGGTGGCATAAAGAATAAATATGGATCATGATCTATACCGAACGTCTTCGTAAGTGCCGCTCTTCATTTTACGTGCGTATGTCCTCATATTGCTGACAGCATGAATGCATTTTATTCGTATTTTGCGATATCGCAGTGAAATGTGATAAAACAATACCTACACGATTTACATCCAAGACGTATAAATCTACCACGTGTAAGTCGGTTTTGAGCCGCTTGGTAACCTAATAGTCAAATGAGACGTCTTAGATTGGTACATAGGATCAGGTTGAAACGTTGATATATACTTTGTAATAGGGTAAACTTCTATTGCCTTTCTATTTGTCCGGTTGGGTCTATCCGAGTCGAGTGACTCGTTGCCAAGTTGAGCTGTCATTAACTAACGTGATGCGCAACAGTGTCCTTACAAAATATCTGGCCACCAGGCCACCTCATCCCGGATATCCGGTTTTCCCGTACTACTGATAATCTATTTGTCGATACACCAAATACTCATCGAGAGCCGGCGCGTAGCCATAGGCTCTTAGTTTGCATCGGTTTCGCCGTCGTTGAGAAAGGGTGGCTACAACCAACCGGTTGGGGTTTATTCTGTTAAATGTCCCGAGGGCAAAGTAGTTCGGTTCGAGATACATCTCATTGTTGCATGTTGGAGCTACACTAGTAATCGGCGACTGTCGGGTACTTATTGGTTTGATTAGTGGCCATGAAAATTTCCTAGTAAGCAGGATACACCAATGAACCTCAAGATACGCCGTCGGGATTTGGAACCTAGGATACAAAGTGAAAATAAGCTTTTAAGATCGTTCGTGATAGGCATATCAATTCCCGGATGAGGTGGTAGATAATGACACTGGTCACAATTCAGGTTGAATTGTTTGAATTGTTGGAATTTACCTAGGTAAACAATATTGGTTCTTGACAGTGCGAGCCGGCGAACGAGTCAAAGTACAATACAATACAATATAATACATAGAAGAATAGCTTGCCAGCAGCCAGGCTGCCAGGACCCTACTCGATGCATGTCGTACTGCATTAACCATTAACTTCTGCAGGTATTCCACTGACGCTAGACACGCCACGCGCAGGCCCCCTGAAGAGCGCCCGATTACGAATGTTCAAGAATCTGTCATCTATGTGGACTGTGGACGTAATTCCACCATATGAGCCATAAGAGCTGGCGCCTCCAGGATTCCCATAAGCCTTGTTAGTTTTACGTTTGCGTCAGCGGCACAGTAGTCCGACCGAAAGCCCGCTGTATGTATGCAATACATGTGAAAGTAAGTAGCCAGGTTAGCTGGTTAGCTACCTAGAGCTAGGCAGCTGGGCAGCTGGGCAAGAAGAAAACATGGGTTTCATTACTATGTATTTGCTGCAGGTTTACATGGTCTACATAGTAATGACTTTGTAGTCGAATATGAGTGGTAAAGACAGTCAGCAAAGCTGGAGCCCGCTGACCGCTTCTACGTTAACTGGCATAGTAGGGAACCCTGACAGCGAGTTGACAGCCGAACCGCAATTTTGACAGGCTCCTAGTGCTTACGAGGCGGAAAAAAAAAGCAATACATACATACATGCCTAAAAGAAGAAGTGGGAAGAAACAATATGTTGTCGTCGTGCTACTCTGCGTAACCAAAAGTAGGCCGCAGTTCTGATTAAAGACGTCTTACACTAATAAGCCCTAAGCCTTAAAGCCTTACGGAGATGTCCTTGTGGGCTTAGGTAATTTGTGAGTATGTAGAAAGCCAGCCGTGAGGATCTGATGTTGTCGCCGAAGAATCCTAATGGGGATTTATCGTTAACGCCGAGTGGAATATATCAGGTACATCTTTTTTTAAGAATAGCTCACGCAGCTGTCTTGTGGTGTACATGTTCAACTCTGCCAACTGGCAAGCTCTCCACTCTCATCATTCTGAGACTCGCACGGTGCGGCGCCCTCACGGATCTGATGGATGGTTCGCTTGTGGTGTACGTAGGAGCAATGCGGGCACACTCCCCCATGCATGAGGGGCGAGCAGGGGTTCAGAGTCGCATCTTGCCTCCGTTCCAATGAAATGAAGGCCGTTCGACCATTTTGGAGTTGACCATATCGGGAATCCAATCCAGCACGTTGGTAGTGGATGGTTCTCGACGTTTTCATCTTGATTAAGTCCGTACGTTAGCAGTTAGCAGCTGTCTAGATAGGTAAGGTAGGTATGTAAAGTCTTGGTGTTTCGATTCAAATGCCGTCAAGGCTCTATCTTTAGAATTGAATTTCATTCTTTGAACATGTTCCTAATGACGAGACAAGGAAGAAGAAACAGAGCAACAAAGCCGTCAACGTAACTACATAGTATGTACCTGATAAGCAATAAAGACGCCTCTCGGAGAGTATCGCTCTTAAAGCCGGAGTTGCTATGATTGGTTCATCTCTCATAGCGTACCAGCCTGACTTAATGTTATACCGACGCATCCAGCATCCCAAGCATTCTGGCATTGTATGTATGTTGTATGTATGTCTTGCACAGGCTTAATTGTCCTCGGAAATGCACCAAAGACACCGAGGATGAAATGCCATTCATTTTATTCATCTAGAGGTGGATGCCTAACATCTGCGTTTACACCCATGGGATGACTATTCAGCGCAATGTAAAGGTCCTACATTGTAGGCATTGTAGGACCGTTTACTCCCAGACTAGCTACGTGAATGGGAGGCTTAGGAGGTCATCTGGGAGGTCATCTCGTAGGGGTCCGCTGAGAACGCGAACATCCTCGCTAGTCTCTAATAACGCGATTGCACCATGTGCCCCGTTATGGAGCTTCAACATTAGGGCCGTAACGTTGAGATGGAAAAAGCGGGGATAATGATACGTCCTGAATTGGTTCTATCCATTCAATGAGCGAGGGTTAGAGCAGCAGACCCTGGAGCGAGAGATGAAGAAGATGAAGGAAAAATCCGTCGTAGTAGTGTCGGGCGAAAAAAGGTACCATTACATGCGGACCATTCAAGGACGGGCGTTTAATTCGGGTTTATCGAGATGAGATATTGCGAAATACACTACGTAGAGAGGTAGGTATGTTATGCTGATGGGAGTGATACCCAGTGTACGTTCCAGGCTCTCTAGAATGTAGTTGATATCCATTCGTACCTATTCAGTTACGATTACCTATGGTATATATCGACAGGAGAAAGGACTAAGATGAGATGACATGTCGTCAGTTTAGAGAACTGATAGCTGTTCCCGATCAAGAAATGGAAAAGCGCCAATCTCTCTCCCACGAGGCATCCAGATTGATCATGACGGCCCCGCGGGTAGTAAACGACTTTTCCTTTTTGTGCGGTTCGGCACGATCTTTTTGCCTGCCCAAGACTGCCAGGGCCTTGTCAAGCGTGCCAGGGTCCAAGCAAATCATCGTTCCACTTATTAAGCCACTCCATATTCTTGAGAGGTTGGGGGTTCAAAGCTCCTTGCACGCAGCGTGGCTTCGTAGGATTGATGAGAAATTGGAGAAGGCCGATCTGCGTTTGCCTACCCTTGCCATGTCTTGCTTGGCTTCATACTATCTTGTGTCTTCACGAACGATTAGAGGTACATACATAGTAGTAGTAGGCTATGTAGCCTACTGCGTACCAAGCCTAACGATGTAATGCTCCGTTCATTGTGAAAAGTGCCCGGTGGTATGTAGATTGAGACTCGGACCGTAGTTAAAAACAGTCCGAAAGGGGAAATCACCAATATTCTAGTTAGCAACGCCATTCGCAAGAAATACGATCTACATTCGCGACCCCGGAACTACTATGTAGATAATCGATCTTGGATAGAATTTGTCCGTAGGAACTTTTGACTTGGTGGTTAAGATTGCTGCAGTCTGTACGATGCGATATCAACGTCTGTAGATTCAATATACCTCTTTACGAGTAGTAGACGCATATAAAAGATAAAGGCAACATCGGCGACTATAGCTTGCCTACAAGGTATACCACTCCAGACTACATAATAGATAGCCATAAAGAACCAGCAAATCTTGGGAATATACCTTTGTTACCTACCTATTCCGATGTTAGGGAAGGTGATTAGTTAGATAGACTTATGGCGAAGAGGCTCTGGTTGTAAACCATCACATTCAATACTGCTGTCTGTAAGCGCTGTGGCAATTCAATAAGTATTACTCTTCTGCGCCACTAAGACGCATGATGAATACCCAATTGGTCGTGTCTTTACATCCGAATGACACCTGACTCTGATGTCTCGCCTGATAGTCGAAGAGCGTGAACCACGGCACCGGGAGAAGTCACAATGAAGGATCCGCCCAGAATCAAAAGTCTGGAACGGCGCTGCTGGCTGCTGCGGGAAGCGGGAGTTACGGCAATATGGCCCAACACTACCTTAGTGACATCAGAATATCGTCACCGGAATACCACGGCATGCTTGTAATTACCCGCGCGGCCTTTTTCTTGCTCGATCAGAGACACCAGGTAGCTCAATGTCTTAGCCGGTTGCATACCTAGGGTCTTACGCCCTAATGCAGTACTTTCCGTACGAGGTACCGAGTTTTCGGGATGTGGTTGCATCGAGTCGTCTTCCGAGAGCCATCATTGATTCCCACTCCCGCTCATGGCTGATGGCATTCCACTCCCCCTCCGGCATGCCAGTTGCCGTCGCAACCGTTCGTAGGTAGCCAATCTCCGCTCCGCTTGCCTTCCAGATTGCGGTTCTGTAGTGACAATGCGTACGGCATTTTCCTTCGTGATGGAGAAATGGGAAGTAATAGAGAAAGCTCGGCGGCCTGCTTCCGAATGGCATTGGTAAGACTGAACAGACAACACGATAGCGGCGCCGTTGGTATCGGAGCACTATGTATAAGTTGGACGGTCATATGAGAAAACCGCGCCCTACCCGAGTCAGTGTCTCGCGTCATCACCCAAGGGAATTTGTAGGTGCTATATCAATAGAGGGGTTCGAGTTGAGAAGGATCGCGGCGGCGTGTTTCTCCAGTGTGAGGAAGTAATCAAATCTTAATAATGACTTTCCCTTACCTACCAAGATCGCCAGACAGGCCGTGACTAAGAACTACCATATGCCGTCTAGACGATTCTATTTTAACTTGCAAATCATGGCTGGTTGGTGTTTGGAGATCCTCAGCATCTGATCGAAATTTATGGGTTACATGCGGATGATGTGCAACAGGGTGTGCGGCAAAGTCGCATCATCAACTCGAGACGCATGGATCATCTAAGGACCTTCGAATCATATTTTATATTCCTCCGTCTTGTACGAGTATATACCACGGAGGAATCCCCAGGTTTCGGATAGGAGACGAACATGAGAGATAGTTTAAGACTTGGAGATGAACGCAGATGTTGCTCACGAGAGACTCGAGATATTTCTCTATGGCAACAATAGGATATTCTAAGACCTCTAAGGCAAATTCTTGACGAGCCTATGTAAAGAACAAGGCATATCGTAGAAGCGATATAAGTGTATACGTATACGTATCTTGGCGTATAGTTTTATGCTATGGGATATTGTCAGAGCCTCAGACCGATATCATTCGATTTCTCCCCTTAGTCAGTCTGGTGTTTACGAACTCTCTGTTCTAATTGGGCAGCAGTCGATTTCATCTTGTGACAGGTTGTATGTAATTCCTACCACGAGCCATATACTGGTACGTGCACCGGCTTCTGACACGGGGCTGTCCCCTGTTCGCCTTCTACCCTATACAAATCTAAAACACCAAGCGTACGAGATCAAACATCATCACCTTTACTCCAAGCTTTTTTAATTTCCTTCTTTCTAACTAAACTCATAGTAGGCGGAGCCCTGGTGGCATGGTATTTTTTTTGTTCAGTCTTTCTTGTTAATTTGGGCAGGCCGTTGCTTGGCTTTTCTCGTCGTACCTCATTCTTAATCCCCTTGCCCTGCCGCTTGGCCTCGCACGTTTCTCCCATTTCGGAGCCATCCGAGGAAAAAAGGTGGTAGCGTTTTAGTTTAGTTTTCATCAAGCCCGGCGCTTAAGCTCAAGTCCCCTTCTATTCACCAATAGTCTCGTGCTATGCATCGTATTATTATTATCACTTTACTCCTTTTTTCATAATTGCTACTTTCGCTTCGCTATCTTCATTTCTCCTCTTTCGGATTGCTGGTCAAGGTGTAAGTGCTGTCGCGCTACCTCTAAGCCGATTTTTGATATTACATTCTTTCGCTATTATTTTTGCCACACACTCGTTCGTCGCCTACGACAGCCAAATTTACTATACGAGACGCCGGCCGTCAATAACATCTCGAAAGAACTATTACACGTATTGGGGGGGATAGAAGGAGGAAGTACCTTTGTGTACTAAGAGACGGGAACACTAGCCGTGTATTTCCACAACTAAAATTCTAGGGATAACAGTTTCGCGATAAGTCAAGATGGTGAACAAGGTGCTTGCGACCTTCGTGACCATGGACGTATTGTTCGTGGCCATGGGGGCTATCATGTTGGGTTTCTCCGTCATCGTCCAGCAAACGTGCTTCGATACGCCGACGGAAGGAAACGAAGCAGCTCGAGATTTGCTATACCAGAGGTTTCCTTTTACAGCTGGGATCGTCAACGCTGTCTTCATTTTCGTTACCTTCTTAGTTACACTCCCAGCATTAGCAACGAATAGCAGGGGTTGGTTAAAGTTGGCTGTCTATATGATCGTGGTCGATGCCGTTTTCACTATGGCCATTGGTGTGGACTTATGGATCCTCACCTTGAAGATGCAGGAAACATTCCTCCAGATTTGGCTTTCGCAATCATTTCAAGTGCAAGACCTCATGCAGACGGCTGTCAGTAACCATAGTTACGTTTTCTCACTCGATAGGTTAGGCTAACTCTATTCTCAGTTCTCTTGCTGCGGCTTTACCAACAGCACTTCCCCTGCTTTCGTTACCGATGCGACTTGCCCCAGTCCCGCCGCCGCCGCCCTTATGCGAGGATGTTCCACCCCTTTAACCTCGTTCGGAAACACATTCGTGGATAACATTTTCACGGCTATGTTCGGTATGGTCGGTATCGACGTCGTCCTAATTATGTCTATCGCCTGTTTATTGAAGGACCGAAAGGAGCGTGAACGGTACCGCGATATCGATGAGAAGAGTGGTGCCCGAGGCACTTTCTAAACTAGCTGGCTTGGTTAAGAAACTTGCAAAACCGTGCCGGGAAGGAAGAACTTTCAGTTCTCTTAATACGCTCCGAATTTGGCGAAGCAGCTTGGAGTCCCCAAGAACTGCTGGACTACTCGAGTGACTATTCGAGTATGTCCTTAGTGATTTAGAACAATTGTTAATACGGTCTATTATACCTACGTTCCATGCATGCTTTCAGCGTTTTCTATATACTCGGGTTTATGTTTTACGATAGAACTATTATAGTCTATTTCCTACCCATGGAACTAATACATCTATTTAACTTGACCTTCAATTTAGATCATCTACTGATGACTTTCTTGTTGATAAATTAAGCAATCTGAACAAAACCACAGTTGTCCATAAATCTAGTTTTTACTCATCTCGGTAGGACTGGTTACGATGACGATTTAGTGGCACGGCATATGGAAAAACAGATTTTATATTCCTCTGCACTATTCTGCGAGAAATAACGGTTAAGTATGGCAAAGTTCCAAAATCCTTCACAGCTCCCACATATCGATACTTCCAATCCAAGCATTCCATAGGTAGATTGACGGCCAGGCCAGATATTGCATATGAAGTGTATATTGAGTTTCTCCCCGGCGTAGTTGTAACATGAGGATATATTTCGATCTCGAGAATGGGCGTCTCGTCGGACGCAAGGTCCGTAAGAAAACTAGCTTGGACCCATACACGTTTTGACCTCGGGTGCTAACAGCACGTGCCAGAGAAGCCATTCGTATGATTTAACGGTGGCTCGGGGATGGTAGACAAAGGAAGTAAGATGTAGGATGCTATGAGGGACCGTTGGAGGATTGTCGACCTAGTACCGTCCAGCATCCGCGTGGAACGTCTACTCGTGATTGCGATGACAATCTAGTTCGTTCACACGGGGCCCGGGCTAAGACACGCCAAACGGATAATGTGGAAATAGGACTGGGACCAGGCTTGCGTCGCCATACTTAACAAGAGAACACCCGTAAAAACCAAAAAGGCCACACCGTACCCTTTCTCTTTCCATTCCACGCGACGGGCATTCACCGGGGCACGACGACGTCTCCAAGAGATGGTACTCAAAAGCATCAATCGAAGGGGGGGCCGGCGAGGCGGTGGACTACATCGCAGCAAGCGAGTCGGCGGGGAAAGTCGATCAACAACAGGTCTTCTACCGAGAACCGGGGTGGTTCGACCGGAAAGGCTCGTGGACGGATATTCGCACAACGCAGGCTCGAGCTTTTCGCCACGATGGATCCGTATCGTCATCAGCAGCAGCGCACACACAACTTCGAGACACTCTGTCCGTCTCGATTGGAGTCGTCGCGTACAACCGGGATTTGCTCATCTAGCGTGGATAGGTGACGGAGAAAGTATTCGGTATGTAGATGTTCGGAGCCATAGCCATTGCGAGTGACCAAGTCGAATATACTGGGAGCAACGTTTACACATTACTCGACCGATATAGTCTCATCGTCACATCTAACAACGGCAACGGCATGGGCGCACAGCCAGCAAGCGAGCGACCTACCTCGAGACAATAAATTGTCGATCAAGGGGCGCCGTCAACTGCGGCTGTAAGGTGAACCAGTAACCGTGGTCGGCGGGATGCGAGTTTGCTCGTCTGCATGAGAGGAGGGTTACCTGCGACTCGGTTTCATCCCGTCAGGGCGGGAGACCGTGCCCTGATGGGAGGCAGCGACTTGCCCGACCTCCCCGCGGAGATGGGGGGTGAAGCTACCTGCGCGGCAAAGCATGAACAAGAGAGAAAAGAAAAATAAAAGCCCGCAGCACTGGGGGGTTTCCGTCATATATATTATATATTGTTCATGTTATATTGTGGCGTAATCTACATACATACAGTACGTTAAACTAAGGGTGGCATGGGGCATCATACATGTACATAGGACAGGATCAAGCCTGTTATATCAACTCTAGCCTGTGCTATGTAGATTTACTAAATCTACATAGTTACACTAAGGGCTTGGATAGCTGGATAGGCATGTATTATTGGAAGTGTAGAAAACTTAGATTGCATGAAAGCATGATAACCACGAGTAGGCAGAGGTAAGAGGTCCCACGAGTCACTTGTTCACACACCACACATGGTTCCCGCTTTGTTTTCTGGGCACATACCTAATACGATGATGACGCTGGGCTTAGGAAGCGCCAACACGAGAAAGCAACCGTTCATGAAATAACCAGAAACCAGAATATTCCCGCTCATTGGTCAAAGGCTGGAAAAGATGCAAGCAAGGGTTTAGATCATATTAGCCGCATCTCACCAAACGTACGTCATCCCGCGTGTCAAACCATTCCCTTCTATGTAAGAAAAACAAACAGGTTTTTTGGCTTGGAGCATTTGATAGGTAAAACCCGTATATGTACGCTGGTACGTCAAGCCTCATCGACGATATTAGCCCCGCCTCTGTGGCGTTCTTATTTCCTGTTTAGGAAGGATATTAGAGGCAAGCCACATATCTATGACAGCATCATTCTTTGCCGCACCGTTTGTCTGTCGGACCATTTACACCGGCGCGGTTGTGATTCGCAGCGTTGGCGAATTAAAACGGCACCGAGTACTGAAAATAAACCTTCCATTGTACATAGAAGACCCCCTTTCTAAAGTTTAGATCATGATGACGGCGAGCGGGACTATCCCTACCTGCATAGATGATTGATAGTGCATACATGTCAACATGTATACTAACATTACTACAAAGATACAATGTTGTTGTGACGTCAACTTCTTTATACAAATCACCCACGAGGAACAGATCTGTCAAAGATGGGTTTTCCATGCACGTAATAATTATTGGGGATCTCCAAGGATCTGAATACATACCTCTAGATATCGCATACCTGTATGTATATACGCCCTATGCAGTACATATTGTAGTAGTTATCGTGCCGTGACCCGATATATGGCCCCTGTAACGTTATGGCGATTAATAGCCATCTTTAATATGCTGTTGATATGAACGCACGCTTTGAAGAATGATCTCATTGGAGCCTACCTGCAACTCTATGACCTAACATTGCTGTACCTAGGTAATCTCTCCGAGAAATTCGATGCCCAAGCTTTTCCTTGGCCACGACGTGATGGCTTTTTTGCCCATACGTATAATGTGACCCGGTTCGTATATAAGTCGTGACTCCCCCTTACACAAGTGCAACTAAGTTCATAACTCATCATCCAGAACATCAATATTTCCAATACCAATACCCAGAAAAAACCAGCAAGCGCAAACTCTACTACATACGCTTTACTATATCCACACACACACTACAACAAGTCTTCAAACAAATATATACTATATACCTACCCAACCTATCAAATCATCCTAAACCGTCAACATGGGTGCCGTAGTATCTTGCGTAAGTTCCACCTCGTCATAACCAACAACAACAACAACACCTTACCCATACCCACAACTATGTACATACCTACATACAGATATACTAACAAGCGCACCACCAACAACAGGTCCAATCCATTTTCCGCACCATCGGAAACGTCATCATGGCCATCGTCTCCGGCATCGGTAACATCCTTGTAGCCATCATCAACGGCATCGTGTCCTTCTTCGGCATCATCGTCAGCTTCCTGACCTGCGGCTACTGCGGCGGCCACCGGCGCAGGACGGGCGGCGGCATGTCCACCGGCACAACGACCGGCACGCGGCGCGGCGGATGGGGTCGACGCCGCCATGCTACTACCGCGAGCCGCATCTAGAGGGGGTGGTGGTAATCCGCTGAAAGGAGAGAGAGAGAGAGAAAGAGAGTAAGCGGGAAATTGAATTCGAGTAATTCGTTTCATATACCTGAGCTGGTGGGACGACGGTGATGATGAGCAGAGCCTTGGTTAATGAGAGACGGGGATTTCAAGAGTCATCACGATCGAATGAGCATTACGATACCCCCTATTTTCTATTTTCTTGTGTACAGTACCTTGTCATTTGTTTTACACGGGACGGAGTGATGGAACTATTATCACGACTTATAATCCTCGCAAATAGAAAAAAAAAATACATTTCAAATTACACTTTGTGATCTTTAAAGACTGTAATTATAGTGTGCTAGATGGGATATTATAGAACTTGTTTATTGGTGATCTCAATCATCTATGTCAATTAGATTCCGGTTAAAGAACCCGTATACCTGCCTGGCGGCTTCTTTTCCGATTAGCGGGTTGAGTTCGGCTTCAGTCATATTAGCTACTTCACGAACATTCTCTACTTCTAGGGTTAGGTTCTTCAAGTTCTTTGGGTTGACGCCTGGAACCACTCCCAACATCTCGTGTGGCTCGAGATTGAATACTTGATCCTCTGCTTTCATATCTTTATCTAAACCTGCCCGGACCGCTGCTACGGGATCCGGTTCTTCCTGCTGCGTCTTCAAGCCCTCAAAGATCTCAGCGGTTTGGTATGGGCTACTGCTCCAGATGATTCTCAGTCTTGGAAACGCGAGAGTCAGGAGCACGATTTTGGATTGAAGGTCCGACGGTACGTCATTAGGGTTAACCGACCTCAGGTTGCCCGACAAATCTGCGAATGGCTCAAGCGTGAAAGATTTGTTCTGGTCGAACTCGATTAATAGCATCGGGTTTTTGTAGTGCTGGAACATTGTCTCGGCTTGGCTGTAGAGTCTTCCGTCTTTGAACGAGCTGATTAAATCACTAATCGACTTACGCTCAACACAAATAGTTGGCGAGAGAATATAGTCGCCGACTGTAAGCATGCAGGGCACGATTACCATGTTGCGCCCATGAAGAAGAGATGGGAGCGACGAGCGGAACTCTCGGACGTCAACAACAACCCTTGGAGGTTCCGCCGTGGCCGCCAACCGACCCCCACCGGCGATTCGCGTGTTGACCGTCCTTAAGAACGCCTCCTGCGGATCTTCGACACCCTGCGAATCAACTGTCATAACGACAGACATGCTGGCGCGTTCTTTAATAAGTCTAGTGAATGAGTCTTTCTCTCGTCGGACCGTAGCAAGATAGCGTTGCTCTTCGACCGACTGGCCGTAAAACATAAAATACACTCTAACGTTCCTATCGTTATGTGATGATCGATAAACTTCGATCCGGCGTATGAATGCGGCGTCTGGTTCGTACATGATTATGTATCGAGGTTTAACCTCTTCAAGAACATGCTCATCTTGATCGCCATCGTAAGCGTGCACTACGACAAGATCCTGCATTTCGTAAAGCTCGAAGTAATCATCCATGTCCTCTAGCGGATCAGCTATGACATCTGCTTTTTGATTTGCTTCTTCCCCTGTAATCCGAATTTCGTCCATGAGGTCAGCAACTTCGTTGGGCTTCTCGAAGTACTGCGCTACACTTCCGTTTGTTGTCCTGCCAGGTGCTGTGCCCACACTACCGCCACCACGTACCCGGCGTCTCTTGTTCGCTGGTGCCCTTCCTTTGTAGGCACCCTGGGCTATCCGTGGATCGACGGCTCCCTCGAGAGCCTTTTGGTTTTCATTAAATAAGGCATTGCTGACTTGCGCGAATTCTCTCTTCCAATTTAAATAGCCTCGAAGTCTTCTCCGCATCATGAACGCAGCAGAAGCTTTATGCTCTTCCTTGTTCTGTTTTGTGTCATGCTCGGTCTTGGGCTCAACGTGCATCATCTGAAGGTAATCTCGAAGCTGGCGGGTCGTCGCCTCGTCAGAACACATGATGAGGATGGTTCCATTAGAGTCATCTCTCGTCGGAGGTTCGAAGTAGAGGTCTCTGTCAATCTCCTCTAGAATTTCTGCGAGCAGAGCCCACTTCGGTTGCTCCTCTAACACTGGGCGCAGAGAGTCGATTGACGATTTCGCATTAGCTTTCGTATTGCTAGCATATACTCTCCGCTTGGCGGTTTCGAAGATGGTATGTGCAGCATCAAGGAATAACCACGGAGACTGAGTTTGCCTTGTAGATCCGGGCTGAGGGGAATGAGCAGCATGTATAGTATCAAGATGCTGTAGGAAGGACACACAATCAAGAGCGAGGACCGAGTGCAGTAGACCGCGAAGTACTGTTAGATCGCTAACAATCTGCTTCGTTTTCCAGCTAACTCTGTGCCAGTTCGGATCCAATTGCCGCCTAACCATAACGTCGAAATTCTTCAGCAACGCGCTGTCAAGATTCCAATCATCCATCTCCAATCCCGAGTTACCCTTCTTTAGTTCGTGGATACTGACCTCGACGCACTCCATGATGGCCGTTTGAATGTCCCGCATAGCGTCTGTCATGGGTATTTCAAGTTCAATAACCTCTGCTTTCTTTTTGCCCTCAAGGGAGCTCGCAACTGTCATATGGAATCGGGGCCATAGCGATGTCTTCCGGAGGAACAAATTCCTCATCATGGTAGCTAATGGCGAAAATCCCACGGTAAAGGGATCTGGATTGTCGGAGAATGCCTTTAGAAAGCCATTCTTATTCTTTTGGCGGTATACCCGGAGAATGAAAGCCTCGAGGGACGTAGCTATGACTTTATCGGCATGCAAGACAATTAGGCCAGTGATAATGGCTGGGTCGAGGAGACTCGTTAATAGGTCGACAACTAGGATTCGGGACGTAATGCTGTAGATGCCGCCTTTCGCGTACATCTTCTCCCTGGCTGCGACGCTGGTGAAGTCAGTATTTACTACGGTTAGACCTCTAGCCTTAGGAGCCATGCTGATAGCAGCAGACTCGGCGAGAGCCTCTCCAATCCAAGCATTTTCCCTCTCTTCGGCGCCTACAACTATTATCAGATTATTTCCGGCGGCGTCGTAGCTGTGTAGTAAATTGGTGACGAGGCGCATAAGGCCGAGGCCTTTGGCAATGACGACGAGTTCATCTTCGGCGCGGAGTTCTTGGAAAAGGTGCTGTTGGTATTCCTAGTTCAAATAATATTAAGCAACCTACTAACTATGATAATAAAGGAATCAAGGCTAGAGAAGCATACAAGAGGCAGCGAGAGCTTCACCGGTTGAGGTTGAGGAGCATTATTCGCAGACATGCGGGGCACGTCTTAGATGGAAGGGGGAGAAGCGCGACGGATGAGATTCAAGGCCCAAGGGACCTCGTGCATATTCGCATATGGCGGATGTGGTACGTAAGTGTCCGCGTATATGGTGTAGAGAGCTAAGGTGTAGAGCTAATGGAATAGCAGGTCAAGTAATAAGTCGAGTAGCAAGTCGAGTAGGCATCATAGAAGTTGGAATATAGAAAATGGAACTAAAATACTTGGATTAGGTATTCGTTTAATCAATTAGGCACGCCACCTGCAGTCGCGCTTTAGCAAATCCGGGGTTCCGAATCACCTGCCGCCGCTGTGACGCCGGGTCACGGGCAATTGCGGGCCATTAAGTTCTAGATAGCAGGATAGAAAGTCCAAGTACGTCATCTCGATCGAAAGACGGTTACACCACCAAGAACTTAGGAATGCCTGGGTTACATACGTTAGGTACCTATAGGTATCTAAGTTATATAAAAGCGATTATACATCCGAAAGAAGTCTCTACTCTTTTTAAATTCTTTTTCTTTCTTATTTTTATTACTACATACATACAATATACTCGATACCAAATCAACCAAAGAATACTTATAAACCAAAATGCCCGAAACATTCCAGGTACAACTTATACCATTCTATAACAATAAGCGATACATTGACTGACCGAATAATAGAAGCAGACCGGCAAGACTGAAGGCAACTCTCAGTCAAACACTGCAAGCGAGGCAGCTCAGTCTCAAGGCGCAAACCTTTTCGCAGCCCACAAGGCTCACCCGGGTCCTGTCATTCCTCAAAATATGCCGGAGCAAGAGGGGACTAAGGAGGAAAGGCAAGCGAAGGCTAAGGAGTTGAACAAATAAACTTGGCTGTGAATACACATAAATTCTGCGGCTATAGCTGAGAGTGGTCCTTGGATGGGATGTAATGGTATTTAATTGGAAAAGGGTTCTTGGATCTTGAGGCTATTTGAAGGAATACGCTGTATGTAGGGATTCGTAATGATAAGCATGATCATTGATGACAAGCAATAAAGATTGCAATATTTGTTAGTCTTGGCCCTCGTCCGTTAGGTGTAGTAAATAGAATGACGCATCTATGTACGGAATAGCATGTAACATGGTTATTCGGTATCGTTATCTATCCGACACCGAGCTTCGAATTCGATTGACCGCTTTATCCGAAGTGAATGAAATTGAGATGAGCAACTCGAATATTCCCGCTGGCGGGGCATTCCCAAAAAGGTGGCGCCTAAGAGAACATCCGTTTAGGTATCGAACTGCGGCGGTGCCTAAATGTGGCTGTTTCATTTTTCGACTACATTCGAGAACATCTATTGGTCGAGGTCCCCCAATATTATTAGTCAGACAACGCTTGATGATGTCGGGCGGGTTTCGTGCAGATACATCTATCCTATCCTTGGTCACTTCAAATGTACATTGTCACGAAACACTATTCCGAAATTACTACAACAGTAAGAGGACAATGTCACTTACGAGATAAATGAATTAAACAACTTTTTCTCTTCCCATTCTCTATTCCTCTACTTGACAACCAAGTCCATACATACAAATTTACAACCGGCATTTCCTTTTTTCCAAGCTGCATCAGCTGGACCAGCTGCATCTATCTGCCCTTGAAATCTGGTTGCCTCCCAATCGCCTCTTTTCGATTTCCAACGTAACCAATAACCAACCAACCGCTACTTAGCACCCCGAACTTGCGTAACCGCCTACCGACCGCATCTTGACGCCAACTTCCGGTACAATACTACGGGTAGCCGCGCACGCTTCATGTTACGCATCCCACAAGGCGCAGATACGCAGCCTTGAATCATATACTATATTCTATTCCAATTCCGTATCCCAATTCAAATGATTGCTTGGTAGTACTTACTAGGTAATTCTACATCAGCTTGGGGAAGGTTGGAGATAGTGACCGACTTCCTATGATTTCCCCCTTCTCTCCCCTACCCCCCTTACATCACACGACCTCTTTACATCTGTCACCATGCCGTCCATCCTCAGCGAGGAGGATAAGGAGACCGTTCGGCGAGTAGTACCAAAGCATACCAACAAGATCCACGCCGTAGCTGTCGCGAGATTATACGTCGCATACCCGAATACTTCAAAATGGACCTACACCGGCCTGCAGGGCGCTATCGTCCTATCCAACGACTTGGTAGGACATACGTACTGGTTAAAGCTGGTTGACGTATCTGTGAGTCCTTGTTCGGTCTTAAGCCATAGTTATACTTCTTAATTTCTAACAATTTGTAGCCCGCCGGTCGGGGTGTAATATGGGACCAGGAAATATTTGAGAACTGGTCTTACAACCAGGACCGAACTTTCTTCCATACCTTCGAGCTCGAAGACTGCTTAGCAGGTTTATCTTTCGTCGACGAGAAGGAAGCCAAACAATTTAAAAAGAAGATGGACGATAGGGAGAAGAACGCCTCCAAGGCTACAAGAAATACTCCTTTCGGTGGAGCCACGCAACAACCGGCCAAGACTGGGTTCTTCGGGAGCATATTTGGGGGGCATAGGCACGCCTCAGCACCCACAGCACCCACGCCGCCCGAGTCACCTCGAAGTAGCGTTCCACCTTCTCACCATGGCAGAGTCTCTTCGGGGAGCGTTAATGGTTTTCACAAGCCAACCTCCAAATTTGCTAAGCTGGAGGCATATGATCCTAACTGGCGAGATAATTTTGGAAATTTCCTGTCGGAGCAGGGCCTCACAGATGAGTTCATCAGGGAAAACCAAGACTTTATTGTTGAGTTCTTGAAGGAACAGGGTACTGGGATATCCGAAAACGGGACATCACGTTCTACACCGGCACCACCACCACCGCCTCCCCCGCCAGCCAATAACTCGACTTCTAACGGGTATAATGCATACGGCCACGGTCGCCTACCACCTCCTCCACCGCCTCCTCCTCCCGGAGGGGGTCGCTCGGTGTCGGAAAGTCTAACATCGTCAGGCTCGCGTCGTGGTGCTCCCCCGCCCCCTCCCGCACCTCGTAGGTCCGGTAAGATAGAGCTTGTGCATAGAGAGCCAACACCACCAGAAGAACCAGTACCACCCCGGCCACGGTTCAATGCCCCTCCTCCACTACCAGATGCTGGTAAATATGCTCATACCGAGAGCGCTCCCCGAGCTCCTCCCGGACCAGCACCTCCCCCAAGACCGCCAAAGACCCCGATAGAAGACAATGAAGAGACGTCTACGGGACACAAGTTTAGCGTACCCCCTGCTTTTACGGGCCAGAAGCAAAATCACGCGCCTCCACCACCAGCCAGAGGTCCAGTGCCTCCACCGCCAAGGGAGCAGCCTCAGTCTGCACCAGCACCACCACTCCCTCCAAGTCTTCCTCCAAGTCTTCCCCCAAGCCTTCCCCCAAAAGTGCCTGGTCCGAGTGTAGCGGCGCCGCCACCGGCACCACCTCCACCCCCTGCCGCGTCTCGGCCAACTCCCGCGCCTCCTCCGCGGAGCACACCTCAGCCGCCAGTTCCACCGCCGAGCGCACCAGCTCCACCCCCTTTACCTCAGTCATCGGCACCGCCGCCACCTCCACCGCTACCTGGCGCTGGCTCTGGTCCTGGTGCACCTCCTCCACCCCCTCCGCCTCCTCTCCCGTCCGGGGGTGCAGGAATTCCTCCGCCGCCACCACCACCTCCACCACCTGGAGCTGGAATACCTCCAGCACCGCCGCTACCGCCTCCCAACCGCGATTCGGGCTATTCATCCGGGGTTCCACCTGGTGTTCCAGCTGCAGCCGCCGCGGATACTGGGCGTTCTGCAATGCTTGAAAGCATCCAAAAGGCCGGTGGAATTGCAGCGCTCAAAAAGGTGGACAGGACTCAAATCAGAGATAGGAGCGCAGCCACAGTTGGGGGAGGGTCAGACACGGGACCGCATGGTAGTGGACTGCCACCCGCAGGCATTGCCCCCGCAGGTCCCGGAGGCGGAATGGCCGATGCTTTGGCTGCGGCGTTACAGAAGCGGAAGGAAAGAGTTCGTGATAGCGGTATGTTCTTATCTACGTTAATCCAGACTAGTGCTTCGAGACTAACAACTATGAAGATGATGAGAAGAGTGATGATGAGTGGTAGAGCCATATTCACAAGATTCATCCGGAAGAAAGCAGAAGTTATCCAATTATGGGATAAGCTGGCTCATGAGTATGTAGCCCGAAAGCGATCGGAAGAGAATGGAAGCACGAACGTCTGCTTAGTCGCAGTTAGTGAGGCAACTCAGAAGACGAGGTTTCTATAAGTAGTAGAGGCCTCGCCCATTATCAAATGAGTTGCGAAAGAAGAACTGGATGGACCTAACTTAGTAGGTAACTAGCCGTCCCTCTATTTCAAGAAAAGAGCAAAGCCTTGAAAGCTTTTTATATGCAAACAAATATGTACCACTAAAATCAAGCATGCAAGGCGGAAAGGGGGGGTGGTATTGTGTTCATTATAGCGGAACCGACTACTGCACCCAAAGGAGGGCGGAGTAAAGAAGGTACCTAGCAGTATACCGTTTAGCGGATTGGGGGAGCAAAACTCGTAGGGACTTGGAGCCTGTTGTCGACGTCTAGAGAGCCTGCATGCAGAATGAGGATTATAGAATATGGGCACGAGCACGTCGGACGGGTGTCCAGGTAATAGGGGTTGATTGCTTATCGACTATTGACTTGGAGCTCTGAGCTTGGTATAGTTTTGGAATAGAAAGGATTAGAGAATTGATAAACCTCAGTTAACTAGGAATTATACAAATGAGTATCAAATCAAATAATTATTACATCACGTCACGAATGAGTGCCTAAGCGTAGTTATAGTATGTTGAGAGAAGAAGCATCTGTATTGAAAGCTAGCAACTAACTGACTTCGTATTGGAAGTCATGTCTCGCGACGCAGGTTCATTATGATTATGCTATCGTCCCCCAACCATCCATCCTTCCTGTCTTCATCAATGCCAAAACCACCGAGAAATAGACTGCAAAAGGGGGAAATAATATCCGTAGCAGCGGAAAAAAAAAATCGTCGTATCTAAGCTGCCAAACGGCAAAGGGCCATGACGTCTCTCCCACCATGTACCCTGCCGCTTGCTTGCCATCAAAGCCGCACCACCCGACTGTCGTGGAACCCAGACCACATGGTAGTAAGTATGATCCGGGTTTGAGAGAGAAGACAGGCTTTTTCCTCTGGTCTTGGGGGTCGCTATGAGGTAGGTTGTAGGGCATAGCTGAACCCGCAGACCAGGTGAGTGATACGTCCCCATCCAAGCAGGAAGGGAGAACTAGATGTCGTCGATGTCGACCTCCTTGCCGCCAGCAGCGCCCGCCTCGTCGGATTCGGAATCGCGGTCCTCGTCGAACTCGAAGCCGCACTCGCCCTCGTCGTTGGGGCCGTAGGTGTCCGTCTCGTTGATCTTGGCGCTCTCGGGTAGTTCGCCGTAGGCCTTGAGGGAACGGGCCTCGTCGGCCGAGTACTTGAGGATGACGTCGCCTTTCTCGTCCTGGTAGTCTCGTAAAGAGAGCAGGATGATATCGCCGTTGTTGATCCAGACTTTCTTGCGCAGTTTGCCACGGATATGCGCTAGTCGCTTCGCGCCGTCAAAGCACTGCGCCTCGAGGCGACCGTTTCCGAGCATCTTGACTACCTGGGCGTATTCTGATTTATCTTTGTTAGAATCTACCTTTTTTGGTTTGGGGGGTCTTTTATTGCGGTATGCGACGTACCTTGTCCCTCCTCTTTGAAGGTCAACTCGCGCTTCTCGTTGTCGTTCTCGTTCTTTCCACGACGACGATTCTTACCTCCCTATTGAAGACATGTTAGTTTAATCGAATAACTATTTGATATTGCGACGCGCGACAATATAGTGAGGGGTATAAAGGTTGAAAGTGTGATCGGCTTGCAAAATGGCTTGATTTGCCGTTTCTCTTTGATAAACCCAACAGACACAAAATCCCACAAACTTCCCTAAGCTGTGTCTAGTCGAACACTGGCTTTTGGGTAATTGTTGTCTTTGGACGGGATCAAATTCACGAGCTGACCACACACAAAAGGAAAAAAAGGATAGAAATTTAAGACTTGTGGCGGGGTCGACGTCGGAATATTGTACGCACCTTTCCCTTATTCTTAGGCATATTGGCGGAAAACTAGGAGATCTTCTGATATATGTAGGGTAAAATGGGATCCGATTTGTTATGTTTTGGTATCGAAGATGGAAGTCGACAAAGTATCTGAGACTTCCGGGGTTGTTGATTTACGTTGAATGTTGTTGTCAAGGGCAGGAAATGTGTTGGTGACGAGGGGCATTTAAATAACGAACAGAAATGGACAGCGAGTGGGGGCAGCTTAGTGGACTAGCTGACTATAGTAGTAGCTAATGGTTTAAGTTGTAAATGGCAGTACCTATGCAGGTAATATACTTTAGTTTACGACCAAGCAACTATTTAAGTTAAAGTATTTTTCTTATGAACAGTACGAAGGTTGGGGCCAAAAGTCTTGCACATCTAAGCTTGGCAAGGCCACGTGCGAGTAAAAAGAGACTGCACGGTCTTATTTAAGCCATAGTGGCTGATGTCGCTATAAATATAGTGGTAAGCCACCTAAATTCAGTGGACAGGCCACTATCCGACCTTCAGCTTAGCGTGTGGCTGATACAGTATTAATAAGTTAAAAGACGTACGAAAATCGATGCCAAGATTTGGACATGTGCAAGACTTTTGGCCCCAACCTTCGTACCTTTGAGTTTTTTACGTACCTAGGCAGGTACAATACCTATCTCCGCCACCACTAACTTTAGCGTACATTAGGTAAAGTTCGAAATTTTACAAGGCTGAATCATTCTAAAGCATAAAATTCATCGAAAACGCCACCTCATTCTTCCTTATTTCTTATACGCCTCTAACCAACATCGTACGGTTCACTTAAAGCTATGAGCCGTTTGACAACTCCTCGGTTACTCATCGGTTATACGGGGGACGGCCTAGGTAAATCATGACAAGCTTGCATCTTGCCCGGCCCCTGGGAAAACTACGGCTTCCACATTATGGACTATCACATTATGGACAATATGTTTCTCTCCAAAGATGGATGAGCAATGAGAGAGCGCTTACGGATGAGCGCCGCCCAAAACGCCCGCAATCAAGCACCTTTTCGAGTGCCTTAGGTGGATCTACATCTGAAGGGGAAATCCAACCTGGTGATCATATCGTTGCTTTCTGCAGAAAGTACCAAGTCTCGTTCCCTTCAGTCCTACGACGCGTTTCTGGATTTAAATTGACGCCGAATCCGTTCGAGTTAGGTGTCTTGATTTCTGAGAAGCATTGCTTCACTAAGAATTCGCTGAGATACCTGGATAAATATGAACAGCCTTTTACCAAATCGGTTTTGGAAATGTACATTGCCCAGAAGAAGCAGCCTCTGTGGTATTCAGTCCATTCTGCTGGTACAACATCGCCTCTTCCGGGCAGAGTATCATCAAGAAGAATACGCCATGCGTTTCGCGATGCGTTAGCCGCCCGAGGATATGACCGGGAGGGCAGAAAAATAATGACGGACGATTCTAATATTGCGGATTTGCATGGGACAGTGCACATCTATTGCGCAAATCCAAAGGCTGCTTGCAATCTGAAATTCCCGGAACTCGTAAAGCAAACCAACAAAATTGTGTCTGCTATTGAACCCATGCTCGCACGAGACAAAGATGGCAAACGTATCCATGTAATGCAAAGCTATCAACGACCCGGGAATCAGTACTCAGAATCGGCGCGGAGGTTTATGGATAATAGGAAATTGATGGATAAGAAGAAAGTTAACACAAACACACAATATCGCAGTCGTGCGAAATGATAGCTGCTCTCAATCAGGTACTTACATGGAAATACGGAAAATATATTATGAAAATATAATATGAAAAAACATATCAATATATCTCGATACATGAATGTTATGTCTTGAGAAATGAAAATCGCTGTCACATGTTTCAATATTCACATATGTAAATAGTAGATATTCGCGGGGTATCGCAAGGTTTCCGCATGCGATAACGCGTAAGGAGACAGGTAAGAAGGTACCTACCTACCTCCTATGTAATTTCCTAACAGCGCGGAGTTGGAAATTAGGGCCCTAAATTTCTTGGAAATAAGCTAGGTACCTACACCTAACATATGTAGTACAAGCTCAGGTACAAGCTCAAGCACCTTTTCCAAAGTACATCATCGATCATCTAACTATCTGGATTGATCATTGATCTGTACCAAGTTCCAATCTACCTAGTTACACTACAAATCCACACTACAACTTTCATCGTCGACACTTATATTGACACTTATATTCCCACTTCATTTCGAGCCTCAAAACCGTCTTTAGCGACAATGCTCGTTTCTCTTACCGTCGGCAAAGTTGATGCCGGCGTAACTGTTTTACTAACCCCTGATAAACGTTTGGTAAGTACAATTATCTATCCATCTCTGTCCTTACTGTCGCAATTTACATACAATTTCATAAACCCTTCAAATTTAGAAATCCTTCTTACCCTAATATCTAACCAATTAGCCTATCCACTTTAATAATAATGATAATAATAATAGATCTAATGGAGATATCTAGATCGAATTCCCCTCAATTCTATTACCCCCAAATATCGTTTCAGGCTCCATAGTCGACATCACCGTCTCTCGCAACAACGAATCTGAAGCTAAAGCAGAGGCCCAGTTCTCAGCTCTTCAAGATCGCATATTCTCCTGCTTCGGCGCATCCGAACCTAGTATACCTGTCCTCAGCTGCCGCAATGCCACCCAAACCTCTGTAGTCCTCGAGTGGGACCCTATCGAGCTCGCCACTGCCGACCTCATCTCCCTCTCCCTTTATCGCAATGGTCAGAAAGCTGGGAACATCCCTCGGCCCCTGCAGATGCACAGCACCAAGATCAGCGGCCTTGCGGTCGATTCCGAATATACCTTCCATCTGGTCCTGCGCACCACCGCTGGCATAAAAACCAGCAAGCAGGTCGTTGTCCGCACCCACAAAATGACCGACCTAAGCGGCATAACTATTACTACGGGTATCCTGCCACCCCACACGCGCGAGGAGCTCACCAAGGCTGTCGAGCGCATTGGCGCTAAGATCGTCGATGGTGTACGCATCGATACTACGCATTTTGTTACAACCGAAGGGCGCGGCGTACCGTGGGAGAAAGCTGTCGAGATGAATATTCCCGTTGTACGACCAGAATGGGTGGATGCCTGCGAAAAGAACGGTCGCATCCTGGGTGTTACCAAGTTTTATTTGGATGCCCCGAGACCTGCCCCTGTTGAAAGCAGGGAGGAGACGCCCAAATCAGCGCCGTCCCCTGCGCCGATACAAAACATCCAGAAGGACCTTCCACCGGCGCCGGCCCAGTCTAGCAGTAATAAAGAAATAGAAGCTAAGCAGGACGAGGAGAAGAGTGAAAGCAGCGAGGAGGAAGACGACGAGGATAAGACAGGAGATGAAGAGAAGGCAAAAGCCACCGACGAGCAGAAAGTAAGGCTTGAGGATAAAGATACCCAGAAGGTCGCCCTACGACCTGGAAACCAATCGCAAGCCGACGAAAAGGATATCGAAGAGAAAGAGAGCAAGAAGAAGAGCGAGAAGGAGAGCGGGGATAGCTCAGACGAAAAGGGGCCCGCGCCATCTCCTGGAGACGAGGCGTCTTTCCAAAATGTGGAGCTGTAGGGGCGCGGTCGAGCCTTGAAATATAGCATGGAGTTCTCAGGGGTTTCCCAAAAATACCCGGCTAGGTCATGAAAATGGTAGTTGTCAGCTCCAACTATTAATATACTTGTACAGTAAGAAGGATGTTTTCGTTTACGTCCTTTGAAATTATACTTGTCGTAGTTTTAATAATCCATGGATGCCTTTGAGAGGCACGTTATTCATACAGGTGTTAGGAGATGTAAATATAATATATAATAGGTTGACCAAATATCCATCGGTACGCTATTCCTACTAAGAATACCATGCCTTTTCCCTTCAGTGCCAACCGGAGTAAACATTATAGCTCGCTCTAAATTAGGTACCTAAATTATATCAAGCTCAAGGCAGAATCTCATCCCCCCGATGGTCCCAGCAACGACCCCTATCCTCGCTAATCTCCCTCGTCCGCACCACCTCCAACATGCGCTCAGCAGCGTACTCGGGGGTAAATAGCTGCCCAGCCGGCACGCGGTCCCAGTACTCGCGGCTCAAGCCCGTCCGCACCGTGCCCGGATGATACGCGATAGCCCCCGCGGCATCCGCGCACCGCACCCGCAGATGGTTGTCGAACGTCTTGGTCAGGCTGTTCACGGCCGCCTTGGACGCCCGGTACGTGTACCACCCGCCTAGCCTGTTATCCGCCGTGGAGCCCACGCGCGCCGAGGCCGTGAGCCAGGTTGCGTGGTTGGGACTGCGGACGGAGGAGGATAGGAATAGGGGCTCGGGGGATATAGCGACGCTTTTCCGCGGGAGGAAGGTGCTGAAATGTTTGATTAGCAGGAGGGGGCCGAGGGTGTTGGTTTGGAAGGTGTGCAGCGCGCGGGCGTAGTCGATGTCCTGAGGGCTCTTTTCTGGGTGCAGGAGGATCCCGGGGAGCGCGAACGCGAGACGGAGGTGGTGCGTTTCCGGCGGGAATAGCCTGGACGCTTCTAAGGAGGCGGAGCGGAGCGTGGACTCGTCTGTTACGTCGACTCGGGCTACGTGTAGTCTTTTGGCGGCTGCCGAGGCTGATGCTTCGTCTTTGTCTCCTACGGATTCGGGAGGTGACGACGACGACGACGTATATAGATTATCTAGGATAGACGTCCGTAGGCCTGGTAGATCAGCCCGGGCCGTTGCTAATATAGGCGCGGTCGTTGTCCGGAGCAGGTGCCGCGTCAGGGCGTGGCCGATGCCGCGGCTTGCCGGGGAGACGAGAATCCACGGTTTGGACATTTGGTTCTCCTGCTGTTATATTACTTATACCCCCTGACTAATGACGATGTATTTACATACAATTTGTTCGTAAAAGTTACTTTTCGTAAATACCTCCTAGGAAGTTAATATGCGCTACTGATGATTCATCATTACTGTCACGATGTAAGAAAAAGAAAAAGAAAAAGAAGACCGCAATTTCACTATCGCCATCTGACGACTATTTTGACCCTAGTATCATATACTACTTGTTGTCTAAGTGTGGAGTATATTCAGACGATATACGGCAAAGCTATATTCCATATGTCACCTACCTCCGGGGTTGCAGACTCGGGCTATTATAACAACCCGAAGGGGTGCCTTCTGGTGATATTCATGGCAGGGTACGGGAGGCACATATGGATATATGAGTCAAAGATCTCGGGATTTATTTATAACTAGCCGCAAATCATACCGTGGATCTTTCATTACTCCTCCCTTCTTATTGAGGGGACGAGAGGGCAAAAGTGAGTCACAGAGCTGATTTACATACCAGCTACCAACTGTGGCAATACATCGTATCCCTAAGCCTATGGGAAAGAATTATAATGTAATACCCCGATATATTCTTGGCAGTACAGCTGCGTATATAGGTAGCTGGCGTTCAAGTGCCTAGTCTAGTTCAACAGGGCTCAGTTAAGCATATATCAACCTGCTAAGTCTATTGATAATTCACTTACATTAATATTCGTGCGGACTTGATTCAGCCATGGCATCTGATGGAAGCGATATCATCTCCTCTGTGAATCAAGCAAGGATTAACGTGACACTGTCTACATCTCCGACACTGTCTCTCAGCGATCCCAAGGCGGAGCTTCGGTTCATACTGACCCTCCAAATAGTCACGTCGGCACGGGAGGGTCATCCGATTACCATATGTACCGATTTATCTGCCTTGGATGTTCTGGACGAGGGATGCGGCCTGATCGACGTGCTTGCTCGCGGTGCTTTTGGAGCACTTCGTAGCGCGTCTGGCGATGCTACCAAGAACATCTCTCTTGGTTACTTCCACGTACGATACTTTACTAATAGCACATCGTCAGACCTCAGGGAGCATGGCAAGCGGTTCGTCACAATTCCTGGTGACGGATCTCCTGTAACAGTGGTCCATAGGCTAATCTGGGAACGCATCTTCAAATACGCAGATAGACGTAAAAAGGATGACCTAGTTCCAGGGGATAGATTCAACATCGCCATGAATAGGCGCTTCCTCAGGTCTGACTGGTGGTGTTGGGGCGACCTCGAGTCGGACCTGAAGGACAAGCATTTGCACGTCTGGCACCCCGGTCGCTATATGGGATCAAAGCCGGACGATGAGGAGTTCAAGGATGGAAGTTGGGTTTTCGGCGAAGATCCGCAGTTGTTGACCTGGGAAGATGTCACCGAAGGTCGGGATGTGAGTTTTGAAATAGTTGAATAAATAGCCGGCCTACCCAAGAGCGAATAAATAAATTCATCCATTTATGGAATCGAGAAGGTCAGACTCGGAAACGTTAAGACATATGTAATTATGTAACGGCCTTTATGCGGAGAATAATAATATGAGAATATATAGGTAGACAGGGATAACGATGCTCTCTATCCCTGTAGAGACCTCGAGGCTTTTGAAATAGTTGAACTTAAATTGATGCTCTCTTATGTAGTTTGACATGACAATGACTCGTCCAACTATCAACAACCAACAACCAACAACCGAAGATATCAGTTCGACGAGAGGCAAATAAATAGTTGATTAGGTTAAATGCTTGAAACGCATGTATTTACTTAAATATCCCAATCCTAAAATAAAAAGGAATATCTAGGTAGTATTCGAAGCCGTTAGTCACTCTGGCGTACGGACATATGTACAATACATAGCAACCAATATTTCTCGGGTGTGGCTTTGGATAGTTTGCATATGTCTAACATGGATAAGGGGTTGAGTACTTTCTGAATTAATCACCGACCCCAATTCAAACATCAGTTGAAAAAGAAAGTCGAACGCGTGGCAAAAGTCCCCTAGGGTTCCTAGCATACCTACCTACCTCCTATGTATCTTATTCTCATTCACATTCTTCTGAAACATACCTCGAGAATCTCGAGTCACTTGGCTTCATAGAGGAATGTACTGTGTTATCTATTATATTATTGTTTATTGCTTCCAACGTTCTGCTCCCCATCAAAATGTATCTTACGTGCTCGTACTCGGGGTAACTTGGGATGTGTGATCAAGGTTGCCATGCATTCACCTAGGTCAAAGCCTGTAAGTCATAAACTCAGTTATTCTACTTCTCCTTGTTAGGCTAGCTACCTAGTCTTCATATCCATATGTCGATCACAAGTTACGAGACAAGCTTCTCCCCGACAATGTCTAGTTCGGATGGATGGTATATTGAGTTTCTCGGCCAGTTGCCGAACTCTACCGTTTTACTTCTCCAGCCCATCATTTGACTGGAGCTTTTTTCTTATTTGTCAGGTTCTCATTCTAACTACCCGTACTTATCCCTGATTAGGCCCTCTCCAAGACTGCAAGGGGCCTCGTATATACAACGTGTTAAGTACCCTACGCGTTGTAGCCTCTTTCTAACCCCTTCGTGAAGGCTATATACGAGCTGTCTTCGAGGCAATCCTTTCGATGTCGACTTTGGTTCAGTGATACCTAGCTAAGGTTGTAGAATACCTGATTCTACCTAATGTCTCTTGTAATGTCACGGATACCGGGGGCGGGAGGAGTTGAAGTAACTGTGGCGTACACTGTCACTACTTTACACATGAATGATAGCGTCGCTTGAGAAATAGAGTTTCTGTCATCCTGTCATCCTGCCATCTCCGCTCAAGGATTTTATTATGGAGAGCATCTTCTTAAAGTCAATCAACTGGGGGATTCTTGTGGAAAAGGAAATAGTGGTCCAAACAAATCATGAAGTCGTTGAAGACTTGGAAGCGCCCCATCCGCCATCTATCGTATCCATTATTCGCTCTGGGTTCGACTTGAGGGGGGGAACTACAACTTCCGAGGCGCTTCAGAGGCCATCGTCTCGTCCTCAAGGCAAGATGGTTTCCCGTCCTGACGTCGGGGAGGGAGAAAATCCCGAAGAGGGCCTTGCCGACTTTTTCCGTAGCGAGCCCCCTCCAGGCAATTTTATGTCGATACCCGACGACGTGAGCGTTTATTCGGTCCATAAGAAATGGGATATGTTTAAGGTCTTTGGGAAAAGGCGAAAGAGTCGAAAACGCCAACCACCGCTTATTAGACTTCCGGATACTGCTATTTCCGCTAGAACTATTAGCGGCCACCGATACATTGCCATATCGGTCCCTTCCGGCAATTCGCATTCTGAATCAATTCCTACCCAGCAACAGTCGGCACTAAGGCCCATTGGAGCAAAGTTTCAGCAGGAAATTGGGTCGGAACATAGCCCGGCGTCAAATCGTAATATCCATAATATCCAGGTCTCCAGGCCCGTGACCGGGGATCGTGAATCACAATCCTCAGCGTCGCTGGCGCCAAGGTCATTAAGGCAACCAGAAGCATTCACCTTTCTCGCGTCTCCTCCTAGAAAGGCATCTATGCTTTCAACGCTACCATCACACGAAGAAGAACCTTATTCTTCGAAGGGAAAAGAACCAGACAGGCAGGATAAGTCTGAGAGTAATATATTAAGCAAGTCGCCGATAAGTCCTTCGGGGGCTAGCAGAACGACACCTCTCGCCGAACGTGAGTCTAGGCCGCCTATAGGAAGCTTAGAAGGACGAAGTGAACAACAGATGAAGGCACCAGACCTCGAACGACTTGAAACTGGAACGGTCCCTCGGATAGTTGAAAGTCCGCCTCAGAAACAGGCTATACAAGAATCCGAGCAGAAACAACCGGAACAAACCAGTGATAACTCTATGACAAGAGGTAGGCCAACGAAAGCCGAAAAATCTCCTGGCTCTCCGCGTATTCTCTCGACGAACCTATTGTCCATGCCAGATTTACCGGTACGGACTTCCAGCAAAAGAGCAGTAACGACAGCAAGAGCTAAGCTTAATGGTGCTGAGGATGCTGCTATCGATCGACTAGAACCGATTAGTAGAGCTGCCACTGGTTCTAACACCGGCAGTGGAAATGAGACGGCAGCCGGAAATCGTGCGTCGTTTGCCGAGAGTTTAATGACAGATTCCTCACCAAAGGTGTTAAAAGCAGAGACAGCCACAGCATACCACCCTATAGTAGTTCGCACATCATCTTCACGGCCCGAAATCCATTCCCCCCTGAATCTGAACTTCCCCTCCCCACCCACAGACAAAACCAATCGTTCGGTGCAGGCGAATCTTTTATCACCTCCCACCACATCCGAAGGAACTCCGAGCCGCAAGGATCGCGTCAGGGAACGGAAGAAAAGAGATATGGAGAAGTTAAAGGCCAAGATTTATCAACCTCCAGCGTCGCGTCTTCTCCAAGTTGAATCACAAGCCGAAAATGCCTGGCCAGAGTCTCCGGTGCTTGGCCGGTTTAACCAAGACCTAGGCTTACCGCCTTCTAGGCCGTATATAACGGGGAAAATGTCAGATATCAGCCCTATCAGGCCTAGTATTCAATTAAAATCTCCCTACCTATCAGCAGAGACTGTGGCGAAGAAGCGACGTAAGAGAAGTATCAGTGCCCCAGTACTAACCAGCTCATCGTCTCCGTCGTCATCTCCCTTAGAACCCCTAAGAGCAGCGCCTTGGGAGGATAGCACATCTTACTACCGCCGAAGAGAACGACTAGCAGAGCACGAAGAAGCAGCAGCGAGGAGGACACGGTACGCAGCTCACGCGCTGGCAGAGCAAAATGAGACCCGTGAATGGGCGATGCGGCAGAAGCTTCTGCGGCGGTACGAGAAGCTAAAAGAAAGCCGTACAAAAGACATGGAGAAACGGCTGCGCCGCGTAGAACGGAACGGGGAGATTCTTATGCAGACGTTAGTATCTCTGATGAAAACTCTCGACACCTTGTTGCAAGACCGACAAGTCCTACAACGCAGCGTTTCTTCGGCATACCCTGCAGCCAGTTCCGTTCCGCAACCACAATCGCAACCTCACAGGTCCGCAGAGGGACGAACTCAATCCTTAAGATCCGCACGCAGCTTTGACAATTCGCTCCCGATGCTACGATCGCAGCCGGAGCAGAGGGAGATCCCTTTTCGAAGACACCGTCCCCGGAGCCTACGCCTTTCCGGACATGGACGCCAATCAGGCACGACGAGATGTCCACAGCAGAGCGGAGGAGGGCAAGAAAGCAGCGAAGCGGATACCCGCGTCCGTCAGTCGGCATTAGAAGCACTACAGGCGCAGTTACAATCCCAGTCTCGATTTCCCCGCAGTGCTCGAGCCGGAGGGCTTTCAAGCTACTCCAGCAGCATCAGCAATACCCACAGCGACGAAACTGGTAGCCTCGAGGTCATGGAGCCGCTTATGCGCGAACTTCAGGAAGCAGCGGGGTACGGCGTCGAACGACGCCAGGGGGGAGAGCGTGAGGAGAAGGAGGGCGGGACGTCTCTTAGCGAGAGCGAGGTCTTTAATCTTTTCTGATTTAGGAGATACGTTGCTTTATACCCTCCCTTTATATTTATTTCATTTGTTTTTATCCCAACTATACTCTACCCAAAGTTGGTCCTGGGTGTCTTTTTATGTATACAAGATCTGTGAGGGCTGGGATAACGTAGGGATAACACGTTTCCCTCATAGTAGGAGGCAAAGGGAGGTATCTGGAGGAGGAATGATTTGCGGAATCGTAAACGCACCTACGTAGTTGGCTAGCTGATTTATTCAAGGATTTATAAATCCTTGTAATTCGAATACGCCTTGCGGCATTCCGTAAGGGTGGATTTAACTGAGTTTGGGTGAGTGTGTGGTGTTATATTAAAGGATGAATAGTAGGATAGGGCTACCCAGAAGTGATACGGGATGGTCGCTTGTTATATTACGCCGTACATATTAGCGTGAAGGCTGACACGCCTACGCGGGTACGTAGAACAAAAATAGGATTTAATGAGGAGACGAGAATAGTTGAGGAATCAATGAGATGTAAAGAGATTAACCCGTAAATCAAGGTTAACAGTAGGAATTTACTGAAAAGTGTTAAATCGTGGGCATCAAGAACTTCACGCATAAATAGGTAGCTACAGACGATCATAGACCAGACCACCCAGTCTACCTACCTAGGTTAGCCCTAGTCTTAAATCGGGCTCATCGTAATTATTTAACGACTTGAGGCGCCCAGCCCTGGACCGAGTGAGTCTATGAGGGCGACCTCGACTACCTAGTCTAATCTCTATGAAGTCATGTCCTGTATCCCGTTTAAGACGTTATACCCGGGTATCAAAAAAGCCGACCACTACCTAATTAGAGTCTTTGAAGAGAAGAAGGGCTCGCACTATCTACGATAACTGGAATAACTGGAATAACCCAAAGCCGTACGCCGTGAGAATGCATTTATGTTTCATTATTACCTCTGTGACGCTTTCGTTGCAAATATAAATGCATCCAGCCCATAAATATTATCGAGGCCTATTAGGTTTACGTTTGATGAAAGGATCAGAAGAAGTCGGTTTTCTCCTTGGTGGAAGTGGTTTGGGTGGTGCAGAACCAGATGGACCCTGGCAATTATTGTTAGCTGAAGAAGGGGTAAGACGACGATATTACAAACCTTGGGAGCATTCGGAGGTCCAGGAGGGGGGTTGCGCATTGTCGGAGGGTGTTTAGGGTGTTTAGGGGGGATACCCAGCACGGCCATTGCCGACGGATCCTGCGGTTGTGGCATTGCTCGAGGAGCACTCGGTGGAGCTCTTGGTTTAGTTTCGCTGGCAACCTGTGATATCATAATTTAGTTATGGCCAAGTGACTCGTTTTATTCTGGTGATTTTACCCTCTTCGGCATTTTGCCGTCTTCACTCCCATCTCTAGGCCGTTTTTGACCTGACTGGTGTATTATCGGACGTTCAGAGGAACGAATGACGGTGGCGCTCTCGCCGCGCTCGTTAAGCCCACCATATCCGTTTAGCGCTGAATTATCTATCGGACCGCCTTGTCCCTGTCGCTCGATAACAGTATAGGTCTGTGGCAGCTGGGGTGTTTGGTGTTTCTTCTTGGGTAATCGATTGGAAGGTGCAGCATCTTCCATGATTACATCTTGATCATAAGCCTGCGTGGATTTCCTTGAGATAGCATTCGGATCCTCGACTGTCGCCTCCCTGGAACCATAAGAATCGCTGGACTGGGGGCGGGAGGCTGATGGCATCGGTGTGGGTGAGATATCAAAGTTAGGAGGTGGTAACTGGGCCCCAGGCTTCCTAAGCAAAGAGAGAACATCGCCAGCAGTATAACGATCTCGAGCTTTGGCGTCTACAATAAGCTTGTTCCAGAACTCTCCCTGAACTAGAGCTCTTGAGTCTCCCAAGATAAAAAGTGACGATTTTGCACGAGTGAGACCAACGTTCATACGTCGGATATCCGTCATGAAACCAATACCACCTGTAGGGCTGGCCCGAACACACGAGAAGATGATAATCTCACACTCGCGACCTTGGAAAGCATCAGTAGTGTTAAACTCGATTTGCTCTTTAACCTTGTCTCCATATCGTCGACAGAACCGGTCACGGAGCTCAAATAATTGTGCTTTGTAAGGTGTGATGATTCCAATTTTCCCCTTGAAATCGATTGTCGGGTAATCCGCTATCAATCTGTCATAGATCTGCATGGCAACTTTGAGCTCTTCCAAGTTGACAAGCGATTGACCTTTACGGCCCTTCTCTTGGATACCCTTCACGTCGAAGAAACGGTATGGACCCAACAATGTACTCTGGTGCCACGGTTGGTATCGTAATTTCCTCATGTCATCGCCGTCTATGAGACGTCGTTCGTAGAATTCTTGACTAGGGAATAGACTGATTTCTGGGTGCATACGGTATTGCGTATCGAGTAGATGAACATCGTCGGGATGATTGCGCTGCATACGAACGAAAAGACTTTGATCATATCCGTACCGCGCAGCAGATTGTGACAACACTGTTGGCGGAAGTTGTTTCGGGTCTCCGACGAGGATGCATTTGGAACAACCATATTTCAAGGGAATTAACGCGCTCAGTTCAACGCACTGAGCCGCTTCATCAATGATCACTGTCTCGAATTCAACCTGCAGATTCTTGAACATCTCATGTCCGCTACCGCTGAGCGTTGCACACAGAACTTGAGCCGAGTCAAGAATCTCCTGCTGGATTTGACGCCGCCGGATTTCGCTCTCTCTCGCAGCTGTGTTTCCGCTATCCTTGTCAGCATCGATTTTTGCACCAATTTGACCTTGACGACGCTTCAGCTCATCGAATTTTCGCTGTAATTGATTAATCTGTGTGCGGTCTCCGACAGTCCGAGCGGCCTCCAGCTGCGGCCGTAACTCAGCCAGCTCCGACTTGATCTGTCCGGCTTCTTGGTGCATTAAGTCCCGTGAACTAGGCCCATTATTCTGATTCGCAGTGCCCTCCACGCGAGCTTTGACCATCTCGTCCAGAGTGACATCTCTTACAGCCGCATTTATGGCATCACTACGACCCAGACGCAAGACATTGATCTTATGGAATGAGCCAGTAGTAGATTTAACACCATTCTTGAGACGCAAAACCAACTCATCGACGGCAGCGTTACTTGGGGCACAGACTAGCAACTTCTTGGCCATCCCTTTATTACCTGTTGAATTAATTCCTCCGGGTCGTTTGATAGCGGTGCCACTGGTCGTAGAGAAGCTGCCCGTCAAAAGGGCACCTACCATTGCTACTATTGTCTTCGTTTTGCCTGTTCCCGGCGGACTGCATTTAATTAGCTAGGCTTCCAGTACGATTCTCTATTATTCTCTGAGCTTACCCTTGGACAAGTGTAAATGCGTCGTTTTCTTTGGCATTGAGAATTGCCTTTGCCTGGCCAGGATTCAATTGATAGTTCTGCATGACCTGGTCAATAGCATCCTGGCTAAATTTGAGCATAGGCGAAGGCTTGGCATCTAGCACTTCTGGCATCAAATCATAGTACTGAAGACTTTCCAGAGAAGCGTATTCACGTTCAATCGTGGTCATGTTAGTAATCTTAACAGCATAGAGTTCGGCCTGAGGCATCATGGTAGATAATATAGGACCCGCCCGGCCGCTCAAACGGAATTGTACTTCTAAATTGCCGTTTTTGAACTGGACACGCCAAATTCGTGCAAGGCAATGTAGCTCACCCGTTGCTTCCAACGGGTTCGAAGCGTGTGAAAATAATATGATATCCCCTTCCGCTAAGAATCTGTCCTTATTTTCGGTTATGGGCATGGCTGTGCTGACTTCGACAAATTTGTCAACGTTCATCCGATTAACAACCTTGATTCCGAAAGGCTTCGAGGTTGCTTCGTCCTTGGCTGTTACAAAAGATCTCCAAGCTTCGTTGATGAGAAGCGGCAAGAATGTTTCTTTGTACTTCCGCGGATCTTCATACGAATCAGAGACCTGAGAGCACCTTATGCCATTTGGAGGGTCACTGCCTTCATGAAAGATATCCCATTCGAGGATGGCCTGATGTAGCACGTCCATCGGAGGAATTAATCGCGCCCGCATATCCTTTGCAGAACGTTGAATCTTTACTTTCTTTACTGGCAGGCGTACGTTAGCTTTCACAAATTGCCCGCTCTTGGACGTTTTCTGTCCCGCAGCAGACCGAGCTAAAAATTCAGCATCGTCTTCCGAATCCTCCTCGTCTTCCGAGGAAGAGTTGACCATAATCTCGCTTTTCTGAGGTGCGTGGTCTTTTCCGTGTACACCAGAAAGCCCCTGAAGGCCAGACCCTTCGCCACCAACGAGCGGTTTGGGAGTTCGTAAGGCCTTAGCTCTGGCAATAGTTGCAGCGTCTCTCTTTTTCTTTTCCTCGGCCTCCTTCTGACGCTTTTCGCGGATAGCTGCTACATCAACGACCGGGGGTTTTCGCTCCGCTTGGCGGCTCCTCATCATGTCCAATGTAGCCCGGCTCTTATCCGAAGAAGAGTTTTTGAGTAGCTCACGGATGTCATCCTTGCTCGATCTGACTTGTATCTTCTCCCTCCGAGAACCGGTTGACACGGAAGTCTCAGAGCTCGACTTTGACCAAGCATCAAGCCTAGTTTGCCGTCTAGGAGGCTCACTCTTCCTAGCTGAAATAATCTGGATGTCATCTTCTTGAGTATCCTCTCCTAAAGCTCTTATTAACTCAGCCCGTTGACGTTCGTTCATGTTCGTCTGGGTATTATATCTCCCATCCTTGTTTTTAATGCAGGTATTCTTGACGAATGCTAGAGCCTGTGAGGGGAGCTCCATGTCAAACTCTACCAGTCGTCTCATGAGTTTCCCAACAACACTGACGATTACCGTGACAAGGTACAGATCCTTCAGACGGAGCATTTTGCAAAGCCCTAGGCAGTATTTGCGCGGCTGCTCGAGGATATCCCTCATGGCTTGCTTCTCAGGCTGTTCACTGTTATCGACTGAAGCAGAATGGGCAGACTGGGGACTCAGTGCGGAGGCCAGAAGACCATCCTGGGCTAAGAGAGCCTCGGCAAGTTCCATAGCTTCTCGACAAAAATTCTTCATAGTTTCCATATCAATCAATCGGCTCCAGTCTTCTGTCTGGGTGAAGGCATTGTCAAGAAAGATCCATTGTGAGTTCCACCAATTGCCAAGAACTTCGCGTTCCGTGTCAGTTAAATCCTTTGAGCGGAGTATGCCAGACGTTGGGTCGCAGAGACTACTAAGTATATCTCTCGAATATCGGATAATATTAAATTGTGGCGACCAAAGGGACATCTTCTCGTTGACATCGTTGACAACTGCTGTGTAAGAAGACAAGGCGTGCACAAAGTAGCCTTCAAGCAATTTGAGTACGGCATCCGTTCTTCTTACCTCGCCGGTAACTGTCTTAATAAAAGAAGCCCCAGCTGTGCTAATAACCTCTTCTCCATGAACAAGAGCCGCTACGATAGGTAAAATCGTAGAAGCATCTTGGCAAAGACCTTGAAGCGCGGATTCACTGAAGTCGGCCAATCTTTCAATAGCTCGTCCAACAACTTCAGCCGTCTTCTGAAACTCGATATTAAATTCCTTCTTAGTTGGCGATAGAGATTGTCTCTTCAGCGGCCGGAAAATCTCCACGGCAATTAACGGACCTGCGGCGACTAACATCGATCTGGCCAAGTCATCTGCGCCGGGCTGGAGAATTTCCAAAAATGCCTCCCAAATTCCCGACGAATTCCGTTTGACCTCCCGTTGAACATGGCTATCACTATTCTGGAGTGCGTTGAACTCTTCGACGGTGATACGAGAATCTAGGGCAAGCGCAAATCTAATTACAGACAAACCGACTTGCGACATGGCAGCATTTTGCCGGTCATCGGAGGGAAGTTGGGCTAACTGAATGATTAGATCTTTATACTTTAACGTCAGATTTAAGACCGTATTTGTGTGAATGGTGGAAGAGCCGGCATGCAACTTGTAGCTTGGCGAGACGAATGCCTCTAGAGTAGAAGATAGAGCTTCAACTGCCCCGAGAGTACAAGCCAGCTTGCCTCCAGGCGTCATGTCAGGATCCTGGGCATACCTCTGGAGGAAGTGATGCAAAAGGGAATCGCAAGCATCGCTCTTCTGATTCGTAGGAATTGATTCTACGAAAGGTTTTACCCAAGAAATAGCCGCGGGGCCTTCTAACATCAAGTCATGCTCCCCAGATTGGGTGAGCAGCGATCTGAAAGCAGGGCTCCCCAATATCTGTTCAGCAACAGCCGTGTGGGAATAATGACTATATGCATCCCAAAATGCTTTAGGTGACTTTTGTATTAGAGAACAGAAGGCCTTCAGCAGTACTTTTAAGACCGAAACCGAAGTAATTCGAGGCATCTGCGCCAGCATTAGATCGTATATGCTCGGTTGAACGGACATGGCTCGCAGAGAATGGAACACAAGATTCTCATTGAGGACATTGAGGATATGAAGAAATCCTTGCCAGAATCGAAGTAGGAATTGGGGAGATGCATTGGTGTCATTTGCTCTTAAAATTGCATTCGCCAAGTTGTCGTGAATTGCCCATTCAAAGTCTTCGGCGGTAATAGAAGGTTGTCGAGAGAACGTGTGGACGGCAAATCTATTACGAATTTCATTCTCGTCGAATAGAAAGAAGGTCATAGTCGGTAGGATCTCATCTAGTTTAAGGATCTTTCGTTTCTGGATAGATTCGAACACGTAATTGAATTGCTTTCGGTTTTCCGGCAAGCTCAAATACGGCATGCAGCAAATAGCTTCATAGAGAGATATAAGGAGTTCCTCTTTCTCCTCCTTAAGGAAAGTACTTTGGCCGGCTACGCCATTGTGGGCATTGATGAATTCGGCGGCGGCTTCGAGGCCCTGAGTGATGCGGCTAAAGTCGAATTGGTTCAGGCGGTCTTCCATCTCGGATACGACACTGTCGTCGTAAGCCCTACTCTATGAGTTAGTGTGTCTCCTTCAAAGTGTAATCGGAATACGCCTTACTGAGAAATTTCCTTAAGAAAGGACTTACGTCCCTTGTGCCAATTGCGCACACAAGTTGGGCAGAGCCTTAGGAAGTTATTAGTCCGTATACCAAACTCCTGGCCTAGATCTCCTGCCGAGTCCTCGGCCAACCCTAGTACTAATGAACATGTGTACGTCTGGATCAACCTTTTCTCGCCATCCTCGATCCTCTGTTGCTTCTCCGCGGCGCTGATTTTGCTTGGCGCATCCGGATCGTCATAGATCTCGTCATCTTCGTCGGAAACCTTCGGGCAGCATAGGTGGGAAGTTTCGGGAAACCCGCGGAAATCATCGAAGGCATTCACAAGTATTTTAGGGACGGACATGTTGAATTTATTGGGGCATGTCGCTATAGATCCCAAATCAACGTCGCAAACAGAGTCGAAAGTTGGCTACTATTCGTTCTCTAGCTCTCATTCGTTTTAGTAATTCTCTTCTATGGTTGAATGGCAAGTGCTTGATGTTTTTGTTGGGTCAATGGGATTACGTAGATTGAGTTTACACGGGATGTTCGGGCTCGTCTAGAAATAATAAGGAAGGGGAAGGTGACAAAGGAAAATGAAAAGGTGCAAATTGGATGCAAGTATTAGTATAACAGATATGCTCCGCTATACGAGTGGACGTAGCCTCACGCGCGAGAGAATTTGAGAGGGAGACAATACCGTCGCGTTGAATTGTACAGGTAGAAGAGTAATGTGCTTTGGCGCGTGAAGTTTCAAGGAATATGCCAATGTGCCTATCGATAAGAAACCAATTACGCTAGATAAGGTAAGACCAACATTAGGAAGGGAACGCGCATTTGCTGTGCGAAGCCAGAATTAAGTGGGGCGTGGCACGAGTATGGGGGAGGGGCTTACCTTTTAATCTAGCTTACCTGAGTAAAGTATCTACCTGGTATTCACCCCCAGAGCTTCAATGTTATGACTGCATACCTCTCTTTTTGCATCAAAGGAGGTTAAAAGGGATGGGCTTTTGCTTTGGGTTTCAGATATTTCCAAGAAAGGCGCAGATTGTATATACGTGATTGTATGTATGTACTGTTAGGCATGTACGTAAAGTACGTCTTTATCCCTACCGTCCCACTAGCACGCGAATAGCCTCAATAACATATCTTTTCCGTAAAACAATGTCCTGCTACTGACATAGCATAAAATATGGCAATAAAATAAGTCACAGTCTGAAATGATTTAAGTAAATCTGGAAGCCCATCGCATTTTCTATCTAGCTACTTCTGTTCTACTATCTGAACACCTGTTGCCATGCTACAGATCCTTAGGTTTGTTGCCTAAATCAATCCCAACTACTCCTTGTAGCATATCGCTAACTAGTTCTATAAGAACTCCTGCATCTCTAGTGTACGGGACATACCAATTTGTCAGGGAAAGCAAAAGCTAGTACAGGAGACAGAGGCCGTGTGGGTGCTATTGACGGAACTGGTAAGAGTGCAACCAAGGTGGGTGTGGCGGGCACGTCGATCGCGAACCGTTACGCAGAAGCATTGGTAAGCCGAACTGAGTATAGGAAGTCGGAGGCTTTACAATCTTTTCTCCCCCATATCTTGCGAGGTTAGGGCTCGTCCATAGGCCCTTCCTGCTTTTCTTCGTCTCGTTTTTCGTCTTGTTTTTCGTCTTGTTCTTCGTCCTTCTGTTTACCTTTCTTAGCCGGTTTCGACTTAGCCTTCGACTGCTTCTTGTCGTAGCGATCAAGAAGACTCTCCAAAGGGCACTCGGGAAGCATTTCCCAATCCGCTGTCCCTTCGGCAGTGCTTGAACTACACTTGCCACAACGTTGGCCGTGCCGGATGAATAGCTGGTGCAAGCCATACTTAAGATGGTCCGGACAATGGACTTCGAGATGACTGAAAACATCGGTCACATTGGCATTTTTCGGTACCCATCCAAGCCACTTGGAAAATCGGTAGACATGTGTGTCGACAGCGATACAAGGTATTTGAAAGCAAAAAAGAATGACGCATGCCGCAGTCTTGACACCAATCCCGGGATATTTCGTGAGTTCTTTTAGGATCTCATGCTTTGATAATCCACGAAGGTGTTCAAGGGAGAGATCATCTTGATCTGTTCCCTGGATCTTGGCGTCCTTCTGCTCATTAGCATCCTTCCCTGCAAGTGTATCAACTTTGATTTGAAGGCAGGCTTTGCGTCGTTCAGCATTCTCCTGGTATACCATATCGAGGATGGCCTTAATATGCTTAGCTTTGATATTTGCCAGTCCTCCAGAGTGTATAGCATCAACCAAATCCTTGTAAGATCCCAGCCTGACATTATTCCAGTTGATGCTTTCTTTTCCGACCCCCTCCTTTGATACACCATATTTCTCGGCCAGCGGTATCAACGTTATATCTATATGCTCTATTCTTGTAGCGCCACTCAAAAGAGTTCTGAGTAGCCCATCCAGCACAGAAGGGACCTCGCCACAACCCATTACTTCAAGGGAGGGGGCGGAGATAGCTTTGGGTGCCTTGACCTCGCCATGCATCTTTGTGAGAAGATTGTGAACTTCTTCACATTGTTCAGCACTTGGCGCTAGCCACTGGGGAAAGGGGCTCTCGCCCGGTGGCATCAGACCGTATTGGTTGTCCTTTGTTTTCTTGGCTATACTTTTCAAATAGCCCTCGCCTGTTTCTACGATCTGACTTTTCACCTTCTTTAGCTTAGGCAAAGGTGTGTCGGGATCCAACCCTTCATCGGCCGTTATAGGGCTAGGCTCAGGTCCTCGCTTTCGTTTGTTTGGTGCTCCCTTATCGCTTTGCCCACCAGCGATTGGTTCCACCACGGCAGAATCATGGCTATCCACATCTATTTTAGACACTCCAGGTGCCAGCTTTGGCTTCCTTGGCCGTAACTGCCGCCCTGTCTTTTGTACGAGATCCGTCTCAGTATTCTCAGTCTTACGCTTTTCGTCCGACGTCTTTGGCTCAGGGGCAAGATCTCCATTAGACTCTAGGACTTCGTCTATATCTGCTTGTTTTGGAACTTTGATTTTGATAACGATCTTACGTCTAGTACTCTGGGGCATGGTATCATCTTCGGTAATATCAAGCTGAGTAGATTGAGTTGCCAAGGAGGGGTTTTCCGTTGCTCCTGATATGACTTTTTCGGGAGTTATGGCTACAGTTGTCTGTGTTGAATCTATAGAAGAAAGCCTTTGACCGACTGAACGGGGCTCTGTCGAAGACAGTGACTCGGCAATAGGTGGTGTTGGAATATTAAACTGTATTTCTTCACTTCCAGCTGTTAGGGAAACGCCCATACCATGCGGCAAGATATCCCATCTGCCTTTAATGGGCGCAACACGGCCCTTGCGGCCACGTTTCGGCATCTTGTATAGATACCAGGTGCGGCTGCGTATGAATAGGAGTGTTGGCTCTATCGGACAATATGGCTAGTTGAGATTTATAGGACGGTAAATTACGGAGTTGGCGATTGCTATAAATCTCAACAGTTGGCATTTACAAAGAGATGCAACTTTATAATGTCGACTATGACTATGTCGGATACTATTGGCGAGGGGGCTATAGTCAGATAATAACATACGGCAAGAGGTATCGGCGACAGAAAACCGTAGTAGATAGAGGGCGAAGGCACAGGATATGTGGTTGGAGGTTTCAAGAGATGTCGGCGTTTAATAGTTATAGATAAATACCGGTATATACCTAATAATCTAGCAGTATTGGCTGGTTTAAATAGTATTGATCCCGCAGTATAGATTGTGTAGCGGTACAATTGTGTTAGTGAGTGTCGAATATTGGGAATGAGGATGTCAATGAAGTGCATGTTTGTGGTAGGAAATGCCAAATTCACCACCTGAGACGTCCACTAAGTCAAGGAAGCGGCAATCGGAGAAGTTTAAATCTGGTAAGGGAAACTGTCCCCTAACAGGAAAGGGCGCTATAGTAGTGAATACGTACCTACCTTAAACAATACGGAAGAATAGAGAAGTCACAGCCTGTTAGACCTGGGAACTCAATTGAAAGCTTTCTTTGGGCCTACGAGAAAGACTACGTCAAGTCTATAAGGATATACTCACATGCTTTTATGTCACTAACCTAAATTTTGTGAATGACAAGACAGGCACCTATATCTAGATGGTATGGTATAGGTAAATGATAGGAACGGTATAGTGACTGGTTATCTTTAGGACTGTGATAACCGACCTAGCTAATCTGCAATAATTCTAATCGACTAAGGAATGCACGAGAAACATTAGATACAGCATCATTCACTGATCCCAGCATATACTTTTATCTAGGCGAGGAAAAAAGGGGTAAATTTTGTAGTCTATAACATCACTTCTAGCATACTGGGTTGCAGGTAGGTAGCGATACTAGAGGGCCCAAGCGCCTGGCGGTCCCTCTTCGCTGCGCTCAGAGGGCGTCAAAACCTTGGGACAGGTCAAAACCCTGGGACAAATAGTGTTTACTATATAGAATGTATGGGTTGCACTAACATTTTCAACCATTTCTAAGTTAATAAATACCCTAACTTAACGAATTTCATAGCTATAAAATATCTTTTTATATTGAAAATTTCTTTGAAAAATAAGAAAAATTTTGATATAAGGTGTATGTTGATAGCTGTAATATTGGCTAAGTTATGGCTATTATAATGTAGTGTTTTTTAAAAAGTGTGTGGGATGTTTGAATTTGTTGCACCTCCTTTTCAAAAAACAACTGAAAAAAGTTTACTTTTTTACTTTTATTTTTATTTAAAATCGAAAAAATTACTTTTATATAAAATAAAAGATTTAAAATATAATTACTATTGGAAGTATAATTTTATCTATTTTATTCGTTTAAATATAAATTGTTGAAAGTTGGATTTTATATGGGAAACACGTATTTTGTTGCCAAGGCTGTCCCAGCTTTTTGACCTGTCCCAGGGTTTTGACGCCTTCTGAGCGCAGCGAAGAGGGACCGCCAGGCGCTTGGGCCCTCTAGTAGGTTACATCAAAGTGAATTGATAATAACTAATACTCATATTACATGATCCGCATGCAATCGAATCTCGCCCAGTTATCTATATCGTTTACTGAGCTGCTAACTCTGGGCATCTATCTCTTATGGATAATATGAATTATCATCGTCGCTCAGGTTCAGTGGCCACGTTGTGGAGGCTAATATCTTCCCGAATTAAAGGTGAAATAGTACCATTTCTCAGCTTCTCGGCCGACTCCTTCTCGCCTCCTGGTGCCGTCGCATGTGGCGCCAAGCCATTTGCGTCGGTCAAGCCACCCCCTGTAATTATCGTTGGGCCGCTGCTGGAAATTTGTGCATGTGTAGCATGCTTTCGTTTCGTGCCGCGCAATTGATTCAGATGCTCGAAGTATCCTTCTGGTACCGGCGTAACATACTTGCCACAGAATACACCAACCTCAAATTCAGTAGGACCGCCTGGTTGTGCAAGCTCCGCACAGGCCGCCTTGAGGTCATCCAGATCTTGATATATTACTTCCTCCGCATCAATACCTGCAGGTTGAGTTAGTGTCCAATTCGAAGCAGACGTAAAATTCAAATCTGCATCTCAAAAAGCTAGGCGGGGGCATAGCGAATTTCTGAACCTACTTTTGGCAATGGCAAAACGGTCTTTGCCGGAAGCAATCAATTCCATGGGACTGGCTAAGTCAACTACATACACTTAGGTTAGCAAACCTGCACAGTTACATGGGCCATAGTTCAAAAGGGCTATGTCCTAAGGCACAACAGGGCATATATTACTTACTACCGTAGATATGGGGTGCGGTGATAGGCGGAGCACAACTCGCGAAAATTACTTTCCGCGCGCCAGCTTCTCGTGCCATAGCCACTATCTCCTTACTTGTGGTTCCTCTTACGATTGAATCGTCCACAAGCAGAACACATCGTCCTTCGAATTCGGTTTGGATGGCGCTGAGTTTCCTCCTAACTCCTTTCTGGCGAGCTCCTTGTTGTGGCATACTATAAATACTTGATTAGCGACGGCCATTTGCCACCCGAGAGCAGAAAAAATTGTAAATTACAATGCCAGTTTCATAATGGCACAACAAAGGCTTCAAATCAATCAGGGAAATAGGGGTAACAAACATGAATGTCCTAAAAACATATCTGTTCTTGACGAAACCTTGACAGTAAGGCTTGCCCAATCGTTCGGAGACGCTTGCGGCTGCGGTGTTCGACGTCTCGGGTATCGGGATAACAGCATCGATATCTTTAATTGCTTCATCTCCAAGAAGCTCTCGTATCTTATCGGCTAGTTTATAACCCATTCGCTGTCGGGAAGCGTGAACGCTAATGCCATCCATGACTAAGAATAGGGTTAGAAATTGTTTAGTTTTGTAATGGCTGAGGCTATTGTGAACTAACCGGTATCGGGTCGCGCAAAGTATACCTATAACATAAGTAATTAGCAAAACCTCGGTGGCCAATTTGAATATACCACGACGGTTTAATACGAAGGGCTTTCGAGGCGTGGCTAGGACGAAAAGACTAAGCCAAGGAGGGGTACTAATAACATAAAATGTTGACATACGTATTCAAAAATGTCAGGCGAGTAAGCCTTCGGCTTCTGAACCTGGTGGAAAACCGGTGCTCGACCCTTCTGAATAAAAACGGCCTGGCCGGGTAAGATATCCCGAATATTACGGAAACCAAGCTGGCGCAGGGCAATAGACTCTGATGCAAGCATGTAGTCTTTTGCACCAGGAAGAGTTTCCGAATCCTTTTCTCCAAGAACCAAGGGTCTGATTCCATAAGAATCGCGGAAGCCTAAAACACCAAATCCTGCAATCATAGCAGTGCAAGCCCAACCGCCCTAATTAAAACATTAGTATTTAGATGATAGACCATGATTTGAGTAGTATAACGCACCGAACAACGATCATACATCCGGCCTAAGGAATCTATGACGAATTAGCATCTTATTTGGATATCTTAAGAGCATCCCCCTTCCATAATACAGCGGCTACATATATAGGGCGACGGCGGGTATGGGTAACGGGGGAAATTGGTAGGTTCGCAAACCGGAAAAACTTACTGAATATATCATCCGTGTTGACTCTAGCCTTTCCAGTTTCGTTCAATTCGTTCGCAAACACATTGAGCATGCTAAACTCTCCTATCAGCCTTGACCGTTCTTATGGTATTTTATATATTGTAATCAGTATAAGTAGGGTATGAGTATCGACTTACAGTTCGCTATCGCTATCCGTGTTTATATGCCGGTGGGCGACAGTGTCGAGATACCGACGTAACTCAGGGGCATTGATAAGATTTCCATTATGCGCAAGCTATAGCATCTCTCATTAGTAATCTGATAAGGGAGAAACAATTGATTGAGCTGGATACAAGACAGCAAGTCTTGTGTGTCTACAAAATGCTTCTTAATTTATGAGAATGCAGATGATCTCATATGTCCTAAGTATAATGCTTTTTGTTGAGGGTCATATATAGGTACTCAATATGGTTCAACCGGGGGGAGGGGGAAGGGGGGGTATAGCTTTAGAGAGATAACCACATGGATAACTTACACATATGCCATAAGGACTATTAACGTAAAATCTATTCTTTGTCAATACTTGTAAACAACCAGATGCCTCTCATCACTGGATATTCCACGAGTTGATAGGGAATAAATGACAGAAATGAATGGATAGAATTGTAACATACTATTAACATGTTAGCTCCTTTGACTCAGATGAGAAGTACATGTAGCTTGTTTAGCTAGGAATACGTTACTTACCGGTTGTGACTCAGCGTTCGACGAAGTGCCTGCTGTTGGATAACGTAGATCTAGAAGTTGAGTGTTAGTAAACGTCTCGCTGTAAGTATTGCAAACGGTAAGGATGAAACTATCTTTTCGATAACTTGACTTCGATAGTTAAAATATAAGGGTAAGATCCCTGATAATGAAAACACCTACGTCCAATGCCCATCGAACCAGGTAAATCCTGGACCCTCATGCCATCACCGAATACTTTGGCGGCCATTCCATTACCCTAATACCGATGTTAGATATTGGTGATGTTTTAGGATGGAATAGTTGTGAGGCTTACCTTGCATTGGTATATGCGGCCGCCAGCAGCGCAAGTTGCTATGCCGCAAGCTAATGAGTGTTAGCTTATTCGTTATCTATCATATCGTCAATCTTCTTGTTCCAGGTGTCACTAACCATCTTGACCTCTATGTTGCAAGAAGTACAGAGCCTCATGAAGCGCTACTGCAGCTTTACACGGGGAATTGGGGTCGTCACTGACGTGGCCCAAGATCAAGCCGAGTACACCACACATGATTGCAGCTCAGGTTGCGCCAGTGGCTATGCCTAATAGGTATATAATTAGTAGGAAACCCCTAGTTATAGTACGATAACACCCTCCCGATGACGGCACAACAGCAGCTGTGCAGAAGAAAAAAAGGGCTCGGGTTCGATCCGCACGCCGAGGCGCATGCAGACTCGAGATTTACCTCTGCCAGTGCTGCTGTGTGGCCTCTCGAGAGGTAAACATGGAAAATGATGTGATATTGTTCAGAGTATGTTTATCCGCAGCATTGGCTAGGCAGTCGAACATTTGTAAAGAAAATAACTCATCATAACAATATTTATGGCTATCCTCGAGAGCGATGGTCTTGTCATAAGCCGTGGTTGCTCCCACGTTCATTCCCACGTTCATTCCCATTCTTCCATGGTTAGGCGGAATCTTGAATCGGGAAATCAGTGGGATCAATTGGCATCAAACCTCTCTACCAAATAGTAGGATCACTGATTCGAAACACCATCTATAAAATAAAAAAGGAAGCACCAGGCTAGGACTTACTTTGCTTACCTCGATTTTCTGGGCTGAACGTATGGAAGATCGAGTTGGATAGTTAATCGCGGGGCAACGCCAAGTAGTCGATTAAAGTGCTCGTCGTGTTACGCGCAATTACCGAGGCTCGTTCGAAATTAAATAAGGTCTTGTACTCGTATGAGTTCAAGTTACCTGCCGATGATATGACTGTACACCTTTGAATGGAAGTGCAGAAGCACTTGCACTGGAGGAAAAAAAGCGCGCGACTAGCATCGTGATTTAAATCTAGGTAGTAATTTTTTTTTCCTTTCCTATCCGGGGAGATCCAAAGGTTTGCGACCAAAAATATTGGAGAAAAAAAGTGGATTGGCAGTTGCCCTCAGATGATTGGATATGCCGGTTACTGGTTTTTTCCGAACTCTAACCTCAAGCACCTGCAGGTGCCCCATGCTTTCCAGCCTTTACCTGCTTCAAGCTCACCCAGGGTTCTGGAACTCACGCCGGTTTGTCGGAGCAATCGGGCGCTCTGGAGGGGCTTTGACGTTCCACTACGCACGTCAGATCCAAGTCTCTTTAATACCTATGCACGTGGCAGCAATCATGGTTACAATTAAATTATGAAATGGCAGGTTGATTATCCAGGATGACAAACGATAATCTATTAATGAGGTATTGATGAGATGTATCTTGCAACTATGATGGCGTGAGCTTTTTCTTCTTCTACGTTCGCACTTCTTTTACATACTATGTATTACATACTGGTGTGAGTTGATTTCACGATATATAATAAGCATATGCTAATACTTCGTAAGCAATCTTTTGACCAACACTTCTCCGTATTAGGAGAGGCGGCAAGGTGAAAAGGTAATAGCAGAGTGGGCAACTAGCCTTATCGGGTCGTAGTTCGTCCCATGGAGTAACTTAGAGTTTGGGTTAAATCATGAATTAGGTGCTTTTTCGAATATCTTCGAAGTTAATACTCCAATAGGTACTCAGCAATTGTTAATTGCTTTGCAAGCAGAAAGAATATGGGACGTATTTATGCGTAAAAACTCACCCTGAAATCAAATCTATATAAAGAATAAATCAAAGCCATCTTATGCGACAACTGTCAATCTTATACCCGCTTGACATCAAGTATAATCTATCTATAACTACCCGACAAGTACCCAGTAGGCAATTGGCCTCTAATATTAAGAATTCATTTCTATTTCTATAATCAGAACTCAAACCTCGAGTTAAAGCTCAGTATATGAATACTGTTAAGAATACAATATCCAAAATGCTCTCGCATGCTAAAATTACTCCTCATCGGTCGGCTGCTCGTGGGCACTCGGATCATGGTTGGCTCAACACTTACCACAGCTTTTCGTTCGCCGAATGGTACGATCCTAAGTTTACACACTTTGGCTCGTTGAGGGTGTTAAATGAGGACCGAGTCAAGCCGAATTCGGGGTTTCCAACACACCCTCACCGCGACTTTGAGATTTTTAGTTATATCATTTCCGGCGAACTTACTCACCGAGATAGTATGCTTCGTAAGGGTGCCGAGGGTGGGCAGTCGGACAAGTTTTATCGAATGCGTCGAGGGGATGTCCAATTTACCACCGGGGGCACGGGCATTGCGCATTCCGAACAGAACGAGCACGCAAGAGATACCGTTCATTTCCTCCAGATCTGGGCAATTCCGTGGAAACGAGGACTCACTCCTAGATACCATACCCGGCATTTTGATGACGAGGAGAAGCGCAAGGGGTTCGTGCCGATTTTGAGTCCGCTCAAGGGTGGTCCGGAGGCTACATTTGAGCAGGAGAAAGCTGCCGAGCCGACAATTGAGGGGACCATACCTATCCATGCCGATTTCGTCATGGGAGCCGCTTTAATCCCGCCCCAGGGAAGATTCGATTGGGTTATTGGGGCCCACATCGCGGAGAGCAGCAGGAGAAAGGTGTACATTCACGTTCCGATGACGAAGAAGGGACAAGCAAAAATCCGACTCGACGGCCGTGACGAGGTTTTTAACGAAGGCGATGGCGCATTTATTGATGGTGTTAATGCGGGGGACAGGTTGACCGTGGAAAGTATTGGCGATGTCGAAGCCGAGGTCGTGGTTCTCGATACAGCGTGATCAGTAGGGAATTGCCCTCCTATTCAACATGCTAACAGTAACAGTAACAGCCTTTCGTTGAAAGAGGAAAAATTGAGTCTCTGCTCATTGGCAAAGAGGACCTCACTTGGTTAAATGGCAGATATAAGCGGTATTTATTTCAAGGATATAGACGCATATATGACCAGCATTGCTGTCAAGTTGTAAGTCGTCGCCCGAGCCTAATATACAAGTAGGGTGGATGCGCAGGTCAGATTCTGCGCAATTGCGCAACGGTAGCAGAGGGGAAAACTGTCAGCATTCGTCACCTCAAAATAATCCAAATCTCAATTCGACAAAGTATAATTTCTCAACATACCTAATAATTTACACCATCCTTAGTCGTCATTATGTGTATATTTAACTCAACTTCTTAAGAGGGTTTTAATCAAGAGCTTATTATGGAATTATTATGCCCGGAAAATCTAACCCGAGATGCATCGCCGCCGGAATGGCCTCGCAGTGGAAGAAACGAGATTAGTACCGGTGATGAAGGCGTTGACCTAAAGGTCCGTCAAGACATACCTCCTAAGCCTCACGAACAAATCCCGCCACTACCTAGTAAGGTCCACCAACGTTCTTCATATCAGACTACCTATTGTCTAGTCTAACAGTTTCATAATTAGACTTATCTACGTTCATGCAAGGACGTAACCGAACAAGAACACGCAAAGGTAGGTTGGATTATGACAGATTGTATTTTTGCTACCACAGGAGAATCGCAGCTAATAATGGACCTTTTTGTAGCAATAATTGCTTGCACTAATTGTAGAAAAAGGAAAATCCGATGTGATATAGCAACATTCAAATCGTCGTCCTGCTCAACATGTGTGCGAACGGGGCTTTCCTGCGTAGTAGAACGTAGTGGGCAGCGCAAAGAACCATCAAAGGAAACACCGGCCCCGACAGCCATCCCGCCGCGCAAACCGATATTTTCTAAACTGGATAGAAAATCTAGGAGTAAACGAGGATCTATGGTACTCCAGGAACGAGATGCTAATGCAAGGAGCGATACGCAATCAATCGGATCTCGACAGTCTCATAAATCCTTCATGTCGAGCATATCAATTGGATCGATGAAATCCGCTATCTCACGCCATTCCATCTGTTCGGTGAAATCTTTTATATCTCAAAGATCCCGAAATTCATTGAAATCTCTCGCATCATGGAAATCGAGCAGATCCTTTCAATCACTTGGGACCTACGCCAGCAGTGGCTCGAGGTAGGCTTTTTATTACCTCACTTACGAATTCTGATAGTTAACCGTATATAGCCAGGGTGGACGTAGTCAGAGCGCGTATGGACAATCAACTCAAGCAATTCACAATTGGGACGATGGATGGGAGTCCTCTCAGTTCCCTGAACCGCATCCAGTATACGCCAATCTATCCCTGGTATGCGGCAGACCAGACAAGTTCCATGGTACAGAGACTATTGAACCGCCTTTCACTGAACTGTCCCTTAAGTATGCCGCAGATAAACCACGTCTGAAGGCAGTTGTGAGAGCTGCCGAAACTGGAAATGACCAGCTTATAGACTTCCTAATGTCCTGTTCTTTAGCGGACGCGGACCAACCCCCAATTCCCGGAGAAACCATAACATCCTCTACGCCTATGCTAGCCGCCATAGGTCGAGAGAACATCAAAGTCATCGAAGTCCTCTTGAAACAGAAGGATTTCAACCCTACACGTCAATTCTCGGGGCTGACCTATTACGAAATTGCCGAAGAACGTCGCGGGTTAGTTTGGGAAGAGGAAGTGCGCCTTTTAAAGCAAGCTTTCAACTATGCACACGAGCATAAGAACATAGATCAAAATAATACGGAGCAAGTGACATCAAATGTAGCAGCGAATCGTCCGTGTTTAGATCATCTAAAGATATCAGTGGAGAATGTTAACGATAGTAAGTAATAGTTTACTTATAGAGATAACCTGAAGGGGACTAATATAGACGGTAGGCTCACAAGCTTATCTTTACGACTGCACATGGTGTCGGTATTCTTTTAGCCACGAGGATCAGCTAAAATTTCACGAAGAAAAATGCTCTGCCCGTCCATTCTCTGGCAATATTAAGTTAGGTTTGACTCATGAAAAATTAACTACACACTTAAGGCTTCAGTGCGTAATCCCCATCCCAAAGGATATCGATAATTTCTGATATAAATTATGTTAGAGCATCAAGTCCGATTAGACCCATACGGCTTCCTGTTCGGTCAACGCCTACCGCTGAATTTCACACTATTGATAGAACAGTTAATAACCTAGATATATCAACATCAACCAGCCAACCGAGATGTCACTCAACAGGTCCTCGGGGCTGCGGTGAGAAAATGGATATAGATACGATATATCCGGGATCATTGAGGAGCGGTATATATTTAATGGATTCGCCCATGCACTCAACATTCATCACTAGTGATAATTTTCGTGGAGATTGTGAGGCGATTAAGCTACCAACCGAGACCCGCTACCTCATGGCATACTCGCGGGAAAAGGCCCAGGTCTCTGAAGGCTATCATGCACCTGAATTTCCAATGACCGATTCAAGCACGCCCCAAATATCAGCATCATCAGTGAGACATACCTCGGAAACTACTAGTCCATTTACTATACCTTCGCAAGGTGAGTCTGAGGCTTCAGAGTTTTCGATGAATGAGAGTAGTGAAGATTGCCGTTGGGAAGAAGAAAGTTCATTTGTTCAGCGGGCTGAGCGAAGGAGAACTTTACTTCGTGGTTTGATGGATATGGTATACGCTACGTATACCCGTCTTGCTACTTCGGGTGCAATGGAAGATGGAGAATCCGGCCCATCTAATGCTCCCGGGGGAGGCTCAGGCTCTGCCAACTCTTCTAACAATCAACAAAACAAGGGTAATGATGTTAAGGGGAAACGTCCTCTACCAAGAGGTGACGGCAGTAACGGGGGCGAGGAAGGTGATGATCAGCAACAACCAAAACGAAGAAAACCAGCTACTTATAATGATGGAACCAATCCAGGAGAGAGATTTGCATGTCCGTATTATCAACGGAACCGTTATCGGCACCTGCCAAGAAATTACTCGCTCAAAGGAGCTTGTTACGGCCCTGGATTTCATTCGGTACATCGAGTGAAGTAAGTCTATCCTACACCAAGCGTGATGCGATTTATGATGTATTTCCGGGTCCTGATCAAGGAGCAGGGAACACCTTTACAGGGCACACAGGCTACCACCGTATTGCTCCCGATGTAATGTAGCATTCGATTCGGATATTTCTTTAGAGAAGCATACAAGACAAGATCTTCCCTGCGAGCTCACACCAAAACAACTAAGGGAGGGCATCGATCCTACTACGGAAAAATTGCTTCGAATTAGGAATAAGGAATTCAATAGTAAAACGGAAGAAGATAAATGGAGACACGTGTACACTGTACTTTTCCCCGCTGATGATCCTGTAGATCTACCCTCGCCCTGTGAGTCTTTTCTCGTTCCTCCATTGTCGACCAGCGTACCTAATCAAGACAGACTACGGGAACTACCTCGAGAGGGGTTCTGTCGAGAGTTCTCCTGAACTCAGACCAACAGCGAGGAGCTATGACGAATTCCTACAGAGGGAACTCTTCCGGAGAATCTATCGAGTTCTGGAGAATAAAATCGACGAAGCGTTAGACTCGGCAGAGAGGGATGTCGCCGACGCGCTGAAAAGCCAACTGGAAGGAATTATTCGTGATGTTCAGGCTGAGCTGTATGGGGAATTTCAGTCATCTATTAGGCAGAAACAGGCCATTGACGAAACTAATGGGATTGCTACGCAAACGCCGATTCCTGGACCAGACCCGATGCTATTGTTACAGGATATGCTTCCCTTAAGCTCCTTCTCTCCACCTTGGTCTGCCCTCAGCCTAGAAAATCAACAAGCCTCAAGCTCGTCGGCCCCTGAATTTGCTAACGGATTGGAGGATATATCAAACCTTAGGTTTGACCTTTTATCTAACCCTTTTGAGACCAGCCAGAACCATGACTCCGCCATGGTAATTCCAGTGCCGTTTACGGCGAAGGCTGCCTACGATTATATATCGGATCATGAGGAGGATCTCTCATTCAGAATTGGCCAGATAATAACAGTTACTAGTGAAGAAGAGACAGACTGGTATAATGGCGAGTATGTCGATGACTTCGGCATGAAAAACGAGGGCATATTTCCTCGGAACCTTGTGGAGAGGTATCCCCCTCCCGTGCCACCACGTCCAATGAGGGGTCGTAAAGAAAACGCGGGGTCTGTTGCGACTACATTTCCCTCTTCATTTCCACCTTATTAGACCGTTTGAACCGTTTCAAAATTTGGAAACTACAAGTATGAGCTATGAAGCTACGAATGTCGGTTTAATGACCAGATTGTCCTTGTTAGTGGTACAGAACCTGTCCCAGCATTGAGTTAACATATATTCCGGAGAAATATAAAGAGTACCTACAGCGACCTATCCCAAGTGGATAGATAGTATGACAATTAAATCATCTTTAAAAGACCGGAATTAAGCAAGTAAAACTGGTCTTACAGATTAAAATTAAAGAGGATGCCAACTCATATATTATACACCTAGCAAACTTATCGACACTCCTGCTCTCATCCGGGTCAATTGCAGGCGATCTTCAATATGCAGTGTAACTATATGACTTTAGTGTCAATTAAGATCCTCCCCTTGGCTTCTCTCTTCTAAACCCGTGCTTGAGGACGTGTTCGATAAACGATCTGATCCGATTTGATGCAACGTAGTTTTTCCGGCAAGCAAGCCAACTTCATCACATAAATTGGGTTATGCGCGTAACCAGCCAGCCCTAAGCGCCGTGACCAGATTCGACAACGCCGAGCCGAGGAGTAGGTAAATCCACGATTCTAATGACTTTTGGGTAATCTTACCGACGTCAAAACCCGCGTGTCAAGCTAGCGATCCCGTCGGATTTTAACGAGTATCGTCAAAAGCCGAATTCAATTTCCATGAACATATGCGTTGATCTACCTTATAGATTTATCCCCCCTTAAGGTAGGTATATTAAAAACAGGATGAAAAGTGCTTCGGTAGGGTTATAGCGTCGTAATTCAGGTGAAAAAGAGAATCATGATTTACGGTGGCAACCAAATATGAAGACTATACACTTCGCTCCAAATCTTTTCGGTCTACAGCCTTATTTCTCGGCTGTCGTCGTCGAGAGCGATGATCTTTTCCTCTTCACAAAAAAATCTCCATTAAACAAACTCAATCTAAGCGAGCCTCAAATGGTCCGACGAAGAAGCGACCCCTTGGCCTATGTACTCTGTCTAGATCTTAATCGATCTCCACGTAGGGCCGTCCTTTGGCCTATAGGCTGCCCGCTGCACCGTGGAGATGGACTCAATATCCGGCCCTCGCAGCCGGCCAATCGCTATCCCCTGTCAACCCTGTCGACCACATGTAGAGCTAAGTTCTAGGCTGAGCGCTATGCTTGTTCCTGAATCTGACGACCTTCCCGATTCTAGCGGCGCTGTGTGCTTCTGGTATGTAGGGACTTATTGGGCGATGACTCTTCTGCCTACTATCATGGGTCGCTTCGGCGCGAACACCCGTTCGGGACAATCCAATCTCACTCCATGAGATTCGGGAAATTATTAGGCAGGAGATGAGTAGGCAACGACTAGAATGGGCCTATCTCATGTCTCAAATTTTAGTCACACATTGTAGGACCTCACTATACTCCAGTGTACGGCTGTCACTATGCAGGATAGCCAATCCCTAACTCGGGCGGGAATGGCTCGGTTCGAACGGCTGCTCTTTATTCATAACCGCGCCGTCTTCTGTCTCTCTCTTCTTTTCTTTTTTCCTCATCACCACCAGTCGAGTTGACAAGAAACGGCATATTAGCCAGCCGTGGCAAACATCTTGTTTGCGTCCTTTCGTTGAGTAGCTTGACGATCACATTCATTACGGCCTTGGCCACTTTACGATCTTTACCTACGTATCACATAATCTCTTAATACATCGTTCAAGATGCAGTTGAAGAATTCAGTTTTGGTTGCCGCCCTCTCGGCTTCCTCTGCCTTTGCTACTTACACAAAAGACTATAAGCTAAACGCTTATTGGGTATGACATTGTATTATTAGATATGTTTCTCATATATACTTACTCTTATTTATAGGGACAATCAGGACCTGACACCGATAGCCTTGGCGAGCACTGCGAGTCCGATAGCATCGACTATGTTACTCTTGGTTTCGTGAACAACTCGCCCGAGAACGGAAATGGCACTGGCTACCCGGGCACAAACTTCGCTGCTCACTGCGCGGCCGAGGTTTACGTTAACAACAACCGGGACTCTAAGCTTCTCAGCTCGTGCTCTTTCATCAAGGATGACATCAAGAAGTGCCAGCAGCTCGGAAAGAAGGTGTTGCTTTCTATCGGAGGAGAATTCTCTTCCTCGAGCAACTACACCCTCTCCTCTGTCCAGGCTGGTATAGATTTCGCCGACTTCCTTTACCAGGCGTTTGGTCCTTTCAAGAGCGGTTATACGGGGCCTCGACCTTTTGATACCAGCAGCACGGAGCACGTCACCATTGACGGTTTCGATTTCGACATCGAGACTACATTCAGTAAGATATGCCCCTTAACTTCCCTCCCTTAGGTAGTGTATGACCATATACACTAACTAGCATTTTTAGGCAACCAGCAGCCATACGTCAACATGGTAAACCATCTTCGCGATCTCATCACCGCTGACAGCGAGAGCATTATTCTCACTGCTGCTCCGCAATGCCCGCAGTCTGCTGATTACTTCCAGATGGAGACTATCCTTCAGCAGGCCAAGTTCGATAAGATCTGGATCCAGTTCTACAACAATCCCACTTGCGAGGCCTGGTCCACTGGCTTCAACTACAATGACTGGGAGAGCTTCATCAGCGGCGGTGTTAACAGCGCTGCTGAGCTCTTCATCGGTCTTCCCGGCAGCGCCTCCGCCGTTGGATTACTCGGGAGCGGCTACATCACGGCTCAACAGGCTAAGGACTTGATCTGCACGTACAAGAAGCAGGAGCATTTCGGCGGTGCCATGTTGTGGGATGCCTACTATGCCTCTCAGAACAAGGACCTTGCAGGAAAGAACTACTATGACTTGGTTGCTGAGGCTTTGAAGTGCGGTGGCTGTGACGGAGATGTCTGCAAGCCTGCTACAACTAGCAGCTCGGTCACGACTTCATCCACCACGAGCTCCTCCACCAGCTCTTCCACCTCGTCAACCGTTAGCACCACCAGCTCTTCTACTTCCTCGACTGTCAGCACTACGTCCACCTCGAGCTCTGCCTCCAGCACTAGCAGCAGCATCTCTACTTCCAGCTCTGTTGCCACATCGAGCAGTGCTTCAAGCTCAAACTACATTGCTACGTCGAGCAGCGCCTCCAGCTCAGGATACCTTGCAACATCGGAGAATGCTTCCAGCTCAAGCTATCTTGCTACGTCTACCAGCTCCTCAGTTTCAAGTTCCAGCTCCTCTAGCTCTACTAGCTCCTCGGCTTCCAGCGCCGCAACTAGCAGCAGCGTGTCTTCAACTTCTTCTTACGACCTCACCTCCAGCAGCTCAGCATCCGCTAGCGAGACCTACGCGGACAGCACATCGTCTTCTAGCATCGCGACTGTCACGGAGTCCTCGACGAGCTCGCTAATTACAAGCAGCAGCACTCTCTCAACGATCTCTACCATCTCCAGCTCTTCCTACAGTGCTTCGGCTACTTCTTCGGAAGACGACTGCCCTCCTGATGAGACCTCTAGCTCATTCAGCGAGTCGTCCACTTATAGCGCTTCGGCCAGCAGATACCCGACCGTATCGGTCACTTCCAGTGTTTTGAACAATGCCTCAGCTAGCGGCTATCCTACCGTATCCCTGACTTTCAGTGCTTCAAACAGCGTCTCCGAGACCCAGTCTGTGAGCGCAACTTCGTCGTCTTACCCTACAGGTAGCGCCTCCACCACGGAGTACACGACTAGCACCGTATATTCCACCACCGTTTACACCGTGACGTCGTGCGCCCCTAGTGTCACCAACTGCCCGGCCAGGGGTTCCGTCGTTACCGAAACGATTGCCCTGTACACCACCGTGTGCCCCGTCACTGAGACACAGAAGCCGACGCAGACCCCCACTGCAGTTCCCTACACGAGCACCATCTACAGCACGCGCATCAGCACCATCACCAAGTGCCCGGCCAGCGTGACCAACTGCCCCGTCGGCTCCGTCACCACCGAGACCATTGCCATCGAGACCACGATTGTCCCCACCACCGTGGAGACGACGGCCGAGACCAAGCCCACTGCCTCCGGCGTAGCTTCGTACCCCGTCGCTGGCGGCTCCCAATACCACCAGGCCTCGTCATCCAACGACGTGCAGACTGCCGCGGTGTCCAGCTACCCCTCGCCGTCCAACGACGTTCAGACCGCTGCCGTATCTAGCTACCCCGCAGTGAACACCCCGACCGCCTCTCCCTCCAGCGTCCAGTCCGTGTCTACCACACTAACCGTCGCCGTCTACCCCACGGGCAAGGGCGGCTACAACAATGGCAGCACCAACGGCATCGTCCCGTCTTACAGCGCCGGCACGGGATACCCCGTCGCGCCCACGACTACCTCCGCCGGCAGCGGATACACTGCCATCGTGTGCAACGGCACTGGCTGCTCGGCCTCGACCTCAACCTCGTACCCTACGTCGGTAGTTACCGCCGGCTCAGCTAAGGCTGCTTCTTTGAGCCTTGGTCTGTTGGCTGTTGTGGCTCTCGTTTTGTAAGGGGAGAGCGGAGGGATTGGTTTGGGAGAGGGGGGTTGGATGAGTGTGTTATGCTGTCGTTATGTTATATGTTAATTAATGTGAAATGTATAATTACATATAGCACACATTGGGAATGATGAGCCGATTCAAACATGTTCCAACTGAATTTTCTAGCGCGTGATAGGTAGTATGTATGTTATAAATGAAGAGATATGAGCGTTTGCTTGTAAGGGAGTCTTGTGTTGACCTGAAATAAAGTCGTAACCACAGAACGGAGCACTAAAGTCACTATCAAGTATATCTGCTAATAAGCTTTAACGTCGAGGAAAAAATTAGCAGATATGAAATTGGGCGGCTAGAGAAACATTATCATATATGGAATCTTTCCTTCTGAAGCCTCCCTAAGACTGATATGAATTTGAGTGGATGAGCACTTCAAAAAAAAAAAAAAAAAAAAAAAGGGTCGTAGGCCAAGTTCGAGAAAACGGCAAAAGAAATGCATCAGCCGCGAATCGAACGCGGGGCCCATCGATGGCAACGATGGATTTTACCACTAAACCACTGATGCTATTAGGTGATTGGTAGATTCAGTCGTAAATTTGCTCTATATCAATATGCACTATTTGTGGGTTCCCTACCTTGTGATTGGCTCATAGGGGATAGCAATGAGCGGTCCCTATGTAGTCTATCTAAGTGTCTTTCCCACGATATCTCATTTAGTTTTCGGAATTGATGTCAATATCACTAATGATTGCAAAATTTCGTGAGGCTTTGCGGGAGACTATCCAATCCTCATCAGAATCAAGAAGTTTGAGAATCATGTAACTATGAATTTGGTGGTGTCGTTAACATAGAAGCAAACGACTTTCTCTATCGTACTACACTACATAAAGAAAACTCATCTATCATAGTCGCTCACAGCTTAACGCTCCCGCTATTTTTAGACCATTTAATTCCTCTGCCCTTATTGAGAATATGATCGGTCACGCCCTTGATCTCGTTCTGACACCACACGTTGTGCCCTGAAGAGTTCGCAAGCGCGAATCCAAACTCGGATAGATACTCGGGATCCACGCACCCTACCGCAATCTCGACGTCTTCGCGCGACTCATCCCGCCAGTATAGAAAGCTGCCGCAGTTTGTGCAGAAGGCGCGCTGGATACCCGGCGTCGCATAGAATTTCTTCAACGTCTCGGTGGATGTTAGAAACGTAAAACCGCTAAGCGGAGCGGTATGCGCGATGAAGATCAGAGCGCCCGTGTTCCGTCGGCATTGCGTACATTGACAGCTTCCGCTCTAGGTCCGGTCTGTTAGTTGGGCATTAGAGCCATAGATGATAAAAATGGGTTGAAGAAATATCCTCACTTACCCCTTTTAAGAAATCGTGGTCCTTCGAGAAGTCGACACGGTATCTTATGGAGCCACAGAGGCAACCACCCGTGATAGACGTTGGCTTCGAGAAATCATCGATAGATACAGATTCAGACATCTTGTTCAAGCACGGATACCTTAAGATGGATTTTATTTAAAGCAGAGTTTCCCTTAAATACGATTTGACTATTACATCCTCCTTCCAAACTTAAGCTCTTTAAAAGGTCATATATAGAAAAAGATATATGAACCCCCGCTTGTCAAACGCGCCCTACGCCACGCCCAATGTCGTGGATGCAGACACCCGAGTAAAGACATGAAGGAAAAGATTGGATTAACCACTTAATGCCGAATTTATCTTGACATTTCTTCGCCCTTGTTTGGAATTACGCTCATATCATATAATATCAAACTCTAAGATTCGGCTCCGTCTAATATAGAACGGCCAACTATCATACCTGATCATAGGGCGTCGTTCCTTATCTTTTATCGGTAAAAGCCAAGATGGCGAGACGCCGCCTGAATTCAACCATGACTTTCAGCAATTGTTGGTTGAACTTAGAAACCGGTTTCCAATTCTTCGACCAGACTACGCGTAGTGTAGGTATTTATATGGAAGCAGATGTGTGACATTCGTCAGCAGCCTTTGGATTATAAAGATATCGGATAAATCCTTCGTAACATCACTCCCTTTTACCCTTGATTCCACGCTTTGTCGGCCGAGAAGCTAAAGATTTAATTTCCGCCAGCTTCTCACGGACTTAAAAAACCACCAAGAATCACAGGTGGATACCACCGTAATATCACCACCATAAGTTTCCGGCGCTTTTACGTCAGCAGCTTTTATATGTCAACTACTCGCCCACGGGTTTCCGTGGAGTTTCGTCCCTATTTCTCTACTACTATTGATTATCATGGTATTGAAATTTGTTCCAAAATAGGTAGTTCAGTGGGATATAGTCTAATGAGAGACGTAAATAGATAGCTATCATGACCAATCAATAGTATATTCATTTTCCATATATAACTAGAGCCATGACTCGCCTTAAGTCATGTAGAATTCGTTTGACACCAAATACAACTAATAAGCTGGAACCGACTTGAAGAGAACTGGTTGCGATGCATTCTTTACAGATCTTGCTAGCCACCGTCTCATTGACGGTGTCACTTGTCGAGGCTCAAGCGCCGTTGAACGTCGAGCAGTCGACGGGTTTCAACTCTAGTTTCGCTCTATCAAACTCACAGATAGAGTCCGCAAACCTGTCGTCAACAGCAGTCACTAATATCAACATCGCTATAAACTTCGACCGCTCCCAACTCGCCAACGGAGGCCCCGCCGAGGACAGCTTCTACGATCTCCCGCCACTTTCCGGAACGCCAATACCCGGTACCCTTCTTAAGGTCCAAGAGTTCACGAATGCGTCGTCCTTTGTTATCCCACCTAACACAGCGCTCTCACGTATTCTCTACACAACGTCAAACCTTAATGGAACCGTTGTCCCAGCCTCGGCTTTTATCCTCTGGCCCTTCACGCCTAAGAAATTCCAAACGGGGAACGGAAGCGAATCCACCAAAGCACCTGCCGTCCTCTGGACACACGGCACGGAGGGTTTCTTCGCCTCGGCCGGCCCTTCGACACATAGGGCGCTTTGGTACGGCCATGAGGCACCCTTTACCCTGGCGCTTGCAGGTTATGCCGTCGTGGCGCCCGACTACGCTGGCCTTGGTATCCACAAGTCCTGGGATGGCAGCGAGATCCCCCACCAGTATCTGATGTCGCAGACATCCGGCCACGATGCTCTCTACGCCCTGCAAGCCTCTCTAGAGGCCTTCCCTGACGTTTTGGACGAACGTTTCGCTGTTATAGGCCATAGTCAGGGCGGTGGCGTCGCATGGGGTGTTGCCGAAGTACTTGCGGCCAAGGGAGATGATGAATTCAAGGGGCTTGTGGATGGGTATCTCGGTACAATCGCCGTGAGTCCTACTACAGACGCGTTCGTCGGCCAACTTGGATTCATATTACCGTGGATTGGAATGATTCTACCCAGCATCTTCCCAGACTTCGACCTTAGCACGTGGCTAACTCCGTTAGGCATTGCGCGAACGAAGCTCTTGCAAGAAGTTGAGGGCGGAGCAGGCGTTTCGACCCAGCTCTTCCTATCGGGGGATAAGATTATCCAGGATGGTTACGACAAGACTTGGTACGTCGATGCGTACGGCAAGCTAGCAAATGCGGGACGGAAAGCCTTCAAAGGCCCGCTTCTTGTTATCCATGGCACGGAAGACTATTATATTCCCGAAAATGTCACGGCTGCGACCGTTCGGGCCACATGCGAAGCCTTTCCTGACGGAGATCTGGAGTACCTGGTTGTTAATGGGACGTGGCACGTACCTACTCTTGATGCCACGAGACAGACCTGGCTCAAGTGGATTGAAGATCGGTTTGAGGGCCGAGCGCTAGAGAAGGCTGGTTGTGTCAAGTCTAGTTTGGAGAGTTTTCTACCCCTGGAGCGTTACCAGGCTACGGGAAATTCGTTTCCTCAGTTTGCTGGTTTGCCGGAATTTAGCTACCAAGTGCCTCTAGGACTTTGAGAAGGCAATATGGGAAAGCAGAGTACTCTGCTACTAAATCATCCTGAGATATTTACTCTGCGAGCTATATGCATTCCGAAGTCTTTCACAAATCATGTATCATACTTGCCTCCATCTAGAAACTAACTAGCATATATAGAAATAACTATAGATTAAACCGATGTGATTGATTCCCATCTCCGCAACTAAATGCTATACATTTACGTATGATCATGCAGTGTATAATAAGACGTCAAAAATCAGTAAGCTCCCTTGCGTAATGACCACGCCGGACTCTCAACCAAGACGACAGGATCACGTCCCGTCAAAACCGGCTCGCCAGCCTCAAGTCTAAAATCGAGCACGGTTGTGTCGCCGCTCTCTTCCATACGCCATATCGCCAGCCCAATCCAGTTCTCGCCGTTATAGTTTAAAATCCCCTCTGGAACTGGGAATTGCGTCTGGGGGCCGATGTGAGGTATGTACTTACCAAACTGCCACCCGTTCACATACAATTGGATCCGCACAGCCCCACCAGCGACATTGCGGAATGAAAAGGAGAGCGGAATGTCGTATGTAGTAGAAGGGAGATCGAGGGAGAGCGGCGCAGCATAGAAGAATATACCTGGTTTTCCCGGTGCCGAGAATGGCGAACCTGGGGTGAAAGTCTCAACAGGAGGTTGCGGAAAGTGGTAGCCCTGCCGTTCAGCATAGAGGCCGCCCTCATTCAGGGGGCCTCGGGTGCGATCGGCATAGTCTTCACCACCGAGATTGCCGGTGAGCTTCCACGATATAGGGGTGCTGTCTAATATTGAGCTAGCGAGGCGATAGTCGAGGATCCCACGAGGCGCTTTACCGGTGTCGATGCCTGGGATGTAATTGCCGTCTAGTCCCATATGGTCGATCACAACCGTCAAGACGTATGGTGCCCCCTGCGAAAGACTTGGAAGCTTGTACGTTGCGTCGTAGCTTGGAGCACTGGAACTACCAATCCATGATCCTATAAAAGTATTGTTTAACCAGACTGAGTGGCCGTAAGCCGTGCCGCCCTGGGTTTTGATTTTAAAGGACTTCTCGGTGCCTTTGGCAGTGAAATGGCCCCTAAAGAGCAGTACTCCGGTATTAAACCCGTAATCGCTAGCGAAGAGGGAGGTTGGTGTCTGTAGAGTCTGGTATGAATTGTTTGTTGATTGGTGGTCTGCTGCCAACCAAGTAGAATCATCATAATCTGTCTGAATCTCAGGAAGCGAGTCGACGTATTTCCAGGGCAATCCAGACAGAGCAGGAAGATCGAGTGCTGGAACTGAGTATTGGATAGTTGTTACTATTCTTCCATCTTCTACCTTGAAGTCAGTTGCCTTCCCGTTGATATTAAGAACTGTCGTGTTTTGAGGGGCCCCGATAACCTCAACGGTCGTCGATCTATTAAAATCCGCGGAGAGCGACAGTACGCCATTCTCAACAGAGGCGGATCTGACGAGATATGGTCCATTGATAATTAGTGATGTGGACTTGTTGATCTCAGGTACCCAATAACTATAAGCAGAATTTCGATCTAGGCGTTTTTATTAGCCTTGTTCTTGCGAATGAATGACCTATCCTACCTAGAATGTAAATGTGAAAATTATCAATTTTAACGATATTCCTTGCATCTGGAGTAGAGCAGCCCAAAGTTATGAGGCCTTCTGTTCTATTCACTTTAACGGAGTCATCTGATATAACTGAAAAAGTATCGTTAATTTGCACGGCGAGCTCGTTCATTTCATTCGGTCCACTATAAACAAAAAGAGCAGTCGTGTTTCCGAACTTCTGATGTGTTAGAATTTCAGCCGTGGAATATAGGAGCTTAATTCCTCGAACATCATAGTCGGTCACTATAATCTTCGAATCCCTACCGTGAAGAGTGAGATCATCAAATAGCGTGGGGATCGAGATCTCTCCTTTCAACGTTGGAAGCTTCATCGTGTAATTATCTGAGGCGGTTCTGGAATAGTCGCTATGGCGGACGACGAAGAATGACCCACTACCACTTGTGCTATTTCCAGCAAGTCGAGTTACCGTGATGGCAGCATTGTCAGCATACGTCCACACCAGGGCAGCTCCGGGTTCTGCAGTCAAGTAATCTGGTGATACCTTCAGCCACTCGGCCTGTAGCTTTAGTTCCGAATATTTCTCTCTCCTAAGCGACCTATCTTCCGATATAGCCTAAGGCAGATCTAAGTTAATATATGTATTTCTCCCGAGCAGAAAGTCACCCACCTACCGCTCCATAATCGTAAGATGTATAACCTCCTGGATGTCCAATATTACCCCAATTGGTGCCACCAAAAATCTAACGAGTCAGTAGAGATGATAGTATAGGTTGACCGTGACTGACCATATATATGTTATGGATAGTTGCCCCTGCGGCAAAATTATTCTTGAAGAAGACGCGTTCAAATTCATGATTGATAAATGCCGCGCAATTGTTAAATCCAGGACCTCCCCAAGGATCATAGGCGCCACCTTGGAACTGGCGATAGACTTAGCAATAGCAGCTTAAATAGCATAAGAGAATCCGGTAACCAACCTCCAAGAGAGAGAAAGGGGTGGACGGACTCTGCAGCTTGTGTGTCTGGTAATAGATTCCCGATAAGGCTAGTGGTGGCCAGGTGGAAGGGTTTCGCTAGATCCATCAGTATCACTGGTATTACGGATATGAGGTTACTAACGCAGTCAAACATAACCGGATAGGCATCGTGTCCCTAATTCTTGTCAGGATATTCGGTGCAGTAATCTCGTTCAGTGTAGCTCACATAGATATCCACTGCACCTAGTCCTGTACCCGGAGCGTTAGTTCCCAGGGGGGCTGCGTCGTTGCTAATGAGGGGTACGACAATTCCCGCGTTCCGTGCCTGGTCCTCTACGTATTTCATGTACTTGCCACTGGGGAATGGGATAGAGACGCCGACCGTATACTCATTCTCGGGTTGATATAGTATCACGGGGCCGCCATTAGTAATTTGGGCTTTCGCAATAATGGCACCAATTTGAGCAGCATAGCTGTCTGAGTCAGTCGGGAGCTTATTTATGCAGCGATCTCGAAGCTAACTTGTCTGTAGCCGCCAAGTAGTCGTCATCCGACGTCCTTAGGTGTCCCTTGACACGTTGGAGCCATCCAGGGAACCCACCAAAGCTCACTTCGGCATTTATATAAGGTCCGGGTCGCTTGTTCTGTTTAGCAGGCTCTGCTCGAGAGTTAGAGAAATACTCACTGCGATAAGATAGATGCCAGCCTTGGTTGCGGCTTCAAAGAATTGCTCGTAGGAAAATACACCTTCGACTGAGAAATCGCCTGGTTTCCCTTCCAACAGAGCCCAATTGGTATAGAAAGAGACACAATTGAATCCCAACGCCTTGGTTTTTTGAAACACGTCAAGCCATAAGGATGGAACGGGTAGCCTCCATGGGTGGAATTCGCCGCTCATAACCATGACTCTTTCTCCCTTCACATATAATGAGTGGCTATCCCAAGTAACGATGTTTTGTGCCAATGTCTTGCTGTTTTCTGCGACTGTCATAGGCGTTTCTCCAGTATCCCAAGCATAGCTTCGAACAACCCAGAGTAATAATGTCAATATGTCAAGAAAATACATGATACATACTATATTTCTGGTTTGAGATTCCGGAATAGATGTCCGGGAGGGTTTTGCCAATGTCAGGATCGGATAAGGCGGGGACGGCCCCACGCGTTGTAGACAAACGTTAGAACCGGGGGATCCCGTCGATACATGAGCCCCTTTACATTCTCTCAACAATCACGTGCTAGAATTAACAACCTTTGACAATCATAAGTAAGATTCTACATAAAATAAGACTTTCAGGCCTTTGTGATTTTGATTGGACTTAAATTCCCATATCATCTTGAACTTGGACTCAATGATGAAGTTACCGTATGTGGGACTTAGCAAAGACCTTCCAGAACACTTGAATTGGTACGTAGCTTCACATGTAGTAAGAGTAATAGGATTATACATTACCTAAGGTAGTGTCTACCTTATCCCTATTAATAACTTGTATCTCTTTCCGTGTCTGGTAAATTGGCTTATTTTTTATGGAATTTCTAAAGGAGTATCAACCCTCAATCTGTGTATAGATTCTGACGCGGTGGTAACGACCTGCTTATGAGGTCCTAACCCAGCACCACCAAAGATCCTTTGAATAAGGTTGGATAACAGAATTTAGCTTTGCCTATCGAGGATACAGCTCAATGTTGACTTCCGAAGGCTTTTACCAATCTTTCTTTTCCCCTGACCTTCTAAGACGCAAGTCAGAGCAATTGTATCAAGACTTGAATCTCCAAAGATATCTAATAAAGCGCAGCGGTATAAAGGTTTCCATCATCATCATATTCGTTCTTTTATCACCGAGGAGGTATATCACATATACACAAGGATTACATACCCTAGTCTCAATTGCAACTTCTACGGTAGCACATGTTGTTCATGTTCTGAGAATGGACATACCCCGAGTGTCTCAGTTGCTCAGCTCCGGTCAGAATCGAAAACGCGACAATGACAACGGGGAATCCTCCGATAGAAGGAATCATAACACAGAGCCATCTCCTATTTCAGATTCGGATGATATCAGCAACCGGCAAATCGTCACCCCGACAGCCTTTACTCTCTTCTCCAAACTCCCACCAGAGTTACGGCTACAAATTTGGCGGGAGACCTGGGAACCTCGAAACGTAATAGTATCACGGGAGATTATAGGTACTCGCGATTTAATAACGGGGAAGATCGATGATAAGAATAAGGATAAATGCCAAGATGCAGATATTCGCCAAATGCAAACTCACCTTGTTCTCCAAAGAAATTGGGCCCGAGATACTTATAATATCAGTCATAGCATCGTAACATACTCGGGCTCTTTTACTCGCCCGCCCGTTTCTCTTTCGGTTAACCAGGAATCTCGGCACGAAACGTTGAGGTACTTTCGGATCGCCTTTGCGCTTCCTGGAGGCAAGTCAGTTGTTTATTTCAATTTCGACCTTGATACATTATTTTTTCCCCTCCATTATCCGCTTTCGGCTGCGTTTTCAGGGGCAGATCTACGTCGACTGGTAAGGATTTCCATTCCCTCGGCGATCCCTATAATTGGATCTTTCGCTCACAGGACCGGGTTAATGGACAATGTTTTGCGACATATTATGCAAGTCCCCCCAGTGATACCGGCCGGAGTTTTTGGTGGTGAGACATATGACGAGGAATTCAAGCTTGTCTGGGTATTTTTACGGAACTATCTTCCTGCATTGCGCGAAATACATTTGAGGAGATTCTACAATTGCGAACGGTATGAAAGTACTAGGACAGCTGTCCTGGACCCCAAAGCCCGGGACTTTCTCTGTTACACCTGCCATAGAATACAGGATTCCCTCAGAGATCACTTCCAGAGACGTAGCTCAGTGTACTCAAATTCTTACGAGGAAATTACCTGGTACATAAGTCGATGCAACATGCGAAAACCCTATTTCAGAGAAGAGACGCTCGTGATCGGTCGAGTGCCAGGCGGTAGCCTATCCAGGAGAGACGAATACGTTACTGTCACATTCGAGGTAATTTATGATGCGGATGAAAACACAACCCCCCCTATAGTTCAAGGCAACCGTACGAAATACCTATGTGTTGCAGGGGCTCTAATACACGCTACAATGCCTCTGATATATTTAGACCCTGTGGTGTGTATGATGTAGGGTCTTGGATAAAGGTATTTTCTGATTTTTACTCAAGTTATCATGGGCAGCGAGAACAGGTTGTATTCATGAATAAGCGTTTTAGCGTTAGTTTAAATAGGTGTTAACGATTAATGCTATAGACTACATTGTCTAATACTTGGAGACTACAGCCCTGTGAAGGGCGAATTCGTGATCCTGTCATTTAACTGATACCACAAGACCTCATATCCCCAGGTGTTATTACGAGTACCTACTATTAAACTAAATGAGGGTACGTCTAAGGCAGCAGCGTGAAGCCCAACTATGATCTGGAAAGGGATGTTGCTTTGTTTAAGGTACCGTCATAAACATATTCTTGACTATGATCGAGCTGGCAAATTGTGTGTAAGTTAATACTGCGAACAATGCCTGAACACCCATACATAGAAAATTGGGCTGGTTAGCTCTTCGAGCCCGGCCGTACCTTAGCATAAATATGTAAAATATGAGTCGAGGTGATTAGGTAGCTGATGTGACTGCGTGATTTCACAGTAACGAGTAGTTGCCCCTTTAGACGAGCACCTACCTGATAAACGCGTAACAAGGCAAAGTAATGAACACAGGGGAGTATCGGCCTAGCATATAGTAGGTAAAGCAGAAGGACTGAACGATTATATTATAAACCATATATCTGTTGTACTTGCCAGCCTTTGACTTCTTGTACCTAATGCTGTAAAAGGAAGCTTCCCCTGAATGAGATATAGGAATGATACCACTCCCCTGGCATTTACAGATACATTAGGTACCTACCTGACCTAAGAACGTATAGTCGGCAGCACCGTCCTTAGGTAGCAGCTGTAGCTGCAGGTGCCTACCGGGTATATAACAGTGTGGGTAGTTGGAACTTACCAGAACATATTGGAGTTTCCAATACCATAGCTGCTATTTTTCCAAGCCTTTATTCTGTGCACCTACAAATACACAACCTACCTATCTCTTACTTACCTCCTAAAAAGTATTAATAGCATCGACGAAGATTCGTACATGCCTTAGGCCACAGGCTCATACCAAAGTTACGCACCTTCCACTCCCCTTTTAGGTAATCCGAGAAACTTGCCTTGGGTAGGTACCTCCCACCATACCTCCTATCGTACCTCCTACCATAGACGACGCGTTGCTTGAATTCTACCCAGACAGTCAATCGCGTCAACCTGTCTCAAAAATTATTATCCTAAGGCTTCCACAAATATTATTCCTCGCCTTGGAACTCAACGTACGGTAAGTTGCCCTGCTTTTCATCATTCTAATTACCTATAAGCCTTCCCCCATACCTCATCATACCATATCGCTTGACTTCGCCCTGGAACTGGTGCCGTACAAGGTGACAGCTTTCCTTCCTTCCTCCAATCCTATCCCTAGACTAAATCACCCACCAGTCACTTCCTTATCCTATCTCGCATATCCACCACAGCATTCTCTCCCGCATAATCCGGGGTACTTTCCAATCATCATTGTTTACCTCATCAACGCTTTCCACCCCCTTCTTCTTTCGCAGAGTTGTCTAAGTACATCATACTAAGCCTAGGTCTCCAGTTAGGTAGACTCACTACTACACCCCGACGACCAGCCAGTCAACCCATTACAATGTCTGCTCCGAAGTCGACTGCTGGGTCTGTAGGAAGGCCTCTCACACCATCGGCTCCTATATTCGTGCCCATCGATATCTATGCCAGTCATGAGGTACTCGATGCTTCGTTCGTCACGCGTACTATTCCAGACATCAGCCCCGATTCTAGAGTTATCGGTCTCTGCGCTGTGTCCCACGAGCGTGCAGGTACCGATGACCTCGGTTGGCACATTGCCGACTTCTTAGCATTCAAAGCACTCCTCTGCGGCGAGACTCACCCGAAAGCTCAGACATGGCTTTCCCAGTGTGATATTGCCAGTGTCGTAAAGGATAACCCTGAACATTACGTCCACGGCAAAGACCATCGCCTGGTCAACGTCGCCGCCACGTCCTCTTCGTACACCAACCGGCATGGAACCATCCAGAAACGAGACGACGAGATTAAGGTTGAATCATCAGCTGAAAAGCTTATACAGGATTTCCTTGGGGCCATTTCGGACAAGTCTAGACTCATTGAAGGGAAGAGTCTTCCCCTGGTCATTATTATTTGTGGCCTTACTACACTAGAGCAGGACGTCTTCTTCGGAGAGACCGATCCCAAGTTCCAGGTTACAAGCGATCGAATGCGCGAGGCACTTGGAGAGCATGTTGATGCTATCGTTATCTCTCCTGCTCTATTTTCTGCAGGTTGGTTAGTCAATCCGTCCTTTTGTCGACCACCGGCTAGAAAGATGCGCGCCGATCGCACAGAGTTCCTCGCAAGACAGTTTGGTGCAATATTTGCAAAGGATGTCGTTGAAAGCTTCTTAAGTTGGTCATGCCCCTTTATTGACTGGGATCAATTTGGTGGGAAGAAGGATGGCAGGTTTCCCGGTCCGGCAAAACCTTCGCAGCAGCAGCAAGATGCGATTGTGGCTTTCAAAGTGCAGATCCATAACACCCTCGCAGGTCGATTGTCCGCTGGACATAGAAACCACTCCTTTAACTTTGAGGCCGATTATGATGACTGGCAGAAGTTGGTTGGTCCCCGTCGGCACAAGCCGTTGAGTCACTTCAAACAGAAGTGGGAGAAGCTTGGAGTAGGTTCCGTGGCTAAAGTGAACGAAGAGCAACTTGAGTTCCTCGGAGGCGCTTTCGGTGGCAATAAGAAGTCGCAGGAAAGACATATAAAGCACCTTGTATATGACTCATTCGCTGCTTTGCCTGGATACTGGGCGCTGCCTTTTGGTCGAAGCGCTAGAGCCGCTTTCCGCATGTTTCTTGAAAACGATCATCCCGATTACAGGGACTGCCATGAAATCTTCAATATCATAGAGCACCGCTCTACTTCAGCCGTCGTTGCAGACATGACCCTCAAGTACTTTGGTTTCTCCAAACCATATGGAGAACGATGCAGGGATTGGGATGAGCCAAAATGGATAAAAGAGTCAACTGATTCCACACACCTGGCTGCTAATCGGTTGTTTGGAGAAATCAGCAAGTGCATTCCTAGGGTTGATGTGCCTCCTGGTGTCAATCCGAACCACCTCAGCGTCATTCAAAGACGGCTGGAGGTTCCTGCCTCTTATCTATCGGTAGCCATACACAACCACCTCGGTGCTCGTGTAGGATCGCCTCAGGCAATAGTGAAGAAAATTTCTGACTGTAAGTATACCAAGTCACTATCGCTAGTGATTGCTGCTAACATATGATTAGTTTTTGAAGAGATTAAAGACCGCCAGACTGAGCTACTGGTTAAGGATTCCGCATTGCACGATAAATGTAGGGTTTGGTTGAACTCGGTTCACCTGCCTATTCGCCCTCAAGACCCTATTATACCTCCTGTGATATCTACGACGTCCCCGGGAGAAAGCCCGCACATCGCCTACCGGACTCCTCGGGCTTCGGACAGCCGAGGAATAGCCTTCAAGTTTCCGACTACAGTTTCACAGACCGGAAAGGCTTCAGAAACCGTCTCTCCTCCTCGACCCAAGGCCAATACGACATTGGCTGGTCTTTCGAATAATCTTCCTGGCGAGATGGAGGAATTACTTCCCTCCATCGACCCAAGAATAGCAATTCGGACACTTACCCAAGAGAAGGAGGATCTGATCAAGGAGCTTATGGAAGCTCCGCCCAACAAACTCGTAGAAATTCAGGAAAAGATGGCAGAGAACCAGCATCTTTTGGCTTTCATGGAAGAAATAGCTCAGAAAAAGGGGCTGAAATCCAAGAATGGCGCGCATGAATCTGAGAAGCGCATCGGAGCTGTATCCCCACCCATCCACCAGGGGGACTCTCGCGTTCATAGTCGCGAAGGCGCGCTCCAGTCATCTCACATACAACAAATTCAGAGCCCTGAGCAACGAACGTCTCCTCATCTCCGAGGTCCTTTAGAGAAGTCCGATACGAAATCGCATGCTCGACGTCGTTTCGAGGAGCCAGCTCAAGAGAAACCAGCCGGCGACGTGTTCCAGCTTAGCTTAGGGAGAGGAGATACCTCCAGCTCACCAAATGAAACGAAACCATTATCACTCACTCCACACACCACACAGAAAGAAAGCAAACCAATGGAGAAATCTGAGACATGGGTCCCGCCTCATCTCCGTGGCCTCCAACATAAAAATATCTGAGGCGGTTAACCCTGAAAGCTAGTGTAATAATGGCGGGGATGCAACCGATGGCAGGTAAAGAGAGGATCGTTGTTTCCTATATGACTTTCGGAGTCACAACTTTGCAAAGAGAGGGGGCGGTTTTGGAAGGTTGGAGAGTTGATATTTCGAGGCGATGGAATTCCAACCTCTTAATGTTGGAATATGTCTAACTAGGTACCTACCTGGGTTAGGAACCTGTCTTGAAGAATGTGGTTTGAGGTTTACAGAGATGCTACCGCCACTTATCATGACAACATGATAAGCTAATGGATTTCGCCGGTGGATGATGATTTGTTACTGGCTTATTTTCTTAGTTATGCGGAGAGCTTTTACCGAAATGCAGTTGTAATTGACGAAGGTTAACGAGATAAGTCGTGGCAAACGTCAAAGTAGGGATCTCCCCAACTTTTCGATTGCCTTAATAGAAACGTTTTACCTCCTTATATTAAGCCACGTAGGTAGCCGTTACCCAGTAATTACCCATAACGATTGGTGTTTATCCTATCAATGCCAGTTGCAAAGTCACCTATTTATTTCCTACCCAAAATAGGTCTCCTAAGGTGCTACGGTATAGACGAGAGTAAGGTATGACAATACAAACCAAGCACTAAAGAACTCCGTAAGAGACCATTTCGTAATCATGTGCCATCTTTCTTCACATTACTATCACTGCTATTATCTATCTGGCTAGCTATATTGGTATCGCCGGTACTAGTTGGAGCCCTAGCGCCACGTTGGAAGACGAACAGGGCCTCGTCTTTGCCCGGGAAGCTCGGTAGCGCGATCTGAACAACCTTGACCCAACCCTCGCCCGCACGCTCCCGTTCCATATACTCGTCCATGCTCAGGTTCCGGAATCCCGTGTATCCGTTATGATTCTGCGTCCCGACCACGGCTAGCGTGTCTCCGGAATACGCGTCCATCATGAGCCGCGTGAAACCGCCCTCTTCACCGCCGGCAATAGTGCCCCCGACGATGGGGTATACGAGAAGGAGGACCGCTTCGTCGGGATCTATATCGGTTTCGGGTTTGCTACTTCCAGCCGAGGATTTTTTGTTGTTGTTGCTGTTGCTGCGTCGTCGCTTGCGCAACCACTCGGCACCGTCGGCGACGGTCGTGTCGGATACCCAGTTCACGCGCCACGCGCTCTGGGCGCTGTCTACGGGCACCGCGCGGACCCCGTATTGTCGCAGCATGAAGCTCCAGTATCCCCCGCCGGACCCCAGGTCGAGCACCTCGCGCCCCGCGGCGAGCACGCGCAGGATCGAGAGCGCTTCGTGGCTGGGACAGGCGCAGCCGAAGTGGTGCATTAGTACGGGCAGTACGTGGTGCGAGCGGTTGCCTGCTAGGGTCGAGGAGACGCTGGGGCCGGCCCATTCGAGGTTGCGGCAGCTCCAGTTCAGGAACGTTAGGTAGGGGTTCGGCGGGACGTTGCTGGTGGTACTGGTTTTTTTATTCTTGTTGCTCTTGTTCTGTTGCTTGGGGATGGTGAGTTGCGACGCGAGCGCTGGGTGTAGGTATCGCTTCGACTGGAGGTAGCTGGCTATTTCGGCGCGTAGGCTGCCCTTCTTGGCGTTGGAGAGGAAGGTCTTGAGCGCGGAGGGGGTCGAGGTGCTGGGGTCGAAGATGGAGAGGTAGGCGTCGATGTCGGGGCGTGGAGGCGGTGGGAGAGCTCTTAGTTTTTTTGAGGATGGGGTTTGCTCGGGCTTTGCGTCGTCGTCGTCGTCTTCGGTAGAGGGCGTGGGTGCAGGCTCGAAGTACCAGGCGTGGAAGGCATTCTGACGTCCAAGCGAGACGATATGTTGGACTTCGGCCAAGGTAACGCTAACAATGGCGTGGTAGACGTAGGAATCGCGGCGGGGATGCGGTAGCGCAAAGGAGGCTACGACGGCGGACTGGAAATCGTCGCTAGCGAGGAAGGCTTCGGCGCGTTCGTGTAGCGCCGCGTCAGCTACATATGTCGTCGGATTCCATGACGGCGCGCCCTCGCAGTACGTGAAAGGCTTACTCGGCGCCATTGACCTTGGAGTTGCACTCCTCGGGTTTGATTAATATATATATATATTCGTAAATACGTGTTTGATTAACTACTAGGTATAAGGTATAGATGAGAGATGAGAGAGCTACTAACCAGAGCGGGGTCCTGTCCTAGCGAAAATGGTGTTGAATATCAGGAAAAGTTATCAGGGATTCCCCGCACTCAGGGGCTTTTGCAGGGTAGCTCTTCTCCTATTACGGAGAAACGTCCGTTAGTCCCCTTATCCCCCTTTTTTTTACTCCATGCCGTATATAAATGGGACGGCGAGTCCGGCGTGCGGCAGCGATGGCGATGGTGATGGCCATGCATGTAAAGCGATATCGAAGAGGCGAAAGGGAGCTGTGTCACCAAGCTTCCTTGCTCCAAATAGTAACACTTGTGCCAATGCCAATACTTCGTACATACTAATTGAGTGCGTGTCCGCTTCGGGAACATAGAACTAAATATCCTATCTAGGTGCCTAGTTACCTCTTACAATAAACCATTCCCAAGCTCGGAGCTTACAGATACGTGTAGTGTAGTAGGTAGGGTGATTACTTGTGTTCTAATCACAGGAAATGTTTTCCTAACGCTTCGGTCCGACCGTTAGGTTCCGTTTCATAATGGGCCGGTCCCTTGGCCTTGGGAGCTCGTGTTGGGAAAGTAGCGCAACGGAAAAATAGGCAGCATGTAGGGCAATTTACGGGTCTGGCTGTACTCTTGATTCTGCGATCTGTAAAGGTATAAAAGATCAAGGGAAAGTTCGCACTATACCAGAGCCTGTCCCCTCTACGTCCAACGTACGGTATGTGATTATTAATCACGATGACAGAGTAACGGGATTTAGTAGACTACGGCTGTATGGTGCCGGGAGATAACCATTCATTGGACAGTTGCTGGATTCCCCAAGGGGAACATGTTTGGGATGTTGTCATCTCGGAGAAATATATGCAGTTGCCCATCATAACCAATTACTTCCTTTGGGTTCCTGTATTTACCTGTTCTGTCTACTGTTTGTTTCAGTTTGTAGCAAACTGCGAATCTCGGCTCGTGATGTCACTTTTGCTCGATCGCTTTATTGCTGTCTTCTTACGGACGAAACAAGACACAAACCCCGAATCACGAAGCACAGGAGCCAATCATTATTAGAACCGAAAAACGACCCGTCCGGCAATGATATTAGTATTCTCTAACAGGCATATCTTCGTCACAAATCCATCATATCCATGCTCGAAACTGGTATGACAGTTATAGAGTTGAACTACACAAAGATCCGATTAGAAAGCCGGAGTGCTGTTTTAGGAGGAACCTGGTGGGGGGATGGTCGAGTTGTCCATCCGAATCCCTGACCCCTGACTGATGGGGACGAATCGGGGGATGATACTATGTATTAACGGAGACCACGTAATACTACAAACCGCCCAGTTATTATATGCATACCTGTCAAAGCTATAAATATAAAATATAACCATTTAAATATATTAGGCACTTTTATAACCTATTGCCTCATCTTCCCTTTACTCGAGGGAAGTACTCGGTGGTAAATACCAACCTAAAATAGCGTTGATAATGTTTAAGATGTTTAAGATCTCTTGTTTATTTCTTATTATACGTATTCACCCGCAGATTGACCTTTGCAGGCGAGCTGCCGTGTATCGGTATTGCAATGCTCATTACGCGGATACCTTTGTCATCCAGACTACCTATTCACCACTTCTGGTGCTCATGCGGGCATCCGAGCCTGATGCTACCAATCTCTTTAGTAGCCACATTATAATAATTGTATTCCATCTGCCATTCGCATTGTGATACGACTGCTGTGGCTACGCAAAGAATAGCAAGCCCTGTCGGCGCCAATGGAAAACCCAGGGTGTTCCTCTATTTTCTTTCAATAATATTAGTCGAGCCAGTCCGATAACTTCAGGACCAGATGCATACACGCATGGCTGCTTGAATGTCTCAGATCACTACCCATCACCTGACTAGTGACATATAACGACAAGTCTCATTAATTATCAAGATATCTATTTACTTCCTCGTTGACCATGGCAGACTTCGGTCGTGGTTCAACTGTCCTCGTCTCTCCAAAGCTTCAATATCAAGTCAATAATCTTCATCCGGGCATATCGCATTACACACCCAAAGATTTCTCGCCAGCTCAAGTTCAGGGGGACGAAAAAAATAGTTCACCAATTATCCTACCTCGTCCCCAAATAGACATCGTAGGAGGAACTCCCCCTAACAGCGCGAATAGTGTAATCCCCCAGGATCAATCTGGTGAACATCCCTGTCTACTTTCGACCTACCCTACCAAGTTCAATGGATTTCCAATAAAACTGAACTACAGCTTACAGCTAGTCCCTCCAGGATCTCATGATGCTGAAAAATGTTCAATGCTCCGTTCAGCGAATGATACTCTCAGTGCAGATGTCTATCCCGTACGAACGCCACAATCACCGCCTATGGCATTGCAGGACGAGAATAATCCGTACGGAGATACCCAGGGCCTATTACAGGATTTTCAGCAACCGGAAGATGACGTCGAGATAACTGGTCAAATCGAGTCTAGATTCACCCTGCCGGATAACGAATCCGTCACCGATGGCGGGTACGAATCGGATTCGGTAACAAGCGCATCTACCTCAGTTTCTTCAAGTATATGGGACTTTTCGTTCGAGAACGGTAGAAGATACCACAAGTTCAGGGAAGGCCGATACAACTTCCCCAATGACGATGTCGAGCAGGAACGAGAGGATATGAAGCATGCTATGGTCAAGTTGTTATGCCAGCGACTGCACTTCGCACCCATAGGAGATAATCCCCACGAGATACTCGACGTCGGGACAGGTACTGGAATCTGGGCGATCGAGAGTAAACCCATCCCTTCTTATCTTCTGATTGTTTGCCTAGGTAGTTATCGAAGTACTGACTTGCCTAGTGGGCGATGCCTATCCCAGCGCAAATGTTCTTGGTGTAGACTTGAGTCCTATTCAACCGCAATGGGTGCCACCTAATGTCCGATTCATGGTTGACGATGTGGAAAGCGAGTGGCTTCACCCATTAAACCACTTCGACTATATACATTCTCGACACACAATCATGGCTATAAAGGACTGGGATCAACTGCTGATGACGGCCTACGAGTGAGTTCCACTTCCAAGGAATAATATACCGGTTCAAGGTCAAGAATTGGAGCTAAATACTTATTTAATTAGACATTTGAAGCCCGGTGGCTGGTTGGAACTACAAGAAATCTACCATTTCCCCATGAGCAGTAACAATACCCTTGAGGAGGACCATCCAGTCGCTCAGTACTGGAAATACGTGGATGAGGGACTTGAAAGTCTCGGCGTCGACTTCAGGTTTTCGGATGAAGGTCGGATAGCCGCTTTAATGCGACAGTGCGGATATGTCAACGTAACCGAACGCGTCTTCCACATACCTATCGGTACGTGGCCGAAAAACAAGACCTTGAAGAGCGTTGGGCTTTATTGGAAGAAAATCCTACTGGATGGTATCCAAGCTATAGCACTCGGGCCGATGACCAGAGGACTTCACTGGGGGAGAGAGGAGGTCGAGGCCTTCTTGGTTTCGGTGCGAAAGGGGTATCATGACAACTCATTGCTGTTGTACATGCCGCTCGTCTGTGTTTATGGCCAGAAACCTGGTAGCCAGTGACTGGAGTACTGGTGTTCGCCCGAGTAGGTAGCAGTTAAGAGACGGGGAGCTCGCGTAATGGAACCCAAAATACGAAGGTAATTGGGAGAAGAGGGGGGGGATGTTGAGATTGACTACGGTATCAACCGACATTAATTTGGCTCATTTTAGACGTTTGGCTACCCTTGCTCGCAGGAGCCGTTATCATTGGAGAATAGCATCATCCATAGCCGGAATAGGAAACATCTTTCATATACTGTATACATGATGCTCTCCACCGTAACGTTCACAACTTACGAAGAAGTCGTCCGTCATTCTCAAATCCGACTAATAAGAAAGATGATCAAAATGCTATGGTAATGTTTATTAGTATACCTATAAGATACTACACGACGAGATATAGAGAGGAAGCCTAACTTCATATCACATCTTTTGTTTACTTCTAAAAACAGTATACATCCGTCAGGCGTTAGGTGTGTATATTTTTATCACATGCGATGCAAGAGGTACATATTATCTTCATATATGCCTGCCAGGGGTAACACCCGATGGCGTCGGAAACCTGTCAAACGAACTTCTGTGCGCTTTTAGTCTACACACGCGCGACATGAGGACATATACACGAGAAATGAAACGTTCTCGTCTCCTATCTAGGTAGGTAGTATACCTCATCGCCACTGGCCAGCATTATATCACATATCACTCCGATTAAGTTCTTACTTCCCCCACACCGACCACATATTACCAAGATCTCGAGCATCGTTTTTGTTTGCTTGTTTTTCTGGCTAGGTACATATAGTTACGGGATATCTAAGTGCCATACGCCCGAGGCAATCAAGAGGCGCACCTTAGGTCCCAAACGATGATTCGTCACCGCTTGTCCATGTAGGTACCCCAAGTTCGCTGGTGACTGGCATTCGCCTATCCGGATCCAGAACCGCCGATATCATCACCATCCCATACACAAGTACACAGTGAGCCTTTATACCTCCAAAACGAGCTCCATGCAGCAACGGCCGCTGTCACGTCAGGCAAGTAACCGCGCACATACGCACAGTTACCGCTGCTAACGATAGAATGCGAGTAAATATGACGCGGGTTTGCAGACGGCAATAAGGAAAAAGAACAAACACGCTTCAGTAGCCTCCGCCCCTCCTCTCTTCCAAAGCTAGGTAAACCAGGCGGGATATGAGAAATAACCCCAATGGAAGAGAGCATGAGCGGGAACGTTGCCGAAGAACTATTTGATCATCAGTCGCCGGTAGAGAGATGGAATGACGTATTCAACCCGTCCAGTTACCTATCTTCTACGGCTCCAGGTCTCGAACGATATTCCACGGCATACCTACGAGGTAGCAATGTGCTGATATCTGCTGTGCGACTATCTAGGAACAGCAGGTCTGGTGATATTTGGACGTGCTGAAGTTCTACTTGCACAGCGTGTGTATTTATTTCTTGGCGTACATACTCGCATCCTACTAAAAGCGATCTTTAAAGTATCGCGACGTTCCGCCTTGAAAAAGGGACAACTGTCAGTGGCTGCATCGGAGGCGTGACAAATCCTAACGGCCTCATTGCAGCCAACCAGGTGGCAAGCTCCAGC